ACAAGGAAATGATTGTAAATTTGGTAAATTTCAATGTGAAAAATAACCTGGAATTCCAAAAATTGGAAAAGCAGGACAAGAATATAAATTCAAAATCAGTCAACACTAGTTTTTATATCCTAATTTCAGTCTGAAAAATCAATTTAAAAAAGGTCTGAGGAGGTATTAATTCATTTTGAAATCGTTTTATAGATTTGGTTTTGTTGTAATTATCAAATAATAAAAAAGTAGAGTTAATTTAAAACATTACAATTTGAAACTTTTTGTTTGTATCGTCTGGTTTTTGTTTTTATCGTCTGGTTTTGGCACCCCGGCGTGTTTCAAGTGCATAAATTTATTTATCAGTGCATTTGCATGCGATGGCTATTTAATTTGGCCCCGCCGCGCGCGCAATTACATCTTAATTGCGGTGTGCGTAATGAATGTTGTTGTTTTCGCTGCGGGTGACGTCACGTCGGTGGCAGCGCACTCTCAGCCACCCACACCTGCAGCGGACAGGGTGAGTGACCTGAGCGCGGTGACCTGCCTACTGACCTTGTTGCCTTCTCATGATTTAAAATAATTGCCCCCTCAAATGAATTCACGCAGCGAACGCGATTTCGGGGATAACGAAAATCGATGCACAGTAATAATAATTTAATCCGAAATCGGAGAGTGACGTCGGCGGCATTAACCTTCAAAATGCATTAGCATAACTTTGGGAGAGGAGAAGGAGGAAGAAGAAGAACTGGGCGGTGAATAATTGCGTTTCACTTTCACTCCCGTATGCGTGAGCAGACATGGAGACGCATCAGAACTTAATGAAAACAAAATTAATGTTTAAAAATGACATTAATTGATCACTTTTAAAGAACTATACTTTGGATGTATTTTTCTTTGAATAGAATATTTAATATTATTTTTATTTAAATTCTCTGTGTATAAAACATTTTTTATATATCAATTATCCAATTGCATAAAATTATTGCAAAATAAATCAGTACAAAAATAATTACAATTTTAAAAACAACATAAGAAAAATTGTTATAAATAATATTAAAACCAATTAAAATAATTTTGTGTTTAAATAATAATCAAATATAAAATAAAACCTGAAATCATGAAGTTTTAGCAAAAACGTAATAATTTAATTGTTCTTGAAAACTTCAGTCTTGACTTTTAAAGTAAGTACATTAGAAGATGTCAAGTTAAATTAGAATTATTTTTGGTTTTCAAGACTTTCCGTATGCATTAACGGCAAGGTAGCGTGATGCAGTGGAACGCGAGGCACAATCGGCAGCCGCAAATAGCGCGCAGCTCGGATAACCTTGCCGAGTCCTTTGCCAACCTGAGTAAGGTCGCACTCTCGTTTGCGTCGTGAAACCTTCCTTCCTTCCTCGCTCGCTGTGCCGCAGAGGCCGCTGACTCGAGACCATCAATCGCGAGCGCTCAAATGAAAATGAAACACTTCCACTTTGTAATAGAGAGAGAGAGAAGGCGATTATTCATGAGTGTCTCTGTTTCTTTCTCCTCTCTGTGGGTGGAGATTTCAACTCGCGGCGCATTTCTTTAAACGTCACTCACGCCTTTTAAACAATTTTAATTGAGGCGGCTGACAAACGCTAAATAACCCATTCAGGAGAGCTTTAAAAATGCCCTCTTTTATATTAACGTCACTCATTTTTCACCCTTGACAATGACATATTTATTTTTAAATTAAATTCAGGTATTTCACTTTGTGCCAGAGAAATATTGTTAAAAAAATGAAGTGTAATTTTTAACTTTGTATGCTTCTAAAGATTAATTATTCAATTAAGATTAGTATCTAAACTTTAAATCGATTTTTTTATTAATTTTCATTTTTCATGTTTACTTTTTAAATTTTGCATATTTATATGATCTCGTTTTGGACGTTTCCGCACCAGCGCCGGCGACCAAATGAGCCGCAAAGAGCAAAAGTGGCTGCGCAGGTTCCACCTGAGAGACTCGTTCTTTTCGTCCATTCTTGCTTTGGCAGCGCCATTCGAGAAAGGGGCGGTGGGGAATTTCGCGCCGAGGGCACTGCGCGACCTTGACTTTGCACACCGCTCGCGCACCGAGAGAGAGACCTCCCGATCCAAATTGAAACTCAATCGACAAAAACCAATTTTTTTTACACCTTCAAGATGAGAGAGAGAGACAACAAAGGAAACCCGGACCAAAACAAAACAACCGGCGGAGGTCATTGCTCTCGGGAGAAATTCGACCCTGACTGTTTCCTATGTATAAATTTGGAGAAAGGGCTCGTCGGTTTTGGGTCACCGGTTTCGTCAGGGTCACGAAACCTATAAAGATAATTTATGGAAATAAATGACTTGGAAAAATTAATAAAACCAGTTGGATTAATTAAATTTATTGGGCCTCGTCCTCTTTTAATTGGACATTTCTCTGAAGTTAAAATTTCTGTTTCTACTCTAAAATGTGAGTGTTTTTAGATTTATAAAATCGGAATTGCCTTTTCTTTTTGTAAGAGGAATTATTATTGAAAATTCATCCTATATTTTTGCTTGGTTCGCTGCGCTGCAACCCCCACAAAAAACACTCTAATTTAAGGAAAGAATCTTGTTTCAAATTTTGAATCGGAGCTCAATATTCGAAATAGTTTCTAGCTCTAGCAAGGAAAATCTGGAGCTAAAATTGGAACTTCTCCAATTTATTTATCCAATTTTTTGTTTTCAACCAATAAATTTAAATCTTAATTTTTGCCAATCTATTTTTGTTTCAAATAATCATTATGGATGCCTCCCCCGGTCATAACCTACTAAAATAATTTAAATTATACTGATTTAATACATTACCAAATACAAAGTTATGTTAGCTTTGCGATTTCCTTTCATTAAAAAGTTTTGCTATTTTCACTGCGAATTCCCAGAATTGAAATCAGTCCGTTCACACCTGTCCCTCTCAACCCCCTGTAACAGGCTGTTTTTCACCTCATTATATGATCGCGTGCTCGGAACCCCTTGAGAGAGAGACAAAGTTGGTGCAAATTCGCATTATCGCACCTGTTGGCCGTAACAAGAGCGTAACAATCCTCTGGCGGCAGGCGCATTATTAATTTCCTCCCCGGCTGATTTTCGCGGTATAGCGACGCTAATTAAATCCACGTTCCGTGAGACTTGAACTTGTAATTGAGCAAGCAAGAGTCGCTCGGCTGCGCGCGCGGCGAATTTTCCGCGGCAGCAAGGCCGCCCCGCTCGGCAGTGCGTGTTTCCTTCAGCTGCACCGCTTTTATCTCGCGCACATCACCAATGCAAATTGCAATTTATCCCCCAAAAAAAGTCTAGCTCAACTAAAATAAAATTTGGAGAACAAAATTAGTGGAAATTGTATTTAATGTAAGATAAATCATATAAATTGAATAAAATTTAAATGACTTAATAAAAGTTTAAGAAATTTTTTAAGAATTAAAAATGTAATATTTTTCAAAACAAATTGAAAATTCACTGAAGTCATTGATCGAGTAGAGGGAAAATCAAAGTGTCCCCATTGAAACACGTTTTAATTAATTTCAGCTGGCAGAAAAAAAACGAAAACGAACTTCCGGCCGATTAAGATCTTTCTGCCGAAAATAAAACTCACTCCGTGTCGCTGGTGCTAATTACCCAGAGCACAGAGCGTGAAAATAATTCCCACGAGGGTCCTGAACCTTCCTTTTTCGCATTTCTCATTCCAGTTTCAAAAATTAATGCAAAATCATTCTGTTCCTCGAATACATTAAATATGAAAACAAACTTATTACAACATGCACTTGAACTTATAAATGAATCAATGAAGAAAACTATTTTTACCATCAAAATCCTATTGATTACAAAATGATTTGATGTAAATAATCAATTTTTCAAAAATCTTATTAAATTTTTTCAGTGATTAATTATTTTATAATGTTTGATATTTTGTTCGCGAAAGACACTTCATGAAACTTAATTTTATTTGAAGTATTCGTTGTATTATAACCACCACTCCATGATATCTTTGCCTTCAGAGTCTGGCTGGAATTTGAATACATATAAAGTAAACTCTTTTTTTAAATTAAAAATAAAAATAAAAAAAAAAAAACGTGTGGCGCCACAAACTCGTTCCCTGCCTTTTCATTTTTATTACACCATCCGAAATCAGGAGTCATCGCGCCAAACGAGAGAAGACAGCGCGAAAGCAACAAAGGGTATCTCTCTTTTATTTCGAAAAAGCTCCGAGATTCGCGCCGCCTGCTGATACATACTTGTTCTTCTTTTTTGCACTTTCGATTCCAGTCTCGGCGATGATGCAGCAGCTGCAGTGCAAAATAAAAAGAGAGAGATAAAAAGAAGGCGGTGGCTCGCAAAGAAAGAGAGATGATGGCCGAGCCAAAAAGCATGTTCGCCGTGGCCTTGGCGTCATAATAGCGCGCGAGAATCGTGACTCGCCTTACGTCACGATCACACAAAAAGCAGTCGCTTTTTCCACCAGCTTTTTGCTGCTCCAGTGGTCAGCCGCCGAAAAGCAGGCCTAATTGCCTCTCTTTGCTGCTGGACCGAAATAAAAGCTTTGGGGTGCTCCGTGCACCGTGACTCAATTCGAAACGATCTGAAACGTGAAAAAAAATCGCGAGTGCTCATTTGATTGCATAGCTTTTCAAATAAGCCTCCAATGGAGGGAAAATTAAATTAAAATTATTTTTTTTTTTTTCTTTTAGTGCTGTTAAGATAGAAAAAAAATTATGACATATAAACTTAATTGAAGGATAAAAAGTTTGATATAATTTAAATGTCTAAGTTCTTTGCAATACAATAAAAAAAATCGACTACAAAATGTTAAATATTTTTCTGAAATTGTGTAGGATATTTTCAATAGAGAGAATAATTTCTAAAAATTTACTTCTTGACGTGAGGGGAAAATAATTTTCTAAAAAATGGCGCCAAAAAAATTTATATTTTCAATAAAAAAAAAACGATTTGATTCATTTATATTTAAATTAAATCTTGTGTTTGTTTGTTTTGCAGGTCGGGATGACCTTTCGCCTCCTACGAGTCTGATGGGCTTCTCGACGGGCAGCGAGTCGGTGGACGGGAAGAAGCGCAAGGGTCCCGCGCCCCGGCAGCAGGAGGAGCTGTGTCTGGTGTGCGGCGACCGCGCCTCCGGCTACCACTACAACGCGCTCACCTGCGAGGGCTGCAAAGGTACGCCTGTCTGCAACTCGACCCTCTGACTTGCGGCTAAAATCTCTTCTTTTGCTCAGGTTTCTTCAGGCGCAGCATCACCAAGAACGCCGTGTACCAGTGCAAGTACGGCAACAACTGCGAGATCGACATGTACATGCGGCGCAAATGCCAGGAGTGTCGACTCAAAAAGTGCCTCAGCGTCGGCATGAGGCCTGAATGTAAGTTTTTTTTAAATTTATTTTAATATTAATAATTTTTTTTAATGCTGTGTAAAATAATTATTATATAAGGAGTGTATTTTTAATTGCAACAAATGAATTAATTTCTCTTGTTATCAGTTCTGCAGTATCAGTATGTGCTCTGATAATAGCTTGATGATAAACATTCACTATTTTTCCCTAACTTTGTTTAACAATGTCTACTTTTGATTCTAATTGTAGGAACCGATAGTTTCTATTGTTTGTTTTTTCCCTACTTTTTCAATAAAATTCTTTTTTAATTTCAATTTAGATTATTTTCTCATTTGTTTAAATTAAAATATTTATATCTAAATTTGATTTTCCCCCCTTCCAGGCGTTGTTCCTGAAATCCAGTGCGCGGTAAAGCGTGAAGCGAAAAAGGCGCAGAAGGACAAAGACAAGCCCAACTCGACAACCTGCGGCAGCTCTCCTGAGTCGGTAGTTAGTCGGGAAATCGAGTCCAGAGTATCCAGCATCACAAACGGCCACACCCCCATTGTTCAACAACGCAAAGTGACCATCAAGGTCGGTTGAAAGTCAAATTTATCAAAAGTGCGGAATTTGATTTGATTTAATTTCTCAGCAGGAGGAAAAGGTCATGCCGGTGATGATTGGAGGAACCAAACCTGTCAGTCCAGAACAAGAGGAACTCATACATAGGCTCGTCTACTTCCAAAATGAGTACGAGCAACCTTCAGAGGAGGATCTCAAAAGGATCATGGTACAATAAAGCTTAATTTTGTTTAACTAAAAGAGCAGCTGAAATTACCTGAATAGAAGTGAATTTAACAGAAGAATAATTAAATCATCTTCTTGCTTTACATTTTTATTTGAAAATCTGATTTGGAAAAATTTAAGTCTTTTAAAATGTAAATTAAACTAACCTTTGTTAAATTTTAACTCATACTTACTTTTATTTGATTTCATTACTGTTTAATCTAATAATTGAAATGAAATAATTTACTATTTTCCAAATTTCACAGAACCATCCTGTGGAGGGTGAAGATCCGAGTGACGTCAAATTCAGACACATCACCGAAATCACCATTCTCACAGTTCAACTCATTGTCGAGTTTGCCAAGAGATTGCCTGGTTTTGACAAACTGTTACGAGAGGACCAAATTGCCTTGCTAAAGGTAACCACTTCACTTAAAAATAAAACTTTGCCTATCTAACTCTTATTCTGGATAACAGGCATGCTCAAGTGAGGTGATGATGCTCCGGATGGCGCGAAGTTACGACGCGCAGACGGACAGCATCGTTTTTGCCAACAACCAGCCGTACAGCCGAGAGTCGTACAACCTGGCCGGCATGGGTGACACCATTGAGGATTTGCTGCACTTCTGCAGACAAATCTACGCCATGAAGGTGGACAACGCCGAGTACGCGCTCCTCACAGCCATCGTCATTTTCTCAGGTACATTATCTCAAAATCTAAAAATTTACTCATTAAATCCAGATAATTTAAATAAATTTCCAGTGGAAAATAAAAGTTTGTGTGGCTTTTTTCCTTTAATTTTAAAATAATATTGTTTTGGATATTTTTTACTTCTCATAATCCAAGCTTTTTCTCTTCTTTTGAATAAAATTTTAATTAGTCTGAATCGGGTTTTGCAGAGAGACCTGCATTGATCGAGGGCTGGAAGGTGGAGAAGATCCAGGAGATCTACCTGGAGGCCCTGAAGGCGTACGTGGACAACCTGAGACGGCCGAGGGCCGGCACCGTGTTTGCCAAACTGCTGTCAGTGTTGACGGAACTGCGGACTCTGGGCAACCAGAACTCGGAAGTTTGTTTCTCGCTGAAGCTGAAGAACAAGAAACTGCCAGCATTCCTCGCCGAGATCTGGGACGTGGTCCCGTAGAGGCCCTGCTGCGAAATGCAGGGCTCTCTTTGTGCAGGCTGTGATTTGTGTCCGGAAGGGAAGAGACTTCACTCTCGCAATAAAAACAAACAAAAACTGACTGACTGCAGCGTTTGGTGTCTCGGGCAGTGACTCGTCGCGAGGCCAAACCGATCGACTCTTAGGAAAAAATCAAGAAAGAACTCACACGCATTACACACGTTATGTAAGAAAAAGATTATTATACGAATGGAAAAAAGATACACTCACACACAAAGTTCGGTGCCTTTGCAACTTTATAATTATTCTACACTCTGTAGGTGCGCATACAAGGGAGGGTGAGAGCAAAGACTTGACGGAGCGAATGAGTACGACTGCCCGATTAATTTGTTTGCCCTATGGTGCTGCGTACACAAGTCTGATTTACACTCACGAATGTAAGCGAGATGTAATGGAATCGAACTGCGCTGAGCCGTCCCAAAATGAATCAGAGAAATATTTAATTATCGATTAAAGATTTGAGAATAATTATTATAATTGTAAAACAAAAATAGACTCACTGAAGAACAATTAGCGTGACCAAAATTCATTTGGAGACTGAGGAACTGTAATTGATCGTGGTTTAATTAATTGATTCCCCTTATACATCGTGTTGTTCTTTTGCTCTTTCTGTCTCTGCGCTCCGGCAGCTTGGACGTGGGAAAAGAAATTAATTGTACCGAAATAGTGTGGATTTTTATTTTTAATTGTGATCGTTGTTAGAAATAATGTGATTTAACCAGATGACGAAATTGCTTTTTTTTTTAAAGAAAACTTATTTTTTTCGACACCTTCGGCAAAATTATTGATAATCAACCAGTGTGCAAATTCTCAGGGAGACACTGTGATTGGCCTTAGCAAATCTACTTAAACAATGCTCAGTACTTTCCTCTCATCAATCAGAACAAATTAATTGATTAAAAAAAGAAGTGTCTGTCCATCTGCGGTCGGAGCGCTGCCGTCGTTATCCAAATGTAATCTGTCTCGTCTTGAAGAAGAAAATATTATGATGATACGATCTGTACCTGTGGTGAACTTTTATCTGTGTAAGAAAGCGACTGTCTCTATAGGGCGAGGTGACAAACGCAAAAAAGCGGCCGTCCCTGCTACATACAATTAATTAGACCGACTGTCGGGACGGCCGCACTTCTTCTATATACTTGTTAATTACTATTATTTTCTAACAAGAGCAACACTACTGAAGAGAGAGAAAGAAAGAGAGAAAGAGTTTTATCCATTTACACACAAACAATCTGTATTATTTGTAAATAACTCAGAGACGAGGATCGTAACCTATTATATGAATTATGATAAAGGGACACATTGCAATTTACATTTGTATTTTATGGCATTAGTGAGTAACTCGTCGAATGGGATTCGTGTCTTTTCTCTTCTGCAGGGCTGCGGGTGTGGTCGGGGGCTCCACATCGAGAGCCCCCACGGCGGATACTTTCTTCCACTCTCTCGGATAAACAAGATTACGTTTTATTATTGATTAATTAGTAAGACAACAATTTTATATAAATGAATGCAAGCAAACGAATGAGTGGTTTTTTAAATTGAAATGTAAAACCAAAATGTAATAGTTCTCGACCCTGCCTATTAATATAATATCATTCAAAAGTGCAACACGCTGACTTTTTAAAACATTTCTCACCAAAGTCTTTGTACAAATTCGATGACGTGAACATATAAATATTTTAAAATTATCGTGAAAATAAAAGACGAATGAATATTTTTATTTGTTTGTCCTATGCGTGTGTGTATTGTGAAAACTAGAGAAAATTTTCTCCATTAAGCAATGCAGAAATTAAATGCTGTACTTTAAAGAAGTCCTAATTAATTACTCTCCGAGCATCGAATTTCGATAGATCTTTGTGGAAATTATTATGCATGAATTCTCTTCTTACTGTAAAACGTTGTCTGATGAAGAAGGAACTTGAGTGGGGCCGGCGCGAGAGTGCATACAAAAGTCGAACGGAGGAGTTTCTCATTCTCTCACTAGTTAAGCAAATAGCCGTAACAAACTCACAAAAATATCAAAGTACTTAAATCTGTAAGTGGGTTCGGCTTAGTTGATTTCTCGGCCAGTCATTACTTGAGTCGTCAAACGAAAAATGAAAAAGCAAATCAGACAATAAAATTAATCGGAGAAAACTTTCGTGCAACCAACTTGCGAAAGGTGTAAAAATTCAAATCAGGGACTTAATCAGTGCCTCTTTTTTTAATTGAAAAAATGTTGTCTCTTATTTGGTATTCAAGACGGTGAGTTGGTTGTGTGTCGTTTTCGCAGATTGATTTTCCACTCAAAATAATAATATACAAAACCGGACGAAGTTTTTTAATTTATGACTAAAAAGAGAAAAAGCATCCATCCAAAACACAAGATGGAAATTTACTACGGTGTATTGTATGAAAAGAGAAAAAAGAAATAATGTGAATACATGGAAGTCTGAACTTGTATAATTACACACGCGCAGCAGCAGATACTTTTAAACGTTAAGGCGATTTGACTATTTATCAGAGAGAGACTTCTTCTTGCTACGTGAAATGAAAAACGACGAACGCATATAATAATTGTGTTTCGAGAGAAATAAAAGAGATTCAGCTGTATAGTGATAGGGGTTAAAACAACTGTATAAGGTTTAGGCTCTGCTTCGGAGTTCACATACACAAACACACACACACTCACACACACACAAAAACACAATATTTACTAACTTTGTATGGAAAACTGCGTACATTACAGACAGTATGAGCCAATCTTATGAAATTTGTGTGAAAGTGTATTGTGTGAAAATGGTTATGAACATTGTAAAAGTTGTTCTATTTTGTCCAGTAAATTGATAAAACATGAAATACTAAATCAAAATGCATTTTATTTCAAAAATTTGAAATGTTTCCACTCTTGCAATAAAAAATATTCACGAAGAATAAAATTAAGAAAAATTAGTGCATAATATTTATTTCGCTCCTTTTATATGATCTGAAATATAAATGGAACCATTCTATCTTTAATTAGACCTCTCTGGTTCAGAACTGATTCAGAAAAGGTGCATAACTGGTGTAGAACTGATGAAGAAATGCTTAACCGGTTCTGCACTATTTTATAAATTTGAACAATATTGATACGAACAAATTTTCAAATCCTGATTTTAATTTATTAAGAATAAATAAAAACATTTTGAAACCTATTATATTATATAAAAACATAATAATATGAATGATATTATTTTAAGAACTTTATTCCATTAAAAATGAAAGGCACAATTTTTATTGTTCTTTTTATATTGAACAGATACCAAAAAGCACTACAACTCACTAGGTAAGGAGAAAAATTTGAGACTAAAAATTAACAAGACGCATTAAAAAGGAATATTGATTAATATTTTAAAAATAAAAATTCTTCCCAGTTCTGATTGCTTTATTATAAAATTTCCTGATAAAATTGGTACATTAATACAATATTAAAACCATTTATTGTTAATACCTGAAAAACATGTTTGGAGTGAAGAGAAACCAAAAAGATTATACATGTTATTATTATTGTTGTTTATTTGCCCAAATAGTAGGTGATATGGATGGGGAAATTTTGATCTTGAAAGTTTTAGCAAAATTCTTCGTTCTTTGCAAATGGTGGGACCGTCTTGTTCAAGTATTCCTATATTCTTTGGGAAAATTTTTTTCATAAAAGTTGAATATAAACAATGACTGTAACAACTTGGGGAAATAACCAACAATAATTAGTACGACCAAAATTTGATAGCAAAATAGGATGAAAGACGAGCCATCACATTTTCTTCGCCTGTATAATTTTTTTCTTTAATTTACTGTAAAATAATTCTAAATAAATTTTCTTATCAGATTTCAATAATAAAATTTCCCATTTTAATTATACAATTTAATGATGTATTTAAAAATAATTCTTGCACCGCCTTCGCTAATTGAGAGGTGGATTAGCGGCGGCGGTGGGGACCGAAGATTGGAGAGTTGTGCAGCTCCTGCGAGTGAGGAAGGATCCACCTGTTGTATTTCTTCGCGAGCGACAGAGCGCGATGGTGCCTCCGAAGCGCGGCTCGGACGGCTCGTACTCGTCCTTTTCCTCTTCGTCCGACTCGTCGTCGCGTTCGTCCGGCCGCAACTACGTCGACCCGTGGGACGTGGAGAACGCGCTGTACGTGCGCGGCAAACGCATCAGCTTCGCGTCCGACCCAAACACGTATTCGGCCGCCTCGGCAGCCGTCGAGCCGCCGCTGCAGCCGCCGGCCGAGCTGTGCGGCTGCGAGCCGCTCTACGACGGCTTCGCGCCCGACCCCGTCCGCTACCTCGGCACCTACTGTCACCTCTGCGACGCCGAGGAACTCGAGCTGCACCACAAGCGGAGACCCAAGGGCTCGTCCATCCTGTCCACCAGGGGCTCGCCGCCCACCTCCCTCACCTACAGGGTGCCCACCACAAGTAGGATTTTTTTAATTAATTTTTAAATTTATTTTTAAATAGATAAAAATTTGATTTTCATGAAAAACTCATTTAAAAATACAAGTTATGATAACAGGTGAAAAATTGTTCCAATTCGAATAGAATTTAAACATTATTTAAGAAGTAAAAAATAAAATTATCACTTTGAAGACAATTTATTTAAAAATGGGGGCTTTTCCACTTATATTTTCATCAGCAAGAAAATTTTGTATTCATCAATTTTTAGACAAAAATTAAAATAGAAGAATAAAACATCCTGTCTCTAAGATCTAAAAAATTATTGTAATATAACATTATTATATTTCGTTTGAAATATGATCTTAAGTACTACAATAAAATTGAGCGAACAAACAGTTCATTGTCCGCAGAAGTTTGCATAATAGAAGATTTGATAGGAAGTAAATATAAAAAACGTAGAGATAGAAAAATCACTTTTCTTACTAAACTTCAGTTTTGATGTTAATTGTAAGATCAACAAAATATTGTTTAATTTGATAAAAATTTCATAATATTTTGATATAACAATCATATCAAAGGATTTTACTTTATAAAATTAACATGTTTAGCAGATGCTTAGGCAAAAAATTAAAGTGGATTATGAAGTTAAAAATGAATTAATTTTTATTTAATGAAGAAAAATGAACCTAAATCTCTTTGAGTTTGAAATTTACAAATTTTACTATTCAAAATTTCATTTGTTTTGTCTCTTTCCCCTTTATTTAAATTTAATAACATATTAATATGACTAACCACAATTTCTATCCAATTTTCTAAATTCAAAACCTCAAATTTTTCTGAAAAGTTAATTATATTGTAATAAAAATTAATATTAACAAATTTTTTCAGAAAGAAACAATCATCACTACTTACTATAGCCTTCCTCAATTATATTCTTTCTTGTAATATTAGATTATTGAAATGAATAACCTGAATGAAGGTTAGCACTATCAATTTCCTTTGTTTATAATATCAAAGTATAAAATATAATAACATAAAAAAACAGTTAAATGACATCCACTTCATTAATTCACTGTCTGCTAGATTTTTTTTTACCTTCCAATATTAGAAACAATTTTTATCTTCAAAATCGTGTTACTCACATTAATCAGAGAACACAGTTAACGTGATTTTAAGATACCGATAGATTAATGATAATTTTCATTTTAGTTAATTATAGTTTCCATTGTTTTGCAGATGCAATAATAAATTATTATGCTATTTCTGCAGTTATTAGTCTCATTTGGGTGCACTTTTTAGGCTTTTCTTCTTCATATAATTATTCCTTCCGATTACTTCTTGTCCTGCATTACTTGGTAATTAGTTTCAACTTTAAGTGCACAACTGATGTTTTCCAAATTACTTAATTAACCGAAGTTGGACAAATATATAGTAATTTGATTATTTCATCGATCTACATTGCACAAATTGAAACACAAGAATTAAATGTAAAATTTATAAAAAAAAAAATTGTAAAATGATTTTTTTATGATGGAAAATTGATAGTGGAAATATATAAATATACGAGGCTTTTGGTATATTATTGGCATAGTCAAATCAAGTCTTTGCAACAATAGGAGCCATTTTTGCAGCTATAAGAGAAGAAAAAAAATTAAAAGCAATTAAAAGTTTTAAACAATTTTTTTGTTTTTAGGGAGTCGATCTGACTTCGACAAAAAACATATTGGGCAAAAAATAAAAACAAGAAATCATAAAATTGAAATTTAATTATGTAAACATATTATTTTGCAAATCCAATGAATTAAATAATAATTATGTTGGAAATGCACTTTTCTGCCACTTGACTTTTGATCGATGGAGCGACAAATCGGGCCGGCCCTCTTTGTAAAAAGGATTAGCATGTGAATTGAGCGGTGCGCTTTTAATGACTCTCGCCGGTGTAATGACCTACTCTAGATTTTGTGTGCAGGGAAGAGAAAAGAGTGGCCGCGCCGAGAACTCTTTCGCATTATTTGCCGATCTCGGCGGGCCCTTCTCAAATCGTTTTCAACTCAACGACTCCCAAACAGCTTTTACTTTATTTCGCATCAGTACACGTTCGAGCGGTCTTTTCATGCCCGTCGCTACTGTCAAAATTAAAACATAACAAATTATTGACGCAGCAAAAATTGGAGAAATTTCTTAAATCATTATGTCCGATGAGCTAGTGATCGTTTAATTGTTAGCGTTAAAGTGAAATTTTTCTCTGTGAAGATGTTTCATTTTCTCTTTTGCTCTTTACTATTATTGTCCTTATCTGTAGAGTGGAATTTATTAAAATTCTTAAAATTCTTGAAATGATTTTTTATCTGTGAAAATTGAAATTATAATAAAAAATTTTGCACCAATCAGAAAGTTATAAAAAAAAGAAAAATTCAGAAAAAATGACCGAAGTTTAAGTTTCTTAAAATAATCATCCAGCGTAAATACTTATTCCAATGCCAGATTAAAGATCTAATAAAAATCTACTTTAAAACTTTTCAACTTGGTTAATGTTATGCGAGAAGCTTAAAAACCAAAATGCATTAAAGCGCTCAAACAAATCTCCCTTTCTTGAGTGTCATTTAAAGAAAATATCTTGGCAGCCTAAACAATTTACTTACAATTAGAGTCATTTTGTAAAAATTAAGGTTTTAGACTGACAAGATTAAAAAAAAAAAATGTCAAAAACGAGTTTTTCATTGCTGATCTGATTTTTTTTTCAATTATAGTATCTAAAATCTAAATTTTTTTCAGCTACTAGTTTGGATGTAAATAATTCTAAAAATAACAGTTTTTTCCCCAGCGTTTTCTTTTTAATAATTCAGAATGCAGCAATTTTTTTCTTTACTTCCACGAAGTTGAAAAAAATCTCAGTTCTTTAGTAGAATTTGGATAATTTAAGTATTATGCATATTTTATCGCCCCTCTAATTTAAAAATTTATTTCACTCAGAAATCTTTTGCCAAATTTAAAATCAAATTTTAATCAATCACAACATAAGACAATATTTTACTTATTTTTCCACAATTTAATTTTTTCTGATTTATAGGACCAAGTTTTATCATCCAACATTTTTCCCCCGTCAATTTACTAGAGTTGCGCTCGTTGAAATAACTGGAGATCAATGTACTCAAAAAAATTAATGAGGCGTCACCGTTCTCCGATAAATAAACTCCAATGCTGGTGCACTTGTAGTTAATGCAAGTTTCAATGAGTCGATAAATTCGCTGCTGGTGAAATCAAATGTAAGCGATGATGATACGGGTTTCGTGGCACCATTTTTATTAACTACTATGGTCGGGCGATCTCGCGATTGTACGGGCGCATAAACGCAATTTGGTCCGATGATTGTTGGTCCGACAGCCAATAAGCAAGGATGAGTTGAGGAAAAACTAAACGTGCCAGGCAGGCGTAAAACGAGAATAATTGAAAAGAAGGAGTTTTATTTCCAAAGTAGCTCTCTTTCCTCTTCCTTTGTTCTTGAGACGAGCATGCGAATTTTGGCCAGGTCGCTTTCCCACATCACCAACTTTAAGCGCGACGACGCATGTGAATCAAGTGAGACGAAACATAACACACACTACACTAGGAAAGAAAAGTATAATATGGTAATAAAGAATGAAATGGACGCGTGATTTTGCTCATTGTTTCGAAGCAGCAGAAAGAGAAATTTCTTACAATTTCAAGAAAATAATTTACCATTATTTAGAAATAAAAAAGTGAAATTGCAGTTTCGCATGATGTGGAAAGAGTGATTTTTCTCTATGTATGTAATTTCAATTAATTTTATTGCAAAGTGTCGACGTAATTAAAAACACACGAAGTTGAGGTTAAAAATTATATCAATCAAAGTGTTCACACTTTCGTCAAACCGCAAATTTTCATCACAACTTCAAACAACTGTAATAGGTAAAAAAATCGCTTAACCAATTTTTTTAAAGAAAAATTAAAATTTAAAAATGAGTTGTAAGCAGTCCATCAAGATGGCACTCTTTTGGGGATAATTTTTATGACCCGGTCATCATTTTCGTGATTAGCGCAGAACCTCCTTCTGGAAATCTTGTCGGTTTTGTGTAGGTGCAATTAGCGTGGGATGAATTTCGACTGAATGCATTTTTTTTACTCAGCGTGGTTATAATTTGTGATAATGCACGTCCTGTGGGAACCAGCAATGGTGGGTGATACGAAAAACGGCACACTTTCCACTCTTGCTGCGTTTAAGTGAACCAAAATATCATATTCGGCCACGCAGAGACAAGACGGAATTATGCAAATTATACATACGTGAGAAAATGGATTCGTTTTGTTCTCTTTATAAGCTTCTACTGCAGCTTCTAGAAAAAATTTAATGCTTTCTAAGCGGCTAAGCATGAATTATTGAATTAAAACCAAAAGTGAGGAAAAGAAAAAACAATCATAAGTAATTTGAACTCAAAATTAATACATAAAGCAAAATAAAGATCTGTTATGTAAATTATAATTGATGTCTTAACAGCTTAATCATAATTCAATACAAGAAAATACAAAATGTTATTTTTAATTTTTTACATTATATTAAGTAATTGTGAGCTATATTTAATTAAGAATTAAAATAAATTTCATTGCTATTTTAAAAATGAAAATTGACACAAATATAATACTTTTTTCTCAGTATGAAAAAAATGCAATATTTTTATTTTATCTTCCTGTTTTGTAGTTTAAAGTGCTTTTTTTATATTTTAAATCAAATATTTTTCCTCTAAAATTTGATAGCAAAAAAAATAATATTGAATCACTTGAAGTGAAAAATGGAAGATGAAGAAAAACTTTGATAAATTTTGGTTCAATAATTGCAGCGTTGACCCACATTTGGCTGCGCCTCTGAGGAGCGTTATAGGCAGATGTGCGTTTGATGAATTTCTTATTATAGAGGACTGAGATGTTTAGCGACCATATGTGTTGAGAATTTTATACCAGCGGCTCTATAACTAAGTGGGCCGCTCGCCTGCGTTAGGCCGGAACCTCGATCTCATCAAACGAGTATAATAACCAAACGAAAAAAGATATGCCCCTGTATATTATTTATGTTTGGAGATTTTTACGCACACTTATCTCCACTTTTCACTTTTTGGCCGTTTTCGCCAGAGCAACAGGTTGAAATTTATACAAAATACATAAATGGAGTGGAGATGGAAACAAATTAAAAATAAACCGAAATAATGAAAATTGGTCATAAAAATTAAGTATTTGAATTTTATTAAAATTGTCTTATTCAAACAGTTTGCTCTTTTAAATTGATGAAATTGTTCCATTTTTTCGCCAGTCACAGTTTGGTTTACTATTTAAATGATAGGCTTTATAACAAATGACGGAAGCAATGACAAAGCTTTTTAACTTGTAAAAATTAAAGCTTAATCATCCACTTTCGGCCATTCCAAATAATTGAAAATGAAATAATATATTGTGAATTAATCCTCTCTGCATTCCCATGCTTTTAAATTTACAAACAGCTCAGTCTACCTCATTGACATTATAAAGTTTTATTTTGAATAAAAAGTCCCAATGTCTAATTTATTTTATTTTATGCACATTTCTCTTTCAAATACCTTAAGTCGCTTTGCTGAATTTACTTCTCCGGAAATGAAAATTTTTTAATAACACCTCGGTGATCCAGATAAGCGACTTACAAGTTATGGAAAGTGATATTATTGTCTCTGCCGATCGGAAGGTGATTATTATTTTTATTATTCCACATTGTTCGAGAGCGGTGAAAATAAAAATTTTACTTTTACAATCACTTTTTCCTGTGTGCGTGTAATTATTACGTACTTAATAAAATAATGAAGAAGCGATTGGGTGCAGCATTTTTGTTCTGCTCCACTTGAGCGTGCGTCTCTCCTCAGGTACCTGCAGCGAGTGCGAAAACCTTTCTCCTTGAAATTTGATAGACAAGGTGAAGAAGAAAATATTGTTATGAATTTAAGCGTATTAAGTGTATCTGAATGTCGGTCGCGGTTATGCTAAAAACAAGGCTAATTTCCATGTGCCTCGTGTGACGTATCGGTAATTGCGCGCGTGCTCTGCTTTCCGCTCCGAAGGGAGCCTCGAATTATTATTAGTGAAAGAAACTGAGAGAGAAAGAGAGGAAAGTATTTCATTACTTACTTGATGATGATAGCCGTGTAGTTAGTTGAGAACTGAAATTTGTTCCAAAATGCAAAAACAGCGACCTTTCTTTTTAACTCTGACTGTTTGAAACATCATGTTATTCACAATCATCTTGAATTTTTATTTGAAGTTTTATTTATTCATTTATTATTATTTTTTACGAACATTATTTATTTTAATAGAAACGAATTTAAAGCAGGACTAAAAGGAGGCAAACAGTGTAAAACAATGCATTTTATTTCAATAATGTAAAAGTATTATAAAACTCTAAGTTTAAATATTTTATTTTACTTTTTAAAAATGACTTTTCGTAAAACGAAAAAATCTTTGCATTTCTCTATTAGTTGATTTTTATATGTTACACTTCACATCAAAATTAAATTGCTTCTTAGAAAAAAAACGAGTGAAATTGAGAGGAAATTTGCAAGTGTTGTAATCAAACCAAAATAAGTAAAAGTGTTCAGATAGTTAAGAAAAACAATAGGATGGAGTCACTGAGTTTTTTTTTATGCGGTAAGAGTTTTAAGTTAAGACACTTCCTGGACTTAAAATCGGATAATAAAATTATCTGGTACTCATTGTGCTTTTTGCTCAAATTCTAAACAATGACATACTCTCAATTCGTTCAATATTTAACCAGGAAACGGTCGTTCCACTTGAGTGTCTATGATATTTGCACCGAATATTTCCTTTCATCAACGTCAGCCACGGTAATGATTAATGTTAATGAGAAAAATATTCTCCTTTCTCTATTTAATACACCTCCCTTCGAGTTCATTAACGCTGTCGCGCGCAATTAAACCTTAATTTAGAGCACGCAGGTGTTGGTTGGTGCTCACGAGGGAAAAATTAGATGCAAAGCGCACCAATCGACTCTTTATTATTCATTTGCATTCAACTTTTATTCCCTCTCAAGCAGGAGGAGAAATTTTTCATAGCTGCAATGTGTTTTTATTTTTAATCGAGTTCTAGTTAAGAGGGATAATTGTAGATGCATCAAATGATTGAAAGTAACTGCGAGGAAAAAAATCAACTATGTATTTAATGTAAATAGTTTCAACGTGAAGTGACTGGGAGCATTGAAAATAAAATCCAAAAAATATTTATTTCTTATCTATTATTTTTAAAGAAAAAGAGAGTTATTTGTTCACCTCGGTCGTTTTTTTGGGGAGTAAAAATTAGTACATTTCATGGACATTTTAATGTGAAAAAATTTATCCGGAAATTAGAGTCTTTTAATTACAGTAGATTTTCATTTACATTTTGGCTCACAGTACTTTAAACACATTAATTAGCTTTCATAAAGTACTCATTTATCTTGCGAAGATATTAAATTTAGATTTTTGATGCACGATAATTAATTAAATTGGCCTTCTGCACCACTAATAAAGAACACAGGCCAACAAGGCCTGACCCTAAAAAAACACTTTTTTCAATATAACTGTATCATTTTTTAAATAAATTGTTACTCAAATATTGCTGGTTAAATGAGGCGTGAATTTTCGATTGGCTATTAAAATCACTTTTAACGTGTGTCCTGGATTGTTCGATAATTGCTAAATTTTGGTGAAAGGCGCCAGGAGTAAAACGGATTGCGAATCGAGATTTGAAATTGGCAATGTTTTTCGTCCAGTTGCATCCAACCACAGCGAAATTTATTTCCCATATACACAATAAGGTTGCGAGTAATCATAAGTCACTTCTGTAATTTTTGGCTCCACTCTGACGTATTTAATTTCAATATTGTGTTCAATAATCTTAAGCATAATCTTAAGCAAAACCTGCTTTGGCCGCGTAAAGTTTGATCTACTAAATTTCACCAAAAGCTGATTGAGAAAGTAACGACTTTAAATAAAATTTATCATGATTATCATATCAATAGTAAAATTCTTCTAAAAATAGTGAAAAAAATTAAAGATATTAACTAACAATAACCTGTCACCTTGCTTGAAAGAAATCACTCGGACAGAACTTGAAAGTATTGGTATAACAAATTTAATTTAAAAAAAGTATCACCTTTACTTAACCTATAACTATTTTTATTCAATTTTTTTCTATTTGGCAAAAAATATTATATTGTTTGCTTCTGAAATTTCAGCTTACACAATTTAAGTTTAGATAAATGTAAAAGATGTTTAGTATAAAAATATGTAATTTCACAATTCATTTCTCGCAAGTCGATAAAATAATTGTGGTGATTATTGAGCAGCCTATCGATTGCAACACCTGCTGTGACCGCATAAGGTACAACCACAAAAAGCTCATCGAGAGAGCGACGCAGCATCTCTCTCACGTCTCGCAGCATCTCTTCCGTTTTCCCAGAGAAAACTCACCAAGTGCATTTTAATTCGTTACACATTAAGTTATGCACCGAGTACATATGGCCAAGTCGCTTCATTACAAAACGCGCAGAGCTGCTTCCGCTAAGAGAAAATTATACTTGGTGAGAAAGAAAGAAAGAAAGTCGAGAGATGCTCGCTTTAGTACACAAGTCGCGGGGAAATTAATTCTGGCGCGCGTGCCTTCCTCAAAACTGGTCGCGCTCGCAGATGAGGGTCAACTATGTGTACGACTCGCTTGTTTGTTCGAGTGTCACCGGTATTAAATTTTATTCAAACGAACGAAAGCATCGATCTTGAGAATAGAGATCTCCGAGGGACGGACTTAATTATTTCAAGAGAAATTCGTCCCGCGACTTTTCCTTCAACTCCAATGAAAAAAAACCTTTTATTCAACCTTAAATAATATAGTAGTTTGCCAAAGACTTCTTGGGGAGAAACTAGAAAAGTGAATTTTGTAGTTTAATTTGATACATTTAAATAGATGAATAGAATGCAAAATTAAATTTTGTGTTTTATTAATTTGACGATAAATATGTTTTTTTTTTAATTTCATTAAAATAATTATCAAATTAATTTATTGTGTGAATGACTTTTTTAATTTTTGAATATATATTCAGCAAAAACTTGCACTTGCAAACAATTTTGTTTTAAATTTAAATTATTATATTGCATGTAATAAAAACATAATCTGTCTTAAATTTATACAACTTCAAGTCCTGTTATGGAAAAACACTAAAACTACAAACTACTTCCTTAAGTTCCTTATAAGTAAAATATGGGACTGGGTTTAATTTTCATGGAAAATGGAAAACATAATTGAAAAAATCTTCTGTCATAATCTGCAACAAAAATATGTGATAAAAAATTAGCAAACTTTGAAAGGATAAACACGTTCTTTGAAAATTGAAAACCGGGCGAACCTTGTAGCAAAGAATAAAATGTTTTTCCTTCATGAAAATTATTTGCTCGACAGTTTTTGTTGGACAGAAAAGAAAGTTGTGTACTTTCTTGTGCAAATTAAAATTGATTTCATTGTTTTCATTTCAGTTGATATCGACTCGTGCGAAGAGTGTTCGGCCGCGTCTTGCTCTCCGGTGGCTCCGCCGCCGCCGCTGATGCTCTTCTCGAGCAGCCGAAAGTTGAGCGCCGCCGGCCTCCGGTTGGACGAGTGTCGAGACTGCGAGGACAACCATGGCAAGAAGCTCGTCTCCTTCAGTCCGGCGCCTCGACGCTTCTCCGTGCCGACGCAGCCCAAGTTGGCCTACGTGTACGACGCGGCGCCCAACAGGGCAAAGGCCAAGACGAGTCTGCCCTCGTGGAGCAGCGCCAGGGAAAAGAGCGCCGAGCTAGTCTACAAGGACTCGCGCCTTTCGGACCTCAACCTCAACAAAAGGTTCATAATTTCCTTGAATAAAAAAATAATTAGAAATGAATGAAATAAAATTAAGATTATCTCTAAAATAACCCTGTATAAGAAAAAAAAATGAAGTAAAAATTTTTTCTTGTTAAGAAAATAAAAATTAGAATAATACTAAATTTAGTACCAAATAAATGTGGATATTATTATTAATTTATGGAAATCAAATATTTTTTCCTATAGGATAGATTTTTTTCTCAAAATGAAATTTCAAAATGTCAGAAAATGATGTCTGATGTCTTAAAATTTATATATTTGTTTAACGAGGAAAATAAAAGTTTATTATATATTAATTGATAAAAAAAATTGTATCAGCTGTATATAATTTCATAAAATATTTAAATCTACGTTAATTTGGATTAAAATTAATAGCATAATTGGGCCAACTGCGTATATACCCTTTTTGAACAAATAACTTTTTAAGAAAACAGGAAATTCTTGAACATTTTCGGAATGTTTTAAATATTCCAAAAAAAAATATGTATATTTTTTTATCCAACAGATTTCAATAAAATTTAATCTGTATTATTTTTTAAAACTACAGCAGGTGGGAAAGGACACGGCGCACTAGTTTGGCCCTGCCAGTCGCCACAGGTCTGCCCCAGACCTTGGTTGAGTGCGGCTGTTCTGATCACGAGGGCCCACATGCGACTCTTTTGGCACCGCCGAGACACCCTTGCCGCTGGGGCATGGCCAGGTCGGGCCACGTGGCCATCGACTACACCAACGCATGGATGTCTCTCGCTAGGAGGATCAAACCGAGCAGAACGTGATGGAGTTGTCCATGAGATCAAATATATTCCGATTAATATGCTTTTGTGATTGACAGATTTTAGAAAAATTATAATTATATGTTCTGGCCATGTCTGCATAATTTACAACAAATTTGTTTTGGAAACACTAAGATTAATTTAGAGATAATTGCTCTCCTCAAGAGAATCTATTATGTATATATTTATATAGTTTAATTACTTGTTTTCATGATAAAAATAAATAAACAATAAAAAATTTAGTTTGTGTACTTTTTTGTCCAAATAACATAACATTTTATCAAGGGTGGCAACTTATAGAAAATCCAATATAATAATTCATCTAAATTTTCAACTAGTTTTTCTGTAGTTTTTAAACATTAAAAACAATCTTATTCTAATAAATATCCATCCACGTAAAGAACCAATTAATCAAAATAATGAAAATACTTCTGAATTGATAATGTCAGAGGCCTAAAATAAAGAATTTGAGGAGCATTTTGTGCAAAATTTAACTTTAAAGAAAGATTTGATATTACTTCCATCCCTTTTGAACATTGAATCAAAAATAACAGCTACGGATTAGTAAGACGGAAATTATTTTTTAATGTGACACTGGAAAGTCATAAATAACTCTTGTTCAATTCTCACATTTCACCTCAAAAAACAATTCACATTTGTCCGCACTGTGTGATGGTGACCGGAATTTTGGGTTTGTTGTTGGGGCCGATGGGAACATTCTCAACCTTGCGCATAACCAAGAGTCCGTCGATCACTTTGCCGAAGACCACGTGCTTCCCGTCTAAAAAGTTGCACTTGGCACATGTTATGAAGAACTGGCAGCCGTTTGTGTCTTTTCCACTGTTGGCCTGAAAATTTTCAAAATCAAATGAAATCTTTGGTTTAAATGAAACAAAAAGTACCATTGACAAAAGACCTGGCGAGTCGTGTTTCAAAGAGAAATTCTCGTCTGCGAAGGAAGTGCCGCCGTAAATGCTCATCACTCCTGTTCCATCCCCCTTTAATCATATAATTATTATAAGTTTTATTAGTTATAAATTGGAATATTAATAATTTACATTGACAAAATCGCCCCCTTGGATCATGAAGTCCTTGATTACTCTGTGGAAGGGCGACCCTTTGAAGCCCATCGGCACTCCGTCCCTCCGATATTCGCCGGTGCAAAACTGTCGGAAGTTTTCACTCGTCCTTGGAACGACATCAGCGAACAACTCCATCACCATACGACCGATTTCCTACAAAGATTGAAAGAATTTATTGCAAAATGTTATTTACTTTTTCGGGAAACTTCCCAAGTTCTTTTCCAGAATATGAAATAAAAAATATGTACATACCGTGTTTCCGACCGTGATGTCGAAAAACACCACCGGATTGTTCGGACTTCTCAAGCTATTTTGCATCTGCTGCCACGTCGGCATCTTCTCGGAATTTTTAGTAAATTTCAAATTCGGAAACTGGAAAACGCCGGCACTGACTTGCTGCTTCACTTTCTAGTCAAAAATCAAAACAACCAACAAGTAAACAAAACAAAAATGGTTCAGGATGGGCCACTAGGTGGCACCACCCTGCAGGATCTGACGTGAAAGGCGCTCAAAAAATGCATTATTGTAGCACATTATTTTATAAAATATATATGCGTGCGTATTATAAATTAAAATTAAAGCGAAATAAAAATTCAAAATAAAATTTTCCTTTATATAATTTATATTATGTTCTTAACATTCAACTTCATTCAGTATTTTCTTCTTAATTTCTGGCTGGAAAGTTAATTATTTTGTAAATTAATAATTTTCACTTTCCACGCTATTTTTCTTTTCCGGCACAAGGAAAATTTCTTTTTTATACAAGAAAGATGACTCTTTTAAAAAAATACACATTGATTTATATTGTATAGGGGGGTTGTTTTCATAAATAATTTTACAAGACTTGCAATAAATTAAAAATCAGGTGTAATAAAAGGCCTGCTAATCAGTTACATAGCCTCTAGAAAAATTAGAACGTAATGAAGACATTTAATTTATGCTCAAAATCTAACTAATACAAGGTCACCTTGTTCAGCTGGAACTTCCAGAAGTTTAAGAGAAGGACCACTAAACTTCATACTTCATCACGCATACTTTTTAGTATTTTTCTCCTTTCGTTTTGTCATGCTGAATAACAAGCTTAAGTTCAGGAGCGATGGCAAAAATGTGTATAAAAATTTATAACATAATTATCAATATCATAATCATAATTAAATAAAATTTATTATTGTAATCACATGCAAAGATAAACAGTTTGATCAAGATGATGAAAAAAAAATCCTAAAAGTTGACATTTTTTTACGAACTAAAGTAATTATCAATGTTCATGAAGAATAGTTTTAAAAAAGTGCGCCAGTTAAAAACAAATTCTCGCATTGTAGTTATATATATTTTTTTTTTAAATTCAAAAACATGTTATGTGTATTGCCTAAAATAATTATGAAACTACAGCAATTACTACACGTTTTATAAATGAGAGTCGTACTTAGCGCCGCGTGCATTGTTATAATCTCGTCCCCACGCCTCTATAACACAAGGTCTACGACAGGACGCGGCAATAAATCACAAATACACGCGAGGCCCTCGCCTGTCCATTTATCCATCAGAGTTCAAGTGTCGTCTTCGTACTTGCGGTTTTAGCGAAGCGAATCTCGTTGCGAATCGCCCTCAGGTGCGCGGCGAGAACGGAGGCGCGCGGCAGGTATAGAGAGGGGGCCGCGACTTGCTCGCCGCCACTCTCCGCGGGTCAACCTTTGACAGTCTCCAGTTCGCTTTTTGGCCGACAACTCCAGTCGCACCTCATCGGGATATAGGCCGACGAGACACTCCAAAAAGCAGGTGAGAGGGTTTTTTTTATCCGGGCTAGATTATTTGGCACCAATTCCGCGAGCGTCTGGAATTGTTTTTAGGTGACACACTTTCAGATCGGATATTGGAATCGGAATGTGTGCGAGCTGCGCTGCCTTTGGCAGAATAAGAAGCATTCACTCGAACATCATGCACATAATTATGCTCGTCAGGGAACTATAATTATAGTTGTATTAGTCAGCGCCGCCTTAATTCGGAATAAAATTCTCACATTTCTCACTAAATTTTAATCCTTCGCAAAAAAGTAATTTTGTTTATTATCTAAATAGTTTCGCAAAATGCAAATTGGCTAAAGTTTTATTTTTATAAATTTTAATTTTGCAATTACATTATTTTGCATCCTCGCTGAAGTTTCGCTTCACTTGCGATGTGGGTGATTTGCAGCAAAGGTCAGTTGAGGCTGTTGTTCTCCGCTGGCGATCGGAATGTCTCATTATCGGCTGTAAATAAACTCGGTCGCAATGGGTCGCAAGTATAATCCGTTCAAATCTCTCTGTATAATAAAGGTTGACATAATTTCTAGATTGAAAAGTGGAAAACCTGAAATATTATAAATTAAAATTTAAAACTCCAAAAGATCTGAAATCTAATAATATTAAAATTATATTTAATTTTGCGACCTGGACAATCATATCCTTAACCGACTAAAACATTAAATCAGCAGGTACGCATATTTTCAGCATAATTTTAATCACAGCTGTTTATTAAATCTGTACATATTTGGCTTTAGGCTATAGGATTAATTGGGATAAATGAGCTAAATTGCACTTTAGCGTCTTGCCAATTAAGTCCAGAAAGGTCCACTGTTTCATTTTTATGGCCAATCATTAGGGAGGAGGCGCATTTCCTTTTTTTTTAAGATAAGACACGATTGGTCTGTTTCTGGTTCTGGGCAAGAGATGTTTTGCTGAAAGTTCGTCGCAGCGTGACTTCCAAATTATCGCTCTGCTGGACGCGTCACCTTCAACTTCTTCGTTTAATGACTTATTTCCTCTTTGCATCATTTTCTCAGAGAGATAACTATGGGAAAAGAGTATACATAAAAATTTAGCAAACAAGCCTTGAAATATAAACTGAATTCAAAGAAATATTAAAAGAATCCGACATGGTCATTATTAACACAAAATTAAAAGCGAAATACTTTACTTCTCGAAAAAGCCAGCTAGTCTATATTGAAATCTTGAAAAGTTTCCAAATTTTCTTCTTTATCAATAATTTTCCTTCTAAAAATTGTTGCCAAAACTTTCAGTTAAGCATTTCCAAATAGCAAAGCGAATTATGGCAATACCGAACGTTGCGCTTTTCAAATATTTTGAAAAATAAGAACACGTCACATTCTGCGGTTTTCTAATGCTGGTCGACGCCAGTGAAATTTTATGCAGCGGTGCGGCGATAATAAACTGAAAGCGTTCGCGACTTCCTTGCTGCCGACACATGACAACAAAGTCTCTTATTATTTTGCCGCCGCCAGAATCCATTCATCAATTTGCGGCGGATCCACACCTAGTTCTCTCTCGATCGTGTTCGCGACAAAGCACTCTGATATGTGACCAACACCGCAACCTTTGCATAATTAAAGGTGAGCTCCGTTCAATGTCACTTATTGCCAGCAAGCCGTTTTTGAACCGAGCTAAGAAAAAGCAGAAACGTGTTTTGGCGTCTTGTTACATAACAAGTATATCCAGGGCCTTTTAATATATTTTTTTTGCATGAGATCATTTTTGGCAAGGTTTTTTGCTATTGAAATTGATCAAGGTTAATTTGATTTTAAATCCTGATAAATTTTGTCAACGCATTGCAAAATATTAATTGACATCGGTCATTCAATACCCAATTCAAAAAATGTATATTACAAATTTCAACGAAAAAAAATCTTTTTATCAATTTATTGAACTTTGTTTTGATTTTTTAAGTTTCAATTTATTCATTGTTAATGCCGTGTGTTTCTAACTTAGAAGATATCAAAACAGGAAGAAAAACAGCAATTAAGTTAGAAGGAAACTTTTTGTGGCCAGAATTTAACCAGCCGAAATAAAAACAACAACAGCAAAAATCCCCTAGTAATACGTGCTTAATAAAATATTACTGAAAGTTAAACAAGGAAAACGTGCTCTCAAAAGGTGTTGGGCGGCGTCTGCTATGGGATTCCCAGCGCAAAAGATACAAACATAATCATATGAGACCCGGTTAGCACTTTCTGTATATCTTATGCCAACATATCTCTTCTCAGTTAAATAAAATTTCATTGCGTGACAAGTGTGCAAAATACAAGTTTCAAGAAAAAGTTTACTGATACATCACAGGGCATTCTCTGCACAAATACATTATTGATACAAATCAATTCAAAAATAATAACATTTTAACAATAGAAGGGACAAAAATTTAATTAACAAATTTTATAAAATTGTTGATGGTTAAAATTATTTCTAAATTAAATACCATTAAGTTGAGGTTTTTTTCAATGTCACATATTATTATTTGAATAGATTTTAGCTCTCATTAATCTCGTGTATTGTATTTTAGAGATTACAAAAATTGTGGGGGGTTAATTTATGGAAAATTTCTTACTTTTATTTTTCCTGACGAGCAAAAACATTTATTTATGCATATTTATTTGATATTATTTCATTATTATTATGTTTGTTTTGGTGCAGAATGGCGGCGCGGATTCTCAGCGTGATGGGCCGCCGGAAGCGGATGGAGGACGACGCCGAAGGCTCGCAGTTGGCGAGGGTGTTGTCGGTGCTCGACCTGACCGCCCTCGGCGTCGGCAGCACCCTGGGCCTCGGCGTCTACGTGTTGGCAGGAGCGGTGGCCAGAGACACGGCCGGACCTGCCGTCACCTTATCTTTCTTGGTTGCAGCCATCGCGTCAGCTTTCGCAGGTGAGCCATCCAAATTTTGTTTTAAAATTATTGAGGGCGATCCAAAAGCCTAACCTGGCCCAGGCTAACTTGACTTAACCCTGGGCTAACTAAGCCCACCAGCAAAATTGAATGGCGGGTTAAATTAGCCCAGGACAGGTTAATTTAGCCTGGGTCAAGTTAGCCTTTTGGATCGCCCTCAATTGTAAACAAATTAAAATTTTCAAAATTTAAAATCACTAATGATGCAAAATTCATTCAAAAAGTTAAATTAATTCAGTGAAACGATATTATTTTATAAATACCTTACATTATAGATTTTGGTTTTAGTTTTTCAAACTATTATTTTATCATTGAAAGCAACCAGAATCATTAGACAATTTATAATTATTATTATGCTTAAAAAATTTGATTCACCTGCAACACTTCTTAATGAGGTTGGGCGGCAGTCAAGCGACTTTTCATTAATCTAGGTCAATCACACGCACAAGATGAATTGCAAAAGAGGAGAGTGAGTTCCTCTCTATTTGTTTAAACTCATTTTCTTTAAAATCATCAATTATTTATTATTTATTTTCCTTTATTGTATACTATTTATACAAGTAGATTTTTATTTTAAGAAAACAAAAGTTGAGTATAATATGCATGAATCCATATTTAGCATTTATTTTGTTGCATCAGTGTCTATGTTAGTGTGGTTTGAACGCACAATTCACCTTGACCAGCTCTCAGTGCGCTTCATATCAACTTTAATAGCAGTAAAGTAATCGACGGCGTCTGAACTACAAAACCGCACCAATGTCAATTAATAGGCGACTTGCCAAGAGGCACGTGATGAGCTTTGTTATTTATTATTTTTCTATCGCAAACAGGAAGTTTTTTTATCTGAACTAAGCAAATAACTGAAATAACATTATAGTTAAAAAAAACCCATCAAAATAGTCAAAATAGTATTCATTCTTTATTTTTAAGTTTGATAAAAAAAAACTTTGTAATTATTTTTCAAATTATTTAAATATGTTTTAGTGATTCTTCTTTGTTAAAATCGGTATAGATAATGCTGTAATAAACTGCCAGCTACAAGACTTTTGCGTGCTTTTAAAATATGAAAACTAAAGAACATATTTTTAAGAACAAATTTATTGGTATTATTCAATATTTGTTTCTTCAAAATTTGAGTTTATATGAAAGTAAATTTCCATCTTTGTTTTAAATTTCACTCCACATTTTATTCTGGGTGGACGCTTGTGCTCATTTGTAAAGTGACGATTGCGTTGCACTGCATTCTGATAAAAAAGTGACGCGAGATAGAGCCTTATTATATACTGTCGCAGCCATTCTCTTGGTGTCTTGCACGTATAATTATTTTCTGAGATATGCCACCCCTTCGTTCAGAAAGTTGCGTTTGTGGAACAGTAAAACTAAAAAGATAAAATTTATTCACCAGAAATTGTTGTAAAAAGTGGAGTTTTCATGTTTATTTTATTTCTACTGAGAGAAAAAACTAATCAAAAAATAAAATCTCAATTTTCAATTCTATTTTGTTATTTGTTACCCCACATAATTCAAACGTTTGCCAATTATTTTTTTGCAGCCCTGTGTTACGCCGAGTTTGCAGCCCGCGTGCCCAAAGCAGGGTCAGCCTACGTCTACAGCTATGTCAGTGTTGGCGAGTTTGTCGCCTTCGTCATCGGCTGGAATCTCATCCTTGAATACGTCATTGGTGAGTAGAAAACAATCGGCGTTTTTCTTCAAGCAAAATAAACAAAGAATTCTCCATCAAACTTGAATTTAATTTATAATTTTATATGGTTTTGATTTTAATGTCATCCAGGCACGGCTAGTGTGGCGCGCGGAATGAGCAGCTACATTGACGCGTTGACAAACTACACAATGCGAGACGCGTTCATCAGCATCTCTCCAAAGTGGGAGATCGATTTTCTCTCCAAGTACCCTGACTTTTTCTCATTCTTTGTGATCATGCTGCTAGCAGGTGATTAATAATTTGAAAAATTTATTTCATAAAACACGGAAAATTATTAAATAAATGCATAAAAATGTTAAGAGCTGAAGATTTCCAGAATTTAGAAACTGAACATTTCTATGTTATAAATTAAACAATCGAAATTGTTAAAAAGTAGAAATGAATGAACTTTATTTTAAAATTTCTCAATTTTGTTGTTTGTTTGTTTTTTAATTTTAGTTAGGTGGAAAAATAAATGAAGTTATTTTAATTTTTAACAGTTCTGCTGGCAACTGGAGTGAAGGAGTCGACAATGATGAACAACATTTTTACCGCGCTTAACCTGATCACAATTGCAATTGTGATCGTCGCTGGTGGCATCAAAGCAGACTTCAAGAATTGGAACATTCCCAAGGAAAGCATCCCTAAGGAAGTGAGGCACAGGGCGGGCGAAGGAGGGTTCATGCCCTTTGGGTTCTCCGGGGTGATGGCCGGTGCGGCCAAATGCTTCTACGGCTTTGTGGGTTTCGACAGCGTGGCCACGACCGGTGAGGAAGCGCGCAACCCGCAACGCTCCATTCCTCTGGCCATCGCCTTTTCTCTGGTCATCATCTTCTTTGCCTACTTTGGAATTTCGGGGGTGCTCACCCTCATGTGGCCCTACTACGACCAGGTCAGCATTTAATTTGCAAAAAAAAAAATGCACATAGATATAAAAATAGTGATGAACATTGTTTATTATGGAATGGAATCATTTTTTTTTCTGATTACCTAATAAAAATAAGTTGAATTTTTTAGAATTCAAGATATATTTTTTTGCAAGTTTTGAATTTAACTATAATGATTTCTTTCATTTCAGGATCCTGACGCACCCTTCCCATACGTCTTTGAACAAATAGGGTGGCCGGTGATTAAATGGATAGTCACTGTAGGGGCTATTTTTGCTCTTTGTACCTGGTAATTATTAAATTATTATTATCATTGTTTAATTTTAAAACAATTTTTTGCAGCCTTCTTGGAGCAATGTTTCCCCTGCCCCGAGTTCTATATGCCATGGCCAAAGACAGACTTATCTTCCACAATCTGTCGCGCATCCACCCCCGCACCAAAACTCCTCTTGTCGCTACAATTTCCTCAGGCATCCTTGCAGGTTAGTATTTTTCCCCTAATTTTTGCGTGCTATTTTTAAAGATATATTTTTCTTACAGGTTTAATGGCCATGTTGTTTGATCTGCAGCAACTGATCGACATGATGAGCATTGGCACCCTGCTTGCGTACACCATCGTGGCGATTTGCGTGTTGGTGTTGCGATACCAGGAGTCGGAGGACCCTGCGTTCCTCTCGATCGCCGCCAGCAACAAGGCAATCAGTAAAGAGAGTGAAGACAATCACCTTTTTGGACACTTGTTCAACTACCCACTCAAGAAAGTGCCCTCAGCCGTCTCGTCTGCCATTTCTAAATGGGGCATTTGCCTTTTCAGTAAGTTTTATTTTTAATTCCATTAATTAAGAAAAGTAATTTAAATAATTAATGGATTTGAAAAATACAAAAAATACACAATATAAATGTTAAACTAATTTTTTTATAGGTGCATTGGCGGCAGGATTATGCGCTTGCATTATTTACTCGGGACACGACCTTGTCCGTGGACGATTGTGGACAGTTGTGCTGACCACTTTGCTAGCCCTTTCCCTGCTTTTCATCCTGGTGGTGATTGCCAGGCAGCCAAAGGCGCGCACAGACCTCTCCTTCAAAGTGCCCTGGGTGCCAATCATTCCTGCGCTCAGCGTCATTTTCAACTTGTACTTAATGCTCGAGCTGGACGGACACACGTGGATTCGATTTTCAGTGTGGATGGCCTTAGGTAATTATAAGTTTACTAAAGTGAAAATTGATTTTAAATTTTTTAATGGAAGTTGAAATTTCTTATTTAACATTTTGCTGGAACACTCTAGGTTTCTTGATTTACATCTGTTACGCCATTCCAAACAGTGAAGAAGGACGCCGAAGAAAAGAGGACGAGATCGCCAAAGAGGCCTACACAAACGACGCCTTTGCTGACGACAATTTGAAAAAAGACAACGTGACTTCAAAGTTCTAAATTTCTTATGCGAAAAACACGGAAAATTGTGATTTCTCAAAAGCGCCTAAAAGACTTATTTGAACTGTGGTCCAGTAGATAGTTTTTGAAGTGTCGATATATTAACATTTTTTTAAATTTAAATACGGCCTGCAATTTATTTATTGTGAAAACATTGTGATTTGCTTGTGAAACTGTTAGTGTTTTTCATGAATAATTAACATCTCTATAGCTATATATCCTGCATTTGACGCCGTGATGCTACTTATTGTCACATGATCTTTACCTTTTTCAATCAAATAATAAATTATGATCAAGATTTAATGTTATAGGTAATAAAATTTATTTATGTAAATAAAATAGACAGTTGCTTGATTCTTGATTTGCTTCATAATGCTATAAACAGTGACGACATTTAATTCCAGAGCAGTGTCCCCGTGTCTCGATCAGTCTCGATTTCCCCTCGCGCCCAAAATGCTCGAAAGTTGGCAGAGCGCAGGCGCACAATATTGCAAAATTTTACAAACAAAAGCAAGCACCAGTAGCAAAATACACTTCTGCCATCCTTCATCAATGGCGTGCGCCTCGCACCAAAATGACAAAATCTTGGACTACACAGTCCATTGCTTCTCTAGTTGCCTCTCAAATTACGCTCCAGAGTAAGTTTGAATTCGTTGGCTTTTTATTTTAGCGACCCATTTTCCTTTACTTTTTTGTTCGCTTTCCCCGAGATCTCAACAATAACATTCGCCGAGGCCCATCCCATTTCGCACTTGACCAAAATATAAATTTAGACCCACGGTCGCTGAGGGAGTTTCATAATGATCTTGGTCTGCTATTGACCTTGTTTGCTATTTTTAATGGTGTCACGCGTTTAAAGCACTTATCATTTTGGTTGCTTTTTTGCAGGAAAATCCAGGAAAACAAACCGTCGGATCAGTTGTCACGATGGTCCTCGGACACAAACAGTCCTCCTCAGGCAAGTTCCAAAACAAACAGCTCTATTTTAATAAAAAAATAAAAAATTTTAGTTTTTGGTGCTCAAACTGAACCGTTGCTCCGTCATTCGATCGATCACTTTTGGAAAGTACGAGAAAACGCACGTCTGCAATTTGAAAAAGTTCAAAGTTTATGGAGGAATGAGCGAAAACAATATGGTCGAATTACTAGAAGGGTCAGATTCATTTTTTTTTAAGTAAATTATTTTATTTCCACGACTGAAATATTTGCAGGGGTTTGCTAAATGACAGCGTTCCAGAGATGTTTGCCCTCACCCACAAAAAAGAAGGCTTCGAGATGCCCTGCCGATATCTCAAGATTGTGCCTCTCCTCTCTTGGGGGCCCAGTTTCAACTTCAGCATCTGGTTTGTTGAGCTAAGGGGCGAGGACAACCCAAAACTAGTGAAAAGAAACGTCCAATTCTTCCACGAAGTAAATTTTAATTAAATCACAAAAAGTGAATGTTAAATTGAAAAATTCCACAGTTTAAAGAAAAGGAAGCGATTCGTCTTTGTCTAAAGCACTTCCGGCAACGAGGGCCAAGCTTTGCCAGCGTTTACGAGGCACTGAGGGTCAACACAGGCATTGAACTTGAAGACCCCAAACTGACAGCACTGCACAACACCCTTGTGTTGAATGCTGACTATGCGGCCACGGAGGAGTTCATGGCCAAAGCAGTCCATGGTATTAAATAAATCTGATAAAATTGAGTAATTGTTTAAACTAATTTCCGCTTGTAGAAGGGCTACTTGACAACCATCTGCTGCGTCAGGACTACACACCCCAGTGGAAGAGGATAATGCTGCCTAAGAGTGAGGGCGAAGAAGACTCGAGCCAGCCAGGCATGAGGGGAGGTCACCAAATGTGCATCGACCCTGTTTCGGAGACAATTTTCCTTTTCGGTGGGTGGGATGGTACGCAGGACTTGAGTGACCTTTGGCAGTTCCACATCCCCAGCAATACGTGGAAGAAACTCTCGTCCAATACAGAAGTTGAAGTGAGTTCTTATCAGTCTGTGAATATTTAAATTTCAATTTTTAAAAAGCCACAAATTCCTTTATTATATTCTTGTAAATATTCATTATAAAAAAATTTTAGGGTGGTCCAAGCGCCCGATCATGCCACAAAATGTGTTTGGACCCTGAAGGTCGGCAAATTTTCACCCTTGGCCGCTATTTGGACAACCAATACCGAAGCGCTGACAACTTGAAAAGTGACTTCTATGTGTATCATATAGAGACCGGTTTGTGGACTTTGATCAACGAAGATACAGCAACTGTGGGTGGTCCACAGCTGATATTTGACCACCAGATATGTATGGACAGCGAAAAGCGGACAATTTATGTTTTTGGCGGGCGCATCCTGACTGCAATTCAGGGGTAAAATAATCAAGTATGAGATTTCTTTCAATTTTGACTATTTAATTTTCTTAACAGATCCCAAGACGAGACTCGGCTAGGTGCTGGCATCACGTACAGCACCAATTCATCAGCTGCGTCAGTCACGTTAGGTGCAGAGATGGACACGGTGCTCTCTGGCATGTTTTCATTTCACATCCCAAGTGGATCGTGGCAAAAAATTTGTGATGATCTGGGTGTTCCTATTTTATCTGGTCAGCGGAGCTCATCTATTATCAGAGCTCGTGTCGGGCACTCGATGCTATTTCACCCTGTGAGTTTTTAGGAATTTTTATATTTGGCTGAATCTATGTTGTAACTAAATCCAAAATTTATTTTCTGCGGCTATATATTGTTACTTAAACTTAATTTACTTCTAGGGACTGCGAGAGCTTTTTATTTTTGCCGGTCAGCGAAGACGCGAATATTTAAACGACTTTTTTGCTTTTAACGTTGACACATACCAAGTGCGAGTGATCTGGAACGGCGACAATAATGTCACAAATAAGAGCAAGAGTGTGCACGTCAGTATACCTGCTACTGGCTACACTCAGAGGGCAACCATTGACCCCGAGTTGGATGAGATTTACGTTCTTTCAGTGAGGTTGCCAGATTAAACTATTTGCAATTGGCTAAAATGAGAATTCCAGGGATTGAGTAAAGACAAGGAGAGACGAGATGAGAATGTCCAAAACTCGTTTTGGGTATACAGTCTGAAGAGGAACAGGTGGTCTTGCATATATAGGAATGAAAACACTGGAGACCAGTATTGGAGCAAAATGCAAAATTTGGAGCCGTGTCCTCGTTTTGCTCATCAACTTGTCTATAGCGTTTCAAATAAGGTAAATAAAATTTTTAGATTTGACAAAAAAGTGTTGCATTCTTCCACTTATCGATGAGATTCAAATGAGAAATTGTTCTACCTAAACGTACACACATTTTTGTATAGTTAAAAAATATATTCTAGATCCATTATCTATTTGGAGGAAATCCAGGCAAACCAAGACCTAAACTGCGACTGGATGACTTCTGGCAGCTTAAGCTTTGTAAACCAACCAAAGAACAACTGCTTCTACAGTGCAGACTCATGATTAGAAAGCACAGGTGAGAAAATGTTTATTTTTTCACTGAGCAAAACTAAAAGTTTCCTTCAGATTCAAGGAGTTAGCAGCGCAAAACACTATGGATGCTCTGGATTATTTGCAGACTTCGTTGCATGAGATAATTGACCATGACGACCCTGAGAGTACGAGAGAGGTAGATTGGTCTGTTTTACATAACGGAATTTATTTATTGAATCCATTATTAGTTCCAGAAGCTAGCTTCAGAGTTGTTCAGAGACCCAAGCGAGAAAGATGTGGAGAGTGGCCCGGACATTGGTCCCTACCATGGCAGGACAGAACTTTTTGACGATCTCTCGGCCTTCTTTTCAAATGAACTGACCCAACCCCATCTGAATCTCATTGACCTTTTACCTCTGTGATTAATTTTCTTTTAACAAGGAGAATATGTGCTCAAAGTCAATGCTCCTTTGTGCATGTTGCTTTTATTTTAAAATAAATTGATTACAACTTACTTTTAGCATCAATTCAAATGATTTGAGAAATTTTTTATCTTTTAGTCCGTCTCTATGAAGTACAGAACGCACTCTTCAGTCTCACTAGCGTTGAAAATTTCCACCTTTTGGCCTATGATCAAAGATATAAAATTAATTATTTAAAAAAATTCTAACATTCTGGGAGGAAGTATTTAACGTTGCAAAATGAAATTAATTGTATAAACTTGCCAGGGCTAGCAAACGTCTCCGACTTGTAGCATGCAACGCCATCTAAAGTAATCCTTGAACTGCCTTTTAATGTGCTGTAAAACTGCAAAGAAATTTTTAATAATTTTGATTCAAACGTGGGCAAAAATATTTGTACCACTTGGTGACAACTGATTAATTTCCTATTCATTCCAGGCTTCAGCTTCACAATACCCTCACAAACAGCATCAGGATTATTTGTGAAAAGTTCAGTTGACATTTCTAAATATAAAAATAAACTGTTGAAAACTTTCAGAAGAACATATTTTGAACTACCATTAAATTGTTTCTTCCAATTTTCAGAACCTTCAGTTTTGGGTACAGCCTCCTGAGAGTGAGCAGAACTAGGTCGAAGCTTTAATTTTACTTTGATATTCTTGGGTATTTGGCGAGGGCCTGTTGTTCTTTGAGACGGCTTTCCTGGTGGAGCTGCTGGGCACTGTTCCTGAAAATTGGCCATATCTTCAGTCTGCTCATTTTCAGGTTTTTCTTTCTTGTCTACAGGTTTTTGCAGAGTAGGCAACTTTGATTTGCGCCTGCTGGTAGTGAGATTCTGCTTCTTGCTTTGTCGTTCCTCTTTCTTTTGAGACTTTCTGCTTTCCTCCAAGTTAGTTCCAGCTTTTTAAAGCAAAAATGAAAAAAAAATTATCCAAAACACGAACTAAGTTATTACATTTTTCAAGCAGCTTTGATTTCGGATTGTAGGCAGTATTTTGCTTCTTATTTTGAGGTTCACCTTCTTTCCGACTTTCTTTAATAGCCTCTATGATAGGGTCAGCTTCAGAGAATGTAAATAATAACATAATATAACAAAATATTCTTAGTTACTTTTAACAGGTGCCTCAGTATCCAAAGTGCATAGGCCATTTTCATAATGGTAGTTCAAACGCTGCTCCCAAAATCGAATTGGGCCAGGTTTAGAGCGAGACGATCTCCGAATGTCTATTTGATCTTGATCTATTTCTATCAGAAAATTAAAATGGCTATTTTCATAATATTAAAAAAATACCTTCCGTCTTTATGGTTCCTGAATTTACACTCGTTGCGCTATCTAATATTGGCAGACTTTTCCTTTTCTTGGCAGGAGGGTATTTAACCCTGATAGGGCCATCTTGCATATTGGTGTCATTCATTTTTTTGTTTTCAAAAAATTTCCGCTTCATTGAGTGTTTGGACAGTGGTTTACTTGGTTCGCATCCCTTATCATTTGTTGAATCTGGAAAATATTTTTTCATTAGGCCATCTCTTTTCTTCAAAAATTTTAATCACTCACGATCAAGGTCAGGCACACTTTCTTCTTCAACTACTACCTGCAGTTTGCTCTCCGTTTTCTTCAATTTTGCTGATATAGAAAAACATTATATTACATATTATTATTATTATAAAGACCATTATTGTGTATACCATCTTTTTCTACGTCCTCTGTCTGTGTTACGACAGGCTCCCCTAATTGAAATCAAAGTTCTTGATAAAAACTGAATACTTATTGCGTTAACTTACGAGTTGGTTGTTGTTGAGCTTTGTTTTTAATACTAGTACTTGAAGCCTTGGATTTCACTGTAACTTCTTTCTGGCTTGTGCCTCCTGCAGGTTTTGCAGTCAATGGTCCAGGGCACTTACCCCAGACTTTTGTTTCAGACACAAAAGTCTCGACTGCTTCCTCTTCTATTTCTGAGTGTATGCAATTTTAAATTACAAATTTTGAAGTACGCAGGAAAAAAATCTCAAACCTTCCAGGGCGACAACTTTTGGAGCCATCAAAACTCTATCAACTTTTGCTGTAAATTGGCTAGAGAATGCACTGGCAATAACGTTTGAGGCAGGCTTGCTTGGTTTAGAGATCTGGATAGGAGACTTAGTCTTTTCAGAACTCTCAGTGGTTGCAGATTCATGTTTACCTGGAATCCATCATGTTATCTTTTATGTAGATTGGATGACGTAATACCTGAAGTAGGTTGGTTTTGGTTGATTTCTAAACCAGTTGACCTCTTAGATTTCTTTGTTGTTAATAATTTCTCTCTGAGGATATCAAGTTCAAGTAAGTCATCATCAGATGATAAATCAGTATCATCTTTCCCTTTTCGCTGATTGGCAACTAAAAGTGGGGAGATTTCGTAAATTATTTTTAATCAAATAAATGGCTCGAAAGTACCAGTTGTGCCTTCATTTGTGAAAAAGCTTGACTCCTGATCTGCCCTTTCTTCTTCCTGTGGCTTCCTTTGCTTAGGGTCAATATTGAAAAATTCCCCATCGGAAGAGGAATCCTTGTCTTCGGAAATCACGGGGCGTTTATCAACGTCATTACTCATTTTTGTTGAGGCATCTGATTCCTTCTCTGCTTGTTTTAATTTCCCTTCATTTTGTTGTTTCCCTTCTTGCTTATTCATTTTCGATTCTTTTGATGCTTTCTCTTTGCTCTCTTGCTTTTCAGTTTCTATTCCTCCCTGCTCTCCTTTTTCTTTATTTGCTCTCTTTTTGACTATGTCAAGCAAATCTTCACCAGAGGAAGAGTGCAGATCCTCATCGTCATTTGCCACCTGAATTCCGCCGTAACACTTCTTCTGAGCTTCTAGAACAAAACGTATTTATTCTCAATTAATTGCACACTTTCAAATAATATGGGTGCTTACTAGTTGAGACACTGAGCTTCACCAGAGGAATGGGTGAAATGACGGGGTCCTTAAAAGGCACAATGTCTAAGTTGTGTTGCAGCTGCTTACTTGTCATCGGAGTACTGGAAACAACACAATTGGGCTTTGTTTTCTTTGACATTTTGTACTCTGCCAGCAACTCTGCTCGATGGGGGCATGTACTCATTTCTACACGCATTCGTCAATTATTTATGTGTCCTTGTGTATAAATATAATTTAAATTACTTTTTCTTTCAATTTAAGTAAATAATTACCCTGTTTCATCAGTTTTAAGCATGCTCAAGACCAAAGACTATGAAAAAAGTACTGTCCAACGTTTCCTGTCCTTCTGTCCTTACTCCTGGCCAGTTTTTTCGTCAACTCAACAAAAGATGAACACGCAAGAGGCACACTGGCCATAGGTTTATTATTATTAGGTCCATGACAATGACACTGGCACACTAGAAACACGCCCACCTAAATAATTCGCGGCAAAATATCGCTTAGCCAATTAAAATCCAGAATTGGTAGCAGCTAAAATTTTGGCCAATACAAATCGAGATAGGATAGACCACTCCCCTTCTTCAGAAAATCACAACAAACAGCAGAAACAGCAGCGCATAATTTCATGCAAAAATTATAATTACAATTCACGTGTTGTCACTTGTCACATCACAACTTTGTGATTTTATTGGCAGATATTACCATACATTACAAATAAATCTTCGAACTTCACCGAGAGCAAAAATTTCTTGAATAATATGATCATAATGATGTCGCATAATGTTACGTAAGAAAATATTTCATGCAGTTTGTTTTTATTCTGCTAATATTATGTAATTCCATTTTACGATTGCATGCAGAGATGATAAGGAGACTCTTTTCAATCCTGCCGTTGGTGTTGTCGTCTAACGCAATCAGCAGCCACACCAAATACCTGCCAGGGTTCACTCAGAGCCAAGTTTACAACCGGTACCTTCGAAATTACACCTTTGTCATGACTTCAGTGACTGAAACATCCTCCTGCCAATTGGCGAGGACCATAGGAGAGTGGTCCTTTGCACCCAATACCCTTTTGTCGCTGCCACTGGACGAGGTGGAGGAAAACTATGTGCGGAGGGACGTTCGCCAGGCTGTTTTCTCAAAAGTCACACCAACCCCTCTGCAGAAAAACTTGCAGCTCGTCGCTGTGTCTGATAATGCATTGGTGTCTATTTTGGATATGGACCCTGTAATTGCGAACACTGAGGAATTTGTTCAGTTTGTGGCTGGCGACAAAATTCTCCCAAGTTGCACACCGCTGGCCCATCGCTACGGAGGTCACCAGTTTGGCGTCTGGGCCTCGCAGCTTGGAGACGGCAGGGCAAATTTGCTTGGTGAATATGTCAACAGGTCCTGATTAAAATTTTTCAATATAGGAAATTTTAATTGATACATTTCTGTTGTAAACAGGGCCGGAGAAAGGTGGGAATTGCAGCTGAAAGGGTCAGGCCTCACACCTTACTCCAGAGGTGCTGATGGACGGGCTGTGTTGAGGTCTTCCGTCAGAGAATTCCTAGCTGCTGAGGCTATGTATTATTTAGGTAACTTTTATTTTAATATAAATGCTTAGTAGAGGTAGAGGATAATGAAAACCGATGAAAATGATCAATGATTCAAATAAAAAAAGTCATTTCAAGCAATAGTTTAATATATTGAAACATAGATTCAAAATATTTTTTTTGCGACTTTAATGCAGGAAACATAATTGATAGATATTTTTACTGTTTCTCTCAAGGCGTTCCAACGTCTCGAGTAGCAGCCCTCATAACCAGTGACGTTGGGGTCATCCGAGATCCCCTTTACAACGGCAACCCTGTCGTTGAAAAAGCCTCTGTAGTGCTTCGTTTAGCGCCATCCTGGTTCCGCATAGGCTCCTTAGAACTGCCCGTCAAGCGTGGAGAAACAGCAACACTGCGCGCCCTCCTCACTTACCTCATCAGCACATCCTTCCCGGAATTGTGGCAGAAGACAGAAAAAAATTTGGCTGAGGCGTGTGTTACGTTCGGACTTGAGGTCGCCAAGCTTAACTACAAAATGTGGGTCGAGTGGCAAAGGGTGGGCTTTGTCCATGGAGTTATGAATTCGGACAATATCAGCTTGATGGGAGTCACCATCGACTATGGCCCTTTTGGATTCATGCCTGCCTTCAACCGCAGATACGTTCCAAACACGTGAGTTTTTTTTTTATAGTATTTGGAAATATGTTTTAATCAATATATATTTTTTTTTAATTCTTAGATCTGATGATGAGGCAAGGTATTGTTACCAGCAACAAATAAGAGCCCTGTTTTTTGACTTGGAGAAATTGCGGGAGTCTCTAGGCTATGTGATAACCTCGGACTACAACACAGACCCTGATGTAAAAGCAAAGCTCGTCCAAGAAATGGCGGAAGGTTTTAGATTCCTCAGAAGGCAGTCTGATGTTGATTTGGAAAATATGTATTTGAAGAAGTTGGGCTTGACAAAGACTGACCATTACGAAGTTGTGGAAAAACTTCTTATCCTCATGGAAGATGCGAAAGCCGATTTTACTGCCACATTCCGCCAGTTATCAGAGGTGAACATTCGATTTATTTTTATGCCATATTTTTTTTTATCAAATTTATTCTCTGTAGGCAAACATAACTGAGATGGAGAATATTGAGGCTACAAAGTTTTGGGCCTTAAAAGAAATCAAAGGACACAAGGATTTTGATTTGTTCTGGTCTATGTATGTTGCTGCCTTAAAAGAAGAGTGCGTTGAAGAGGAAGAGAGGAAGCGAGTCATGTGCAGTGTAAACCCTTGCTATGTGCTTCGGAACTGGATTGCACAAGAGGCAATTGCTGAAGCTGAAAATGGCAATTTCCAACTTGTGCGAAAAGTGGAAAAAATTCTTCAGAGGCCCTACGAGAGACAAGAAGAAGCGGATCGTCTTAACTTCGGCGGGAAACCACCAACCTGGGAAAAGCAGCTCAAGGTGAGTTGCTCCAGTTGACATTCGAGTAGTTAGTGAGGTGATGGTAATTAGACTATTGGAGCTCTGAATTTGCTGATTTATTCGAACTAAATTTTGGATCAATTAGTTCAGTTTGATTGGGAAATAGAAAATTGCGTGTGATTATATGAAGAAGTGCGTGAAAAGTGACAGTGAATAACTTGCTAACAAAATTTTAAAGAGGAAAATCGTTTGAAATAAAATCAACTCTGAAAATTTATAGTATTTAAAGGTTAGTTTTTTATTAAGTATACTGCATCATTAACTATGATGGTTAATATCAAGTTGGATACCAAAAAAAGCATCCCCATTGTCCTTTTAACATCTTAACACACACAAGATTTCCATTTATTTATTTATTTTTACGATGCATTGGAAAAATCCTATTTTGTTCACTTTGTTCGAAAACCCCGATGCTCTAGGGTATTCCGTTGGGGTAATCTGACAACTTTTGAGACACACTAGGGAGGTCTTTACAGAAATTGGCTCAGCTATAGTCTTTGGAATCATTAAGGCTCATGTTGATGGCCTGGTTAGGAACTTGGAACTCTTTAGCTGGAGGAACAGAAATAATCTTTTGTCGTTTTATTGGTTGCAAAATAATCATACCAGTTGCCGGTGAGAGATGATCACCGTCACAAGTATTGAAGCTTTTCTGCAGCACATTTATAGTTCCTTCTCTTGCACAAAGTTATGGAGGGGGCAGGGGGCTTATTTTTTATTGCTTGGTGAATAAAATATTTTTTGATGTCTAAAAACAAAAAATTACCTGGCAAATTTGAATAAAATGAAGATTAAAAACAATTTGAATTAGATTCAATGTTTTAATGCTTTTCACAAAAGAAAACATTTTCAGAGCAAAAAAATAATAATATTTGATGAATTGAATAGCAATTGCTTAATATCAATTTGAAATTTTTATTTAATCATGATTTATTGATAAATGAGAACAACTAAAAATCTTATTGTTATATAACAAACAATTCGAAAATAAGCGTGATATTTATTTATCTTACTTTTTTGGATTTTTTTATCAAAGAATTTGGAGCACACACGCATAGGCAAGCTTTTGGCAAACAATTTTTAACAAAGATTTATCTTATCGTGATGAGCAGATTTTTATAGCCTTGCAAGTAAAATTTTTACATTTTAAGAGTATTGGCAACTTTGGGTGAAGCAATAGTTAAAAAAATTAAATTGATTGATCTACAAGAGCAAAGTTTTGTCTAAATATTTACTGTTTTTATTTGTTTCTGCTGTTATTCTTGGTCAAAGAATTTGCAAACAAGAGCTATTTTTAATGCCCATAGAAGATTATTAATCTACAATTTACAAAATAAACCTAATTTGCATAGCAACAAATTAAGGGAGACAATAGTAAGAAAAATTAATTCATATTTTTTATTAAAAAATAAATGTATTTTAATTAGCATATAAAGATGACAGAGAGATGCAAAACGGCCTAAAAATTTCCTGAATTGAAATTATATAATATTAAAATTTTATTTTGTTCCGTGCACAAAATTTAAATCAGCAATCAGAAAGAAAACTTTACATGATTTTCTTTTTCATCGGCTTATTTATACTCCAGTTATTTGATTGATCCAGTCCCTGTACGCTGAAGCTTTTGTGTAAATTCCGGGGATTCCAGGCGCAGCGCATCCGTCGCCCCACGATGAAATTCCATGCAATGTCCCATTAAAAAAAAGTGGGCTTCCAGAGTCCCCTTGACAAGCGTCGGCACCTCCCATCGGAAATCCAGCACAAATCTGACTTGGAAAAATTCCCCCAAAATTGACGTACACTGCATCACAGTCGATCTGGGGAACAATAGGCACTTCCACTTTCAGGAGAAGGTCTGAATAATTACCACCAAGCTAGAATAAATGAACGCTTTAAAAATAATAAAATACTTAATTGATATTTTTGTTACCGATGTGGTGCCCCAGCCCGAAACCGTGGCCAAAGTTCTGGCTGGAGTGTCGACTCCTTGGTCCAAAAGGCCAATTGGCGCGGTCTGGCCATTCCATTCAAATGGTGGGTCTACTTGCCAGACGGCAATGTCATTTTCGAATGTGATGGGGTTCCATCCCTCGTGCACATAAATGTTTGACACGTTGTGTTGTCTTCCACCTTCATAGATGTTCACGGTACCAGAAATGACTGTGTAAACCTTAGCTGGGTAGCTTTGGAATAATATTAACCTCATGAATAGCAATGCAATCAAATACAAAATTCAAGATACATACTCTGAGCAATGTGCAGCGGTGACAATAAAATTTTCGCTTATGATAGAAGCTCCGCAATTTATCGAGCCAAAGAGAAAAATTGCAACTTGCCACGGAATTTCTCCTTCCGATGCTGTGGTGCCTCCAACAATTCTCACTATACCTTCAGTAACTGGTGTCAAAGCGTGCACTGAAAATAGAAAAGTTTAAATAATTTTTTTCCGTGATTAACTATATAGAAATTAAAAAATCACCAAGAAATTGTTGGGCAGCAAAGAAGAAAATAAGCAGTAGAGTGCAGCGTGCCATTTTGAATGCCGGTCCGAATTAGTTTATAATTTTAATTAAAAATCAAATAGATGTTGATCGCTGAAAAAAAGAGTTGATTATCAATGGTGCGTGACCTTCGAAAAGCCGTCTTAGATAAAACTTGAAGGTTCTAGATTGAATACTAATATGCACTAAAACACAAAGACCAACATATCATTCAACACGGTTGTATTTATCTGTCAAATCAAAGCATGCAATACTTTTGTTAACAAGAAATTTTTAATTTCGCGGTAAATAACTTATTTGGTATATATCATAAAGTAATTTAACAAAACTGGGTAAAAAAAATACTAGTTACTATATGATTTATATTCATATGATTGGTTGGTTAATTCAATTTATTTGAAATTTTTCTTCTAAAATTTGGTACTCAATAGTGTTTCACGTTTTTTATAAAATTTTCTCTATGTTAATAAATTAAAAAGGATTAAATCAAACAGACTAATGCATAATTACTCGTCAAAATTTTTTCCCTGTTTAATTAAATTATTGCATGTTGAGTTATATTCATAATTTCTAAAGCGATTTTTAAGTTGGTGTTAAATATGAAACAAAGTTTTTCATGTGATATTGCTTTCTTTTATTTCGAAATGATCACAATTTGGGTTTAGACTCCAGAGACCTGGTTGATCCAGCCCAGCCAGGAGAAGACCTCAGTGTAGACTCCGGGGTAGCCGGCGTAGGCGCAGCCATTGCCCCAAGAGACAATACCGTGGATGACACCGTCGAAGTACAGGGGGCCGCCAGAGTCTCCCTGGCAAGAGTCAACACCACCCTCGGGCACTCCAGCGCAGATCTGATCCTGGGGAACTCCTCCGAAACCAGCGTAGTCAGATTCGCACTGGGCATGGTTGTAGATGGGGACAACAACCCTCAAGAGGACAGGGGAAGCAGATCCACCAGCCTGAAACACAAAGATTTGTTGAGTCTGACATTCATAAAAGAGCGGATAGAGTTTTGACTTACGGAGGTGGTGCCCCAGCCAGAGACAAGGGTGGGGGTTCCATCAGCAGCTTTGCCTTGAGCCAGAGGGACAGCGGCGGTGTTAGCGTCAAAAGCGATCTGACCCCTGATCTGAAAAATCAATGCAAGGTTAACTTTCCTAAGCAGTTCATAGAAGTTTGAAAATCTCAGCTTACCTCCCACAAAGCAATATCACCGGTGAAGGTGCTGCTGCTGTAGTCGGGGTTGATGTTGATAGTGGCGACGTTGTAGGTAGCTCCGGGCTGGGCGGTCCTGAGGGTGCCGGTAATGACACGGACTCCGTTGGGGGTCTGGCCACTGGAGACGGGAAAGTTAGGAAATTTCAATTACACGTAGGCGCTCATTGTCTTACGTCGAGCAGTGGGCAGCGGTCAAGATGTAGGTTTCGCTGATGATGGAACCACCGCAGAAGTGGAATCCGGAAGTGTACTGCAGAGACACCTGCCAGGGGATTTCTCCCGCGGCGGCAGGAGATCCACCGACGATCTTGTCGCCAGCCTTGAAGAGCTGGGGACCAGTCAGTTTGTGGACTCCGCCTGAACAGAACAATGATTGTCCATATTCAATATTTTCAATTTTTTTTTTCAAATTTTTTAATTTATGAAAATGCATCTTAATATGACTGGTACTTACCAAGAGCCAGAGCGGCGCAAGCCAGGACGATCACCACCTTGGAGTACATGGTTGAAATGTGCTTTGCCGTTTGTGGAGTTGGCTTTTTATACAAATTTCAGTAGCTCTTATCAGTTAAAAATTTGGCAATATGTCATGGTTTGGGGTACAGATTTCATGTACTGGCTTATCAAGATTTCTACAGATCTTAAGGTCCACACTTTAGTGCCGCGGTTGACGCGAGCTTCGATTTCTTAAGTTGATTGTTATTATGTGTAGCACTTTGTTCAATCAATTCATGTAATCTGTAACGTCCAAGAAAAGTTACTAAAATAAATTAAATATTATTGCACAATACCAACAAGTGCAAATGAATTCTAAATCGATTTATTTAACAAAGAAAACCAATTTTCTGCAGTCAATTGTGATTCAATTATTTAAAGTTCTCGCTTTTTTCTAATATATTTTACATTAAATTTTACGAAGCTTATACATTATACAGACTTTTCATCACTTAACGATATGGTGGCCAATAAAATAATATATTTTTGTGAGGAATATTTTTTAACAAATTAAATACAAATGCTAAAATAATTTTCAGTGTTTTATAGGGCTAATTATACTTAATATTTTGCTATTTTGTAGTTGAATTTTAATGAACATAAATAATTAAACTTTTTATATTTTCTTATTAAATATTGAGATTGACAGACGCAAAAGTTTTGATCCTGATATAACGTATAGATATGAACGCCAATATTTAAAAAAAAAAGGGGAATTCTTCATGTTTCCAAATTAGATTAAATTAGCGTATTTCCCTCTGGCAACAATGAGATGAATAGATTTGCAAAAATAGAAGAGTCCAGTATAAAAATTTTCCACTATTTAGCAGCAGAGGTTTCTATAGTTTTACAAATTAATTAGTCAGAAAACGTATTTGAAAGGTGAATAGGAATGAAATGATTTACACTGAAACAAAATAACTTGGTATCAAACAGATTATATATTTTATTTATTCATTGATAAAACTTGGGAATTTTAAATTTTTTTGGAAAAAGACTTTAAACACCAGCAGTCGCGGCAATCCAATCCCTAAACGCTGAAACTTCTGTGTAAACCCCTGGAAATCCAGCCCAAGCGCACCCGTTGCCCCACGAGACGACGCCGCGAATTTCGTTTCCAAAAACCAGGGGGCCGCCGGAGTCACCTTGGCACGAATCTTTGCCGCCGTCGCTAAGGCCAGCGCAAATTTGGTTTTGGGGAATTCCGCCGAAACCAACGTAACTCACGTTGCAATCCTCCGTAGACACGATGGGAATTTCCACCTTGAGCAAAGTGCTTGGAGTTGAACCTCCGAACTAGGCAGTAATGCAATTTATTAAAGACAGAAAATAAGCAAAAAAAATATATAATACGGTGGTTGTGCCCCAGCCTGAAACCATCATGATTGAGCCAGTTGGAGTTTCGACTCCTGCAGGTGGGAGATTAACAATCGCAGTTTGCTTATCCCAGGTAAAGGTGTCGGAAATCTGGCATCCACCCAAAAGTAGACATAATTATTTTTATTTTTAAAGTACAATTTTACCTCCCAAAGCGCTATGTCGTTTCCAAAATCAGATCCGGTGTAATCCTGGTGAGAAATAATTTTGCTCACGGCATGAATGGATCCTGGATTGGAAGTTTGCAACGTGCCAGCAACAATACGGACCTGTTCAGGTGTTTGTCCCCTAAAATTTAATTCAAAATAAAAAATAAAAAAATCAGAAAAATATATTTATTTGAAACGCATTATATTAGGCTCTTACACAGAACAGTGGGCCGCTGTGAGAACCCATTTGTCACTTATGATTGATCCTCCGCAAAAGTGGAATCCAAAATCAAATTGCAGAGAGACTTGCCAGGGAATTTCTCCGATTTGGGCTTCACTTCCGCCCACAATACGAGATCCACTACTAAAAACTTGTGGACCCCGCAAAGAAACTCTGCCTATTATTAAAAAAAAAAAAAAACACATTTTAATTCACATTTTTTCATCCAAATATTATCACAAAATGTATATATATTTAAAAATTATATTTTACCAAAAGCAGCCGTAACGCTCACGAGGGTAAGTAAAGCTGGGGTGTGCATCTTGGTTATTGGCGATCCGTAATGAGAGTACGCGCCCATTTTATACTATAACTTAAAGGAACTTATCTCTATTTTTTCAAATGTATCTTATGTATCTATTTGAAATAATATAATATGAGTAATCTATTTGCACTACTTAATTGTTTTGATCTATTAACCTGAAAACTGGAATCGATATCAAAACAGTTTTCTGATAGAAATATCTTCTTTTATTTCACTGTTTTTATTAACAAATTTTCATAACACGTTTAATCAAAGAAATTTCACACAGAAATTAAAATTTTTTTTAAATCTGAGAATTTAATTTGATTTTGTACTGAAAATTAAGGGAAAATGTTTTAAATTTTTATTTTTTAATTAATGTGAAATTAAATTTGAGAGTTGCTCAGGATCCAGTCGAGGTAAGCAGACACTTCGGTGTAAACTCCGGATTGTGCTTGAAACCCGCACATGTAGCCCCAAGCAACAAGTCCGCGAATTTCGCTTTCTGCTGGCAGGAAAAGGGGTCCGCCGCCGTCACCCTGACAGGAGCTGAGACCCTGCTCTGGGACACCAGCACAAATCTGGTCGGCTGAAATTCCGCCAAAATCGACGTAGCTCTCGTTGCACGCTGCTTTAGAAATAACAGGAATTTCCACTTTTCTTAGAGGATCTGGGTTTGCCTATTAAAGGGAGAATCTTAATTTTTTGTGAAAAAAAAATAAAAAAATAAATTATAGATAAACTTACTGATACCGTTGTGAATCCAGAAACAGTCAGCAGAGTTCCAGCAGGAGTCTCAACGTTTTTAATGGGAAGTTTTACTGGGGATGTTTGATTGTCCCAGACAAAAGAATCGGTTATCTAGAATTTGTTACAAAACTTTCGTTTATTTAATTTTTTTAGCTTCATATTATTTAAATTTATTTTCTTCACCTCCCAGAGGGCGATATCATTTGAATGCATCTCTTCATTGTAGTTTTCGTGGGTGATTATTCTGCTCACGGTGTGCACAGATCCAGGCAGGTCAGTTTGGATCGTTCCGGCGACTACTCGAAGACTGTTAATATTCCAGTTTCTATGATACGTATAGAAGATTTTAAGGCAAAAAAATTTGAAATTTAAATTGTTGTCCGACTCACTGAGCACAATGTGCTGCTGTGAGGACCCATTTTTCGTTGATTATTGATCCACCGCACCAGTGGAATCCAGTGTAAATTTGTATTGACACTTGCCACGGGATTTCTCCTGCGGGCACCTCGACACCACCAAAAACTTTCTCTCTTTGTCTGGGATCAACGACTCTGCCTGCATTTTGATTAAATTTTTATTTATGAATAATTACAATATTTACTAAAGACAATGGCGCACAAAAAGTGAAAACTTATTAAAATATTAAAATATTTTTGTGTATATTACCATGAGCTTCCAAGAGAAACAAGGCAGTAAAAACGGTGGAAAAAAGCAGCATTTTCTGCATCAATATACAAAAGATAGTAGGTGAGATTTAAGAAACTTATCCGTTGCTATATAAATTTTAAGAATTTTTTTTCCTTCTGGAACCGAAAACTAAACACGCGTTTTAATTAGTGGAAGTATAATTTTTTGAACTTTGAAGGTTGTATTATCTTTCTGAATTAATCGCTTGTTTTTATTCAATAGATTATTTTATTTTGCTTTGCTTTGAAGTAATAATCAGTTAATTTCAATCACACTTAAGATAACATTAATTCTTTGTTCTCAATTATAACTGATCGATAGTTGCTGCTATTGTTTGTGCAACACTCCGTCAGTCTCAAGAGGCAGATAAGGGAAAAGAAAATCCCCAAGTGTGTCGAGTCATCATTGATATTATGAATGTTTGCTTGTGACAGCAAACGATAATTATGCTCATTACGTTTATTCACTATTTTTTATAAAAATTTACAGAAAATACAATTTTGAAAATAAATTCAATAAGTCTCTCATAAGAAAAACTCAATTTTCTAAATATTCTTTTCCCGCATTTTATTATTCTGGCGGATATATGCAAATTACTTGAAATTTTGTATATAAATATTGAACTTCGTCTCGTTTTTCTCCAATAAAATTAAAGGGTTTGTAAGTTGTAAGTTATCCCCGGGTCACTGTTGAATTAAATGATAGGTCATGAGATTAGATCTTCACCACTTTTTATTGCGCTAGCAAGTCAAGGGCATCTGGACGACAGAAATACGAATACGCTTTTTAACTTTTTTACTTAGCAACTTAGCCTCTTGAAATCCCCGTACCAAAGGTACGCTCGAAGTTATCTCTTTGTTAATAAGCACTTTGTTTGCTACTCGAGCACAAGCAAGCTTTATCCAAGCTCTTTTTTTGCAATCTTTGATTGATTGATCGGCTGAACGCTTAGTTTTCACTAACTACTACCTAGGGTTTAATTTCAATTTGTTATTTTGTGCCCGAACCCAAACCACTTGTGCCTTAAATCAATAATCTCACAATTAATGAATAGAAATTTTAGAAGTGCCTGTGATCAGAAAAAATAAATAAAAAATGGTACTTAAAAATTCATTAGGTTTCGAAAATTAATTTTCTTAAAAAGTGGATTGCCAATAAAAAACAAGCAAAAAATCTTTATTAATTAAATGTTTTAGTTGCAAATTGTGTTTTAAGAAAATTTTATGAAATTTAATAATATAGCATTGAAAAAAAGTAATATTATTTTCTGTGTTTCTAAGCTTTACAAGATGTTGTCGAGTTGACAGTTTGAGAAATCCACTTTGTGTAGCCCGCGACTTCTGTGTAGACTCCAGGGTAATCAGGAATGGCACATCCAAAATTTGGGCCCCATGAGACGATTCCAAAAAGAACGCCTTGGTCAAACATTGGTCCTCCGGAGTCTCCCTAAAAGATTTTTGTAAAAATTGGGTCTGAAAAAATCAATTTTTTACTGCACAAGAATCCTTTCCGTCTTGCCCGGCACAAATGTTGTATCTAAAGATGCCACCCAAATCTTGGTACAGTAAATTGCAAGTGTTTTTGTCAACAATTGACACATCAACTTTTTGTAGAGTCAAAGGTATATTTGCTTCCTCCCACTTATAGGAATGAATATTATTTTTAGTTCATTTAATATTTTGTTAACAAATTAGTTGCAAATTATTACGGATGTTAATCCCCATCCAGAAACGGTCAAAATAGTGTTTGCTGGAACTTCAACGTAGGGCTCGGGAAGTCGAATTGGCTGGACTTTGGCACTCCAATTAAACGGAGGATCAATCTGATAAATTTTTATATAGTCTTTTATTTTTATATCAGACTCATAATATGTAAACTACCTCCCAAACAGAAATATCGTTTTCCAAAGTAAAGGGATCATAGGAGCCGTGGGTCTTAATCTTTATCACATCATGCAAAGTCCCTGGATTTTGACGGTTTATTGTGCCAGCCAAAACTTGATAATCCTCGGGTAGAAATCTGGAAATTTTTACCTATAATATTCATTTGAATTTTTGCAACAACAAAAAAGTTGAAAGTTTAAGCATTAATTAATTCGATTTTCATTATATTAAATTTTAACGTTTACTCTGAGCAATGGCCAGCAGTGATTATGTAATTGGCTCCAATAATAGATCCTCCACAAATGTGATCCCCAAAAGTGGTGCTCTGAATGGAAACCTGCCAAGGGATTTCGCCTTCCTTCGCCTCTACGCCGCCTACGATCTTATTTCCAGTGGTGAACTGTCTGAAGTACGGGTCAGCGATTCTTTCACCTGTCAATTTATAGCTTCCAAAGATTAACTGCAATTAAAATATTATTAATAATTTTGATACCTAATGCTACATTCGTGAAAAATAGTAGTGCCACAAGAGAGATCGGTGTGTTGCGTGATGAAGACATATTGATTTAATGTGCGCAATTCTTTTTTTATATTGTCTTGACGTATAGAATGCGCGCTTTTTTAATTGCTAGATTTATTTATGGCCTTTCTGACAAAATGCATTATAGCAAATTAATCCGTGACAGATTCAGACTAGCACAGTCACTATCATAACGATAGTAATCTTTGTGTGGAAAATCCTTGTGCGTCAAATTGTCATCAGCTCTTATCTGTAAAACACCATTATATTTCTCAACGCGTTGCGAAGGTTTTATTTTTCAATTTATGTGGAAAAAAGATCTTCTATAGTCTTTGAAGAAACAGACAGCGACTCTTATTTCACACTTGATAAAAATTAAAATTGCAAAAAGTATGAAAAAAACAAAATGATAGAATATTTTATTTTTTCTATTAAAGAACACAGATGAGAGACAATTTTTAAATGTATCCGTCAATCAAATTTTATTCAAATAATTTGTATTTAGCGTCTTTATAAATAAATCAAAGTTTTTTTTCTTGTGTGCTAAATTAGTTGCTGAATTAAACGCCAATTTGGTTGTAAATCCAGTCACGGAAGTAAGACACCCTTGTGTAAACGCCCGGCAAATCTGGCTCGCCGCATGCAGACGATCCCCAAGAAACGATTCCGTACAAAACACCGTCCTTGTACAAGGGTCCACCAGAATCACCCTACAAGTTAAATTGAATATTTAAAAAATATATGTTGCTTTTCGTTTGTACGTTGCAAGAATCCTTTCCAGTATCTCCGGCGCAAATCTGGTATGGGTAGATGTCATTCACTTCCCACCAAACGTCAGTGCAAAATTTTTGGTCAACCACAGGAATATCAACCTTTTGCAGAATTTCAGGTGCGTTTGTATTCTAAATAAATAAATCAGGTAAAATTTTTGAGAAAACTTTTCATTTTTCTTTTTCTCACATAAGTTTTGCCCCAACCTGAGGTTGTGAGAATCAAGCCAGTAGGGGTCTGCGTGTCATTTGGTGGTAGAGCAATTGGAGAAATAGTATCACTAAAAACGAATGGCGGGTCGATCTTAAGAAAATTAAAAATTGCGTTTTTTTTTATTCGATTGCTCATTCCTTATGAGAAAAATTTACCTCCCAAATTGAAATGTCGTTTTGCAAATCAAAATTATTGAAGTCTTTGTGACGGGTGATTTTTGTCACGTTATGAAATGATCCAGGCTCAGCGATTTTCAGAGTGCCAGCAACCACTCTAAAGTATGTAGGCGGGTAACTAAAATTATATATTTATGTGAATATAGAGAGCTGTGTCGTAAAAATTATTAAAAATATTCAAATCTCACTCAACACAATGCGCCGCGCTAATAACATATCTTTCAGTGATGATTGAGCCTCCGCAGTAATGTATTCCATTGTATGTCTCGATCGCTACCTGCCAAGGAATTTCACCCACGACAGCATCCGCGCCTCCAACGATTTTCGAATTTCCAGGCTCCAAACGTCCAAGCCGAGTGCCTTATGAGAAATAAAATTACAATCAATTACAAATTTTGACTTCTAAAATAAAGATAAAATGATTTTATTTATTCAAACTTACAGTAACATCCTGCGAGAAGCGACAAAAAAACTAACAATTTCAGTTTGGCCATTATGTCATTCATTTGCATTGCAGAATCCAGACGACAGCACTCGCATTTCCAATCAAAAAATGATAACGATATCTCCAGCACACACTTGAGTCGTCGCTCGCATTTCGCAAACAGAAATCTTGCGGATTTTTGTATAATCCATATTTTAAATATTACACTAAAATTTAGATCAATTTAAATTTGAGGCTGTAAAAATGTTGGAAATTTCGGAAAGTTAAAGAAAAGTGATATTATAGAAGATAACGCCTGTGGGATGGCGAGTATGCAACCCGCTGCACTAGAAAATAACACCGGTTGCATACATTTGTATAAAACTTTAACGCGAAACGTGTGGTCACGTTTCTACCAAAAAATAAATGACATAAATCATATTTTTCTTCTTCTTTAATGCATGTGATTTAACCTAATAAATTTTATTCAAAAAAATTTAATATTACGAAAAAATCAGGTCATTGTTGAGAAAGTGAAACTAATGTGGAAATAATAAATGACATGACATGTAAGATAAATAAGGAGAGAAGTTAGAAGTTTATTGAATTTTTTTTACAAGCAATCACAAAAATTGGTATCTTAAAATAAACTTTATTCACTTAATCAGGCATAAAATTTGGATCCAAATAATTGTAAGACGAGGACGGAGTGAGGTAGTCAGGGTCCCAAGTAGAGGATGAAGCGGCAGCTATGGGCGGTCCTTTTCTGATAGGTATAATTTTGTGGTGCTCCTTGTGCAGAGAAGTGGCCATCACCTTTAGTTCCCCCATCAACTGAGCAGTCAGGCAGTCGGTGCAGAGATCAAACGACCTGTGCTCCTGGGCGCAGTCTTCACAGTGCCACCGGGTGCCTTTGATTGGGCTCTCACTACACCCATCACACTAAAACATAAAAATACAGGACATTTTAGTTTCACTTAAAAAAGGGACGAATAAAAATTTCTCACCGAGAATCCGTCATGCTCTCCTTTGTACCCGACTTCCTTGTCTTTGATGACCATCGCCAGCAAATCTGCCTGATTTGAAGTTGAACACGAAGTTGGCACCTCGTCTGCCTTTATTTATGTAGTTTTGTTTTAGTATTCTCAGATCAAGTTTACAAACAAAAGATAACTTACAGAATTACTGTCTGCATAGCCTTGAGAGCTATCGTTCATGGAATTAAGATCATCGTCGGTCATCAGGACAGGAGGATCTAATTCTGGGAAAAACGTAGATGGCTTCATGTAGAAATGGTTCAAACGCTGATGCTTGTGAGGCTAATTAAAAATATCAAATATTTAGATTTTTTTTAAAATAGGTTGAAAATTTAGGCTCACCTTTTTCATAAAATTTGATCTTGCCCTGGGAAGTCGTCCCGGAACAGGCAAGCCCATTGAATGTAGCTTCTTAAAATACTTTTGGACACGACTTTGAACTTGCATTGGAGTTCGATTTCCTGCAGAGAAGAATGAGTACTCAAGTTTTAAATATTTTAGAACAGGGAGCAGCAAACCTAAAGCTCTGGCAATTTTTTCCCACCGTCTTGATTCAATATCCTCAGGTGGAAATTCCTCAAGAAGTTCTTCAAGCCTCTTTTGCTCAGCAGGCGTCCACAGCTGATTGAAGGTTTCTGGTTTCTCATCGTTAAAAACTTTTCCACGGACCCTCATTGCGCTGCCATCCTCAGACTTTGAATCCAAATTTGGACTTTGTGTCACTTCTTCCTTTAGCTTCCGCGTAAATGGCCTGTTTGACTCGGGCATGTACTCTTGGTATTGACTCCAGTCAATTTCTGGGAGCTTAAAGAGCGAAAGCATCATACATTTACAAATTTATTTTCTTAATCTTATTAACAAACCTCCTCCAATTTAAGCTCGGGCGGAATTCCAACATCTTCTCCTTTGGCGATTTTATTGACAAACTCAATAGGACTTTCCAAGGCTCTCTTTTGTGCCTCATGAAGTTTATCGATGTCCTACAAATATCAGTCATACACACGTTTATAAAAAAATTATTCTGAAAATTATCTTTGTGTAGGGTAGTTCAACACAGGCAAAAAGGGTGTCTCGCGTTAGTCTACCTTAATAGCTTGCTCCCTTTGCACTTGAAGGGTTAGAATGGTTCGTAAAAGTCTTCTGTAGTCCTTGTTGCCTTTGATAGGCAGGTAATCCGACTCAAAATAAAACTCCTCCGCTCCATCCTCGTCGCTGTGCTCTATTTCGGCCATTATAAAAAGTAAAATACAAATGTACACAAACTTTTAAAATTCGCGCTTTGAACGCCTTTATTCGTTCACGTTGATTGGCTGAAATGGAACCCTACATATTTTTAACCAATCAGAGGCGGAGAATCCTTGGAACTGGCAACACCATGACCAACACAACAGAGCGGAAAGGAATTGGAAGAGGCAGGAAAAAGGACATGTGTTTTGTACTGCTTTGCCGCCAGACAGCACTAAAATAAGCGTTTTTGGACGGATTTATCTATTAATTAGTTCCATTGAGACGCGCAACCTACAATTGCAAATGTCTGAAGACATTTAACATCCAGGCAGACACGAAGACAGTATGTTGTTCTTCTCTCGAGAGCGCACTGGTATGTAAACAAACATAATTAATATGTAGTCATGTGGAAACAGATTCATTGAATTTTTGTTCATAAATTTCAGAAGAAAGAGTCCATCTCTTGGCAGGCGTTACATACACAGTTGGATCACAGTCGTCTGACTTCCCTTTGCAGCAAGATGGAAAATTCGACAAGTCCATCAGCAGGACCCATTCCAAAATTTCTGTTAATTTTGCCGTCCAAAACTCCGTCTTGACTTATGAAGTATGTAACTTAAATTTATTTTTCCGAAATAAAACAAATGTTTTTTCAGTGTACAGAAACAATTCCACCTACCATCACACTAATAGATCACTCAAAATATGGAGTCTATGTCAATGATGGAATTGAAACAAAAGAGAAGACGAAGACAGAAGTTGTACTGAGTTGTGGAGACAAAGTTCGGTTTGGTTTACAGTGGAATATTTTTAGGTAATATAATTTTTCTTTTAATTAAATGTAAGTAGATAATTATTAAATTACACTTAAAACAATTGCAGTCTCAACCATGAACCCTTAATTGTGTTGGTCACAACAGGAGATGATAGATTGTCCATTGGTGGGAGCGTGTGGAAACTTTGTGGCTACACCTTAGACGTCTGTAACTATGACATCTCACACACTCATTTCTCCACAAATGAAGTGACCATGACCCCTCAGGTGCTTAACATTAATAACGAAATTTTATTTTAAATTTATATTTCCACTATGGAAACAATAATTTATTTAACATTCATTTATTACAGTTGCTATGCAGCCTTTGCAAAAATGTTCCGATCGTGAAACTTTCATATTGGGACCAGCTGCTGAAGGCTGTCAAGGATAAGTCTGATTTTCCAGCTACTGAAGACTTTGTTCCAACCATAAGTGATCCTCAAATCACCTCAAGCTTTTTGAAACACAACGAAAAACGTTGCAAGTTGTTCAAAGACAAGACGTTCATTTTCACAGATTTCTTGGTCTACCAGAAATATAAGGAGGTTGTTGAATGTGCTGGTAAGAGATTATTTTAGTTAAGAAACTTAGAATAATTTAGAATTCTTAATTAAATTCAAGGTGGAGTGCCTTCCAAATGGCAGTGCTGCACTTTGCCTGTAGAGGAAATAATGAAAAGTGACGAGTATGTTGTGATTGGTGGCCCTCGAAACTACAATTCAGACGAGTCGACTAAATCAAAATCCATCAATATGAAAAGACTTGTAAAGCTCCAAGGTAATTAAAACTAAAATCATACCTTTTATATCAAATAATTTTTGTTTTTACTAGAAAAATATGGTTATCGGAAAAGGTTTGTTCCTGTAGAAGAGATCGGAATGGCCATTTTGAAGTGTGACGCTGACACTTTCTGCAACCCTAATTTCAAACCATCCACCCTGATCAGGCCTCGCAAGTCCATGGTAGATGACAAGAAAGGAAACATTTTGGTGCCGGACACACAAGATACGCCCTCAACTTCAAGCAAAGTTGCTCACGGAAACATGGTTGTTCTGGAAACTGTTGAGGATGAATTCGACTTTGAAGAATCGCTGATTACTTTTCGAGAAACAACAACTGCCTCAACTAGCAAATCTCAAAGCAAGAGACCTGCACAGGGAAAAACACAATCCTCGCCTGTGGCTAAAGTGGCAAGGATGGATGTGGCAAGACCAAGCACAAACCGTCAAGCTCCAGATCCAGATGATAGAGAGCAGGAAGATGATCCATTTGAATTTGACCTGAGCACTGCCCTGTGCAAACCCACAGTTGAAAAGAGTCAGGTGGAATTTTCTCAACAAGATGAAGAAACTCCGAGCACCCCTGGAGCCAATCGGAAAAGGGCAAGGATCGAATCAAGCTCCGAGGAAGAGGAGGTTGAGAAGGAAGACAATAATGATGAGGATGAAGATGATCCCTTCCAGTTTGAGGAAATCTTGCCCTCTAAGAGTAACGCAAAGAAAACAAAAATTTCGCCCGTCAAGCCAAAATCACAGAATACTGTGCCCGTTCCTACTTTCCTTCATCCCTCCACATCACGATGCTTTCCAGAGGAGACTGACAATGATGATGATTATGATTTAGAATCAAAGTGGATTGATTTGTCAATCAAGGTAACTATTAGAATTGTTAATGGTGAAAAAATTTTCAATTATTTAATTATACTTTCACAGACTGAACCTGAAGAAGCAGGACTCTCTAGTGCTGGGCAAAGGATTTCAAGGATGAGCAATGATTCTAATCGAGGTAATACTGGTTCTGTCAGTGTCTTAGCCTTTCCCGTCAATGGCTCTCAAAAAGTATTCAGCAAGGTAATACTTTTGTCAACGTAATTAATAAATTTCAATTTACTAATTAAAATTCTTATCCCAAGACTTCGCACAGATGCATGAAAAGACTGCCAAAAATCATATCTTTTGCTGAAATGAGGAAAGTGAATTCGGTCACAGGCAGGCCTGTTGGAGCTAATGGGCACTAAGAATACTAGAGGAAAGGCACAAAATGTATTTTCTTTATTCATACATTGGTGATATTTCCCAAGAACCTAATCAGCAATAGCGAATATAGTTAATAATAACGTATTAATGTATGAAATCTGAGCCGAGTTGGCTTAAGACTGATGGATCCACCTGGAATTATTTAAATTGATTGAGAAAAAAATAAATAGATAATTCAAAAATATGAAATGTCTTCATCTTTATTTAATAGAACACTCCGGGTTTTTTTTTCTTTATTAATTTGTACATATCTTATTAATTTTACTGGTCAGAAGAAGTTGCAACAAGAAATCTTGTTGGATTAATATGTGTAGCTTAGAGGCACGTGCAAGTAGCGCCACTTTTTTAAAAATTCGCGAGGCCATTTTCGATAGTCACTTGTTCTCAGCGTTGTGAATTAATGGTGACTCGAAATCAGCGTCAACAAACCGAATAATCATGAAATTAGTCAGGTAATTGACTTTCAGTAGCTATATTTGCACAAATAATTTAAAATTTACAACTTTATGAACAGGGTTAACAGCAAAACTAACCCATAAACGGTTAATTAGTTATAAAAATGTTGTCTGAAAAATTTCAGTGAGCCGGCTTTGCGTTGCCGCGCGTGTTTTTCCCCATCCATCTAGCGCATTTTAATGTTTTCTTCACTAAAATCTTCAGTGCTAATCTCATTGCCTTTAAATCTTAATCCTGCATAATTTTCGCTGTTTTATGGAATTGGATCCAAATATTTCCAAAACGTTTTTGCTGTTATATACCAGTGCTTGTTATGTTATCATAAAAACGCATCGTTTCGCAAAAACCTTGGATTTTTAAAACATTTTTTTTTGTTAATTTTCAAATCAATTATTGTTAAAACGCTAAAAATTTTAATTTTAAACAAATTTCTACTATTTTTGCAGATTTTTAATGAAGTTGAGTCACGAGACGGTGACAATTGAGCTGAAAAATGGAACCCAGGTCCATGGCACCATCACAGGCGTTGACGTCGCGATGAACACGCACTTGAAGGCCGTAAAAATGACAATGAAAAATAGAGATCCAGTTCAACTTGAGACCTTAAGCATCCGCGGCAACAACATCCGTTACTACATTTTGCCAGACTCGCTTCCGCTTGAAACTTTGCTAATCGACGACACACCAAAAGCAAAAGCCAAGAAGAAGGATGCTGCCAGAGGTTTGTATTTTTAAATTATTTTGATTGTGTTAAAATCACAAAATCTTAAACTATGTTCATTTTTAAAATTTAATTAACTCTTCCAGGTGCAAGCAGAGGCCGTGGTCGTGGAAGAGGAACTCGAGGCAGGGGCAGAGGAAGAGGCAGGGGTCGCCGTTAACCCAACACTTTTTGACTTTCTGCTATGTGTTTTATTGTGTCATTTCACACACACGTTGAGGACATTTTTCAAACTGAAGTTGAAAACTCCGGACCTGTTCGAACACTATCCATTTTTGTTTTATTTTTAAAATCTGCAAAGAAGATTCAGCAACCATAATTACTTGTAATAATAAGCTCATAGAATTTAGGAAAAATCACTGAGTTTTTACTGAATAATGTAACCCTCAATGCCCGCCTTTTATTACAATAGTTTATTATGTAGAGATCAAATTAATCTAAACATTTTAGGCAAAATGTTATCATAAGAATAATTTTACAAACTATGAAAAGAATTCTTCCACAATTGATTAATTTGACTGAAGAAAACATTTAGTTAATTTGGACAGAAAATAAATATCTAATACACGTCACATAAACAAAATAAAATGATCATAAAGAACACTGTTCTTTTTTTATGGCAGGATTATCTGTGACATCTGTGTTCGTCAATATAAGTTTCAAAGAAATTAACATACAAAATTAATTGCTTATTAAAATAATTATGCATTAATTCCGATCAAGCGGATGTCATTATCTTTTCTTGATATCCCCTTTTCAAAGATTGAAGCAAAATGTGGAATATTTTCGATAATTTCAATGTGTGCTTTTTTCGCGCCAAATTTCAAACCTATATTTAGATCACAGAAATACTCTAGTTAAAAATCGGTTTCGTAATTTAAGGTATTTATTTCAACAATAATTCAATAAAGCCAACATTAAAAAACTTTTATAATTTATTTGAGTTTTTTACTTCATTTTATAACATTTTCCGATAAAACCAAAAAATATTGATTAACATGGATTGTCATTTGACCACCGGAAGTCTGACTTCGGCCATTTCTGTCATCCATGGGAGCGTGAACAGTACGCGCAGGTAAATTTGGTAAATTCTCGTTAAATTCTTAATTAAGTGCACTGCAAATGGACTAAATTAATATCTAAAATCTACGGAACAAATTTTCTTATTAATTCCGTGGCTTCTCTGAAGAGCCGAAGAGAAAACTCTGATTTTTGATTGGTGTACCACGTGGCTCTGCCGCACCGCGAGCGGCTTGAGCATGTGGTTCGACTAAAAGCTAATTTTCACGACAGTTTCCACTATTTCATCCTAATTACTCGCAATTTATCGTTCACTTGGGTAGATTTACCCGCTGGACAAGTCACGGGGCTGCCTAAATTCAACTTTGGGCGTGTGTTTTGACTTTTGACACAAGTCGAGGCCTGTTTGTGTGCAGCATGGTGGTGATTTCGTGATGCCGTCTTAGTCGATATTTTAATTTTACATGCCTTCGAATCAAATTTATCGATATTTTTTCATTGTTACAAAAAAAAAATTAAAAAAATCTTTTGGCCACTGTCGTGTTGTGTGATGGGGGGTGCATGACTGCCGAGCCACTGAGGAAAGATTAAAGATTTTTCAATTAAATGGCAATGGCCTTTGAGTCCAGAGAATTTAATCTTTGCATTGGTTCGGCAGGTCGTGCTTAATTTGAGGGGAGGCGTCCAATTTGTCCTTAATTGTCCCCATCCAGGCTTGGTGGACCACCACCTGTTCTCAGCAGCCGTGACGACAAATAAGGTGAGATTATTGTTTGAATTTATAATCAGCTTTTACCAAAAACTGTTTGAATTGGCAGGCGCAAACATGCCGCAGAACGAGTATATGGAACGGCATCGAAAGCTGCACGGCAGGCGGCTTGATTATGAAGAACGTCTGCGAAAGAGGCAGGCCCGTGAGCCACACAAACGGGCCGCCGAGGCCAGGAAGTTGAGAGGTCTGAAGGCCAAGATTGCCAACAAGGCCAGGGCCAATGAGAAGATCCAGATGAAGAAGAAGATCAAGGCCCATGAGGAGAAACTGACTCCGAAGCAGAGTGACGGGAAAGTGTCCGAAGGGGCGCTGCCTGTGTACCTTCTGGACCGTGAGGTGACCACCAGGGCCAAGGTCCTGTCCAACATGATCAAGCAGAAGCGAAAGGAAAAGGCCGGCAAGTGGGACGTGCCCATTCCGAAAGTCAAGGCCCAGTCAGACAGTGAGGTCTTCAGGGTCCTCAGGTCTGGAAAGACAAAGAGAAAGGGCTGGAAGAGAATGGTCACCAAGGTCACGTTTGTGGGCGAAAACTTCACACGAAAACCTCCCAAGTTTGAAAGGTTCATCAGGCCAATGGCCCTCAGGTTCAAGAAGGCCCATGTCACCCACCCTGAGCTCAAAGCCACCTTCTGCCTGCCTATCATTGGAGTGAAGAGGAATCCGAGCAGTCCGATGTTCACGTCGCTCGGGGTCATCACCAAGGGCACAGTCATCGAGGTCAACGTCAGCGAGTTGGGTCTTGTGACCAGCCAGGGGGGAAAAGTGGTTTGGGGAAAATATGCTCAGGTCACCAATCACCCTGAGAATGATGGATGTATCAATGCTGTACTGCTAGTTTAAGTTCCAATAAATAATTAGGGTCTTTTGTAAGAAAATCCGGAATTTAATTTTATAATCCTCAATTGTCATTGCTCCTTCCATTTGCAGTGCACTTTTTTTAACCGATTTATATAATTTTAATTGTTTTTATCTTCAGCCATGCAGATTTTTGTAAAAACTTTGACGGGGAAGACCATCACCCTAGAAGTAGAGCCTGCAGATAAGATCGAAAATGTCAAGGCTAAAATCCAGGATAAGGAAGGTGAGTCATTTGAAACTTTTTTCACCGCCTTGATATTTATTTCTTGATTTTAATTTGTCGACAGGCATTCCCCCTGATCAGCAGCGACTGATCTTTGCTGGTAAGCAGTTGGAAGATGGCCGCACCCTCTCCGACTACAACATTCAGAAGGAGTCCACTCTTCACTTGGTCCTTAGGTTGAGAGGTGGTGCAAAGAAGCGCAAGAAGAAGAACTACACCACTCCTAAGAAGATCAAACACAAGAAGAAGAAGGTCAAGCTTTCCGTTTTGAAATTCTACAAGGTAAAAATAAATTATTTCTTAACATGAAGTATTTGCATTGTTATGATGATCTTCCATAAATACCATCTTTCGGGGCTGAAAAGTGATGCCAACTATAATCTGATGCTTATTTTTATAAAATGTTTAAATAGTTGAGCTGAAAAAAGAAACAAATCTATAATATTTTTCAACTTTGTTTCAGGTGGATGAGAACGGAAAGATCCACAGATTGCGCCGTGAGTGCCCTGCTGAGCAGTGCGGTGCTGGAGTCTTCATGGCTGCAATGGAAGATCGTCACTACTGTGGCAAGTGCGGCTACACCCTCGTCTTCAGCAGACCAGAGGGAGGACCTTCGGACAAGTGAAACCTCTTTTCTTTATCTTAACTATTAAACAGAGAAAATCCAAACTATCAGTATTTCATTTATTAATAAAAATCCTGACAATGACTGAACCTTAAAGGTCTAAAGCGTGGTAAAATTTTTCATCTTCAAAAAGTAAACTAAAAATAATTGCTAATTTAAAAAGAAAACGGATGTAAAATTACTTTTCTACGCTCCACTAAAAAGGCACACTTTGCGCCTGAAAGTTAGATTTCTCCTAAGGCAGTTGTTCACTGCAGGTTGCCTACGCTCATGCCTTCAGAAATTTTTCCTCCTGATCCATGTTTCATGACATCGATCAATTAGTTTCACTCTAAATATTATTTTTTTTTTAATAAAATGGTGATTATTTTTAATAATTTTATTTTGACAGTTCATTTAGAGTAATATTTTACATAGAAGAAGTAATATAGCTACAATTTTATTTTGTGTTACAATCAATAAGTGCCAAATAGTCCAACATGGGAATATTATTATGTCGGGGCAAATTAAGATTGGATAGCTTTAGGGCTGGGGAAAAGCGGCATTTCATTTATGGTAATTTCTGAAAATGTTATTTTAAAAACTAACCTTAGTGGAGTTAATAGGAGAAAAATTACTGAATAATTTAAAAAAAATGTTAATGATTATCAATGAATTATTTCCTATTATTTTTAAAATTTATCTTAAAACTTTGATTTTTTTTATGCAATTATAAATAACGCTTAATAATAACAATACATCATTCGTTAAATTTGACACCATATAATTTGCATCTGAAAGGATTCCGATCCCAGTTAATTACCTCACGTCTGACGGAGACAAACTGAATACATAAAAACTGCAAACTTTATCATCGGCTCTCCTTCATTTACCCACGACTGCTGCGCCGTAATGAAATTTCCATGTTTTATAAAACCAACTCATGCACTAAAGTATCGGCCTTGAGACCGAATTTGCTCGGTCCTTTGCACGCCATCAATCCTTCTCAATGTGTTATTTGCTTGGGCGGACGGGGTGTGATTAAAAAATCTAATATCAGTGCAAAAACCAAAACTACACCTTTTTTGAAATTAATATTTCGGAGAAGAAGCGCGTGATTAATTTTTCGCCTGAGGCGAACAGCTTTCAAATTGGCATGCGATGGAAAAGGGAGTTATTTATTCCGTCGCGCTGTTAATATAAAACAAAAATCGTGAGCCAAGTTCAAGGCTATTCAGCGGCTGGTCTGATCTAAAAAGAAGAAGCCCAAGTTTGCAGAATCACGCTTGGCTGTCCGTCTCACTTTCATTCTGGTGCGCTTTTTGCTCTGGGACGTTCACACCGCTTGTGGCTATAACTTTTTTTTATTCAGGTTAAAAACAATTGTTAGTTTTTTCCGCCATGGGTTTGGTTTTTCGTCTTTTTTTTTTGTAAAAATTTTTCTAACGATACACTATTATTGTGTTTGGCCAATTTCGTTAAAAATAGTCACGCTGAGAAAATTTGGCCGCTTGTGAGAAGATTGCAGTCATTGAAGTCTCCCAAGAGAACGCGCTTGAGATGCGATGTTATCCTCAGCCCGCGGCGTGCGAAGCGAAGAGAAGCAATTGCTCATTAAAGCTTCCTTCCTCACGACAACTTAACTCAAATAACTGGTTGGCCAAAAAATAATAAAACGCAAAGCACTATAGCGCAAAAACAAAATTGATCAGCTTCGGTTTTTGCAGCAACGAGCCACACCTATAAAAATAATGAAAAACGTTTTGCACCGCTCCACCTGAAATCATAATTTTTATAACTTAATAAAATTTCACAATCAATAATTATTGGAAACAACTCCTTCAACTTTTTTCTACCTAAAAGCTTACTCATCCTATTAGAATTAAATTAAAAAAGCGTAAATTTTGAGTTAATTGTTGCAACAAAGTATGACAGTTTTTGGGAAGTAAAAAATTTTAATATTAATACTGTATGTTAAGCACAAATCTAAAAAGGTGCTTGAAGGTATTTTCTTCTGAATTTTAAGCCGGTTGATTAAAAACTTTGATAATATAATAATATAAAATTTTTTCGTATTTTCACTTTCATACCCACATTAGAATAGTTTTTCCTTATCAAAATGTTCAAAAAATAATTTTTTATAAAGTTTTATAACTAAATAACAAATTATAGTAAAAAATTTTATTACATTTTTAACGAAACCTGATTTAATATTAATATAAAATAAGCAAGTTTGAGTTTTCTACATAACAAACTTTCTGTGAGCATTAACTCACAAAAATGTCTCATTACAAGTGGAGTGGTTATAACAAAAAATAATGCAATTTATTAAAAAAAAATTATTATAAAAATATAATTTGTGAATTAATTTATTTTTAATTGAAAGTAAACCTAGGAAGAGGAAGAGAATGGAATCATAATATACACCGAACCTAAATAATTGTATGATTTTAAGTGCTTGTCTCATAAGCGGTTTCTTTCAAAACAGTCGTGTGTTTTTTGCTCGTCATCTCGTTCGAGCGCTGATATATATTGTTCGCAATGTCATCAATCAGCTCCGCGCCGCCACCGCCTCCCATGCGCGCACGAACCGCATCCGCATTGTCCGAAAACGCGTAGTTGCATCAACGCGATCACGGATTCGCCGAAAGCAACAGCGAGAAGAGCCTGCCTGCGATGATGGCAGATAAAACATAAATAAAGTGCCAATAGCATAATCATATTCCGTCGACATTCGCATACAAAATCAGCCTGCGAAAATTCCCATCCGACGGGAGCGACCTGGCGAATTTCAAACAGCGAGAAAAAACCCAAACGAGCTCTGCATGAGAAATTACCATTTTTATATAAACGAACCCTAATTAAGCGAGGGCCGATTATGGTTCATCTTTCATTTTATCAACGGAGGCAAAAACAATGCCTTGTAATTATTTGTTGTGCCTGAAATAATTCGCTCGAGCTGCAGCCAAAGCAGCAGGCGGTTATCCTTGAGCCGAGTCGGCGATTTTGGACAAGTTCAAGGCTCGGGTGTATTAGCAGATCCGGCCGATGCCTTCCAATTCTTTTTTTTTCGAAAGCTACCTCACTCAGAGATACTTTTTATTTTATTTTTCACATTGTTCGTACCTAGGGCAGGTTATATTATGTAACCAAACAAGAAGTGATCAGGCGCAAAGGGTGTGGTGCTCTGAAAATATATATAAAATATAATTCTTCAGAGATGCGTAGTCGGTTTATTTCTGTATCTCTGCCCGCCAAGGAGTGACATGCTTATATGTGCATAGGAGGGTAATAAATAAATCTCTGCACTGGTTAAAAACGAGAGTAGTATGCATATTACACATACACACTGACCGCACACTCTTTGGTGTGTGTTATATTTATACGCAAAGTCGCCACAGCTATTCAAGTGAATCGCGCTCCTCCTGCTTAATTACAAATTATATTTAATTGCGACAGAGGCGAAAATTATTATAGATGATAAGCTGCTGCGGCTTGAGCTAATAATGATCAGAGCCTCTTGTTACACGGGGCGGCTGTAAAAAACGTAATGATGATTTTAGCAACCTTGGGAGCGCAAAAGCAAATGACCACAATATGCTTGGCGCTGATTCAACTTTAATCATACGCCGCTAAATAAACGTGCATGCTTCAATAATGTAAAAAAAAAAAAAATACAAACCCACTTACTAAAATAAAGGAAAACCATTTCCGGAAACACCATTTGGTGCGTTGCAAAAATCAGTTCTTAAATTGACAATAGATGTTCTTTCCTAAAATTTTTTTGATAATTATTCTTTAATGGAATGGAATAATGAAATATTAGAAGAAAGATCAATTTTGTTTCTCAAATTCAAAATTTTGACTTGAATGAATAAAAAAAATAATTTATTAATATTTTTGTAAAGGGACATTTTGTAAAAAGCAACTTGCGAAATTTTGCAATATCTTTTCAATTTAAAAATTAAATTAGTAACAATTAGTAACAAATTTCAAAAACAATTAGAATTAAAAATTCCAATAATAGTTTCAAAAGTTACGATTCTTGAGGATAAATCTCAATATTTTTAGGAAATATTTTTTCAGACGCGTGTTGAAATTATGCGTTCATCATAATAAAAAAAATGCATCTCAAAGTCAGGTGCACTCTGCTATTTATTCTTTGCGGTTTGTTGATGCAAGAATGTAATACGATAAAAATGAATAATGGTCTGACCACAGAAATTTGATATCTATAAAGATGATTTTGATATATTTATCAAAAAGTACATGCTTTCCAAAATTTTTGAAAAGTCTGGTTTTCAATACCTTTGAAATATGCAGAGGGAAAAACAATAAAAGCAGAATTAGCTTAAGGTAAAAAAACTAAACAAGTAAAATATTAGAAAATTAATTAAACTTGCGTCGTTAAATTGATGCTTATTTTAAATTGCTGAAAAAATGTTGCTTGTATACAATTTTTATACATCTCTTTAATTTTAAAATCGTTAAAACCAATTCTGCGGAGAAATTAAATTGGTAATAGAGAAATAAAGATGAAAATTAGTGAAATTGAGGAGTAACTTTATAATAACTATACAATAATTTTTAAGCGTTTTTTTTTTAATAAAACTTTATTTTTTTAGTTTTCACCTTCAAAAAATAAAAATAAATATTATAAAATTTCTGAATTATAAATATAAATTTTTGGTTATCTAATTTACACTAATTTTACTAGATTGAAAATTGACTGATCGACATAACATTAAAATTTATCAATAGTTCTCGGACGTATTATAAAAAAATAATTTAATTGCCGCGTGGAATTTTTGTTGCGAATGAATTATTAGAAGTTTCTGGGCACATAGTCCATGATGTAGTAATCATGTAGAAACTTGGCGGTGATTTGCAGTATGTAAGCGCGCATCGAACCATTATGAAAAACAATGGCATAGGCATGGGCAGCAGTTGAGCTAGATTGTGATTGATGTGAAACAATGAGGTGCGTAGCCTTACGGGTGGACACTTGGACGTGCGCCCGCGACAGAATCACGCCGACGAAATGGTCCTCTTGCATAATGAGTGACCTTAGAAAAAGAATTTGTAACAATATATAATACACAACATATCAAGAGAAGTCAATACGCGATCAAAAATCAAATTCTCATCACGTATGCTCATCGTGAAATCCATTAAAGTTTCAGGTGACGGCCAAAATCCTTTCTTATCTTCGACGTCAAAGTTTCACAACAATATATTTATTGGAAATATTGCTTAGAAAGAAATTAAATTATTTTAAATTAAATTTTGTGTAAAGCAAATGCCAATTCTTTGTCGATCCATTCAGACCGCACAAACGCACGGTCGAGCCTTTGGTCGAGCCTCCTTCTAATTCTCCTATGATTTTTTGCAGGTCCAATGACCGGCAGTGGCACGAAGCAATCTTTCTCTCAGCCAGGCGCGGCATAGCAACAAACAATATGTAATTTCGTACGAAAAGCGTTTTCGCCGGACGGCCGCTCTAATAAAAGCTGAGCCGAATTTGAGGATGTTCTGCGGCGGCTGCAAGTTGAAGGACTTCTCGAGGCGTGGTCCCCCGAGGATCAATTCAAGCGTGCACCGGCCAAGCAAAAGCAGGGAGGAGCAGGTGCGTGGGGGGCATCGCCGCAGTGCAGAAAAAAGGCCCATCTCGCGAGGCGTCAAGGCTCTCCAAGGGGTATAAAAGCGCCGCGTCCACCACAGAAAGGCACTGTTTGCATCTCCAAGCAACCAAGCACTCAATCACCATGAAGTTCATCGTGAGTACACCTTCCAAATTTTGCTTTTTAGATTCTTTTCAACTTTTCTTTTGTACTGAAATAGTAAATTAGTCTGAATTTAAAATTATTTCATTAAATAGTTATTCAATATTCTCAAGATTGTTCTTGAAAATTTTGTTCCATTTTTATAAGTTAGAAGAAATTTATAAATTATTCCACTTCAAATTTAAATTGATTTAAAAAAATTGATTTTTTTTAACACTATTTGTTCTTTTTCAATCGCAGGTTGCTCTCCTCTGCCTGGCCGTTGCCGCCTTCGCCGCCCCTGCTGAGAAGGACCTCAAGGGATCCGAACAGGTCTACGTTGCTGCCCCCTACGCCTACTCTGCCTACTCCGCTGCCGTCCCTTATGCCGCCGCCGCCGCCGTCCCCGCTTACACCGGATACGCCTCCACCTACGGCTATGCTGCTGCCCCCGCTGCCTACGCCTACGGAGCCTACCCTTACTCCTACTACTACCGTTAAACGACTGACGACCCTGGCGTACAAAACCAACTGACAACACGCTTAAATTATTTTTGTAATTCCCAACATCAAAATAAATACCTGTCCCAGTAGCAATACATAAAAATTACATGTGTTTCAATTCATCGTTAACTAAATCTGTCTAAAAAATCTGACTGAAAGACCATAAGGATGTGGGCAAACTTTGAAATTTTCATTTCACTTGATAAGTGTTGATAATAAGTCTTTATTTAGATTAATATAATTTACAATTTCAACTTCAAAATAGGAAAATAAGCACTTTTGTGTTTTTAATTTTTAATTAAAAAATGGCATCTTAAATATGTATTAAATTGACTTCAACCTTATAAAAGAAAATCTTAAGCAATGCTAATTTAATCGAAGTTGCTTGAGTATCAGGTTTTAAGAGGAGCGCAAATTTCAATCCGAGTCTTCCCTCGGCCGTTTCCTCTTGAGATAATTTGAAACAGACACGGCAGCCAACTCAGCACTACTGAGCTTACCTGAAAGCCAGTTTTCCACCTCGAGCCACCTCGCCCTGCCATCCAGCATCACAGCCTTTTCTTCTTTGCTCAGCAACTGCTCTCTGCTGATGACGTCTTTTGAAATTTCCGCCTGTGACAAGCTGATGATTTCCTTGCTGCGAATCTGGAACGTCTGTGGATTGCAAGTTATATTAGTCAAATTAAACAATTTTCATTCAAGTTCAAATTACGTTTTGCAGAATTTTTCTTAGATTTGCAGCTTCCTCTCCTTCTATCAGTGAAGCAACGTGAATTCCAGTTTCGTAGAAGTAGGCTTCTTGTTTCAAAAGATCGACCACGGCTGGCTCCGCTTTTAAAATTTCCCTTTGTGAATAATTAAAAATTAGTCCCCTTATTAATGTAAAATTTTAAGATTTTACCTAGCCGATTGTGAGTAGGCCTTGCCAAAATCTGGTTTGACAAGGTGTCGTTTTGATAAATTGAACGCCATCCAAATCGGTAACTCAAGTCTCCGGCCAGGTTCGAGATGCTCTGACTGAGACCCTCGGTCCATTTCTCCTGTGATTTGAGATAAAAATAAAATGATTAAACCCGTGGTAAATCCAATAACAAACAAGATCGTACCTAAGCCTGGAATTTTGATCTCCACTTTACAAGGCACTGTTGCATTGGTGGCTACGATGTCTTCGAGAGAAAAGTAGTTTGGCTCGTAGGACGGCGAGTATTTCATGGTTCAATGCGACAATTTACTTGATAGTAATTTAATACACTATGCCTTTCTCGAATATTTTGGCCGACACACGCCAGAAAATTAGAAAATATGATAACTGCTGGACCAAAAAACACAAACAACTTCGCGCGCCAGCAGCTGTTTGATAGCAGACAACATTCTGACCAACATAAGCATTTTTTTTTTTTTACAAAACATATTTTAATATTTATGCTTTCAACTGAATAAAATGTGATGAAAAAAATCATAAAAATTAAATAGAAATTTTAAAAATATAAATTTTTAAATAATTGAAATTAAATACAAAATTTCGCATCTTTCCTGCAGTGGGCGGCCCTGTTTGCCGTTCACTTCTTTGTACTGCTGGCTGCATAACTGCAAAACTTGCAGGCGCTCCTTACGACAGTTCACCTGGGGAAATTAGTGCTTTTGCTTTGGTTTTGCTACTACTACAGAAGCAGCTCTAATAAATTTTAATGCAAAGTTTAAAATTACACTTTTTGATTTTTAATTTCAAGGGTAAGTCTCCAAAATTTTTGCTTGTGAGGAAATTTTCAAAAAATTCTAACAAAACACTACTTGAATTTATGGTTGCAATATGAAAACCTGAATACAAAATTTATTGAGATTACACTGGCTGGCACTGGCCAAAATGATTTCAAAATAATGACATCTCATTTGAAAAAACCTCCACCATTTGATTTTGAGCATTTTACTGGCAAGTTATTGATATGGCACGATCAAGGCTTTTCCATTGATTAATGATGGAACAGGCGCAGATTGGTGTGGACCAGAGTGATGTCCTGAGAATCACAAGCAGCAATGACAGCATCATCATTATTGGATCCAGAGGGGCTTGCAATGTATGAGGTGCCGCTCTAAAATAACAAAAAAAAAAAAATATTTACTCACAAGTATTACAAAAATAAAGTAATAAAATAAAGAAATAGAATAAAATAATTTACCAGTTTGGCACGATTAATGTTATCAGAGAAAGGAAAGAAAGCATCAGATCCAAGGCTGACTCCAGTGAGAGAAGCAGCCCACTTCTTCCTCTCCTCAGCAGAAAGGTCTTCAGGAGCTGGCCCGTCAATGAAAGAAACCCAGCCCTTATCAGCAGTGGCACCAACATAGTTGTCGATGGCATTCGCAATTTCAGCTCGCTTTGTTCCAGGCTTAAATTTCAAGCCCTGTACCTTAGGGTGAAGACGAAGCCACCTAAATGACAAATTTTACAAAAAACTTTTCCAGGGAATTTTAAAATTTACCAGTTGTCGGCTTTCTCAGCAGCAAGTCTGGTGCAGTGAATTCTGGACTGCTGACCGGCGCCAACACCAATGACTTGACCGTCCTTGGCAAAGCAGACAGAGTTGGACTGGGTATATTTCAAAGCAATCAGAGCAACGGTGAGATCCCTAATTGCTTCAGCAGGCAGCTATTGATTTTTACAATAAAAAAAGAAGAGCAAAATTTATTGCTAAAACTTACATCCTTCTTTTTGCTGACAATGTTCACAAAGAGATTCTTGTCAATCACCGCATCGTTGCGTCTCTGCTCCAAGGTCAGACCGAACAGAACCTTGCGTTCGATGAGAGCTGGCTCGTAAGTGGGGTCGATCTGGAGGACGCAGTAGCTGCCGCCCTTTTTCTTCTTCAGGACTTCCAAAGCTTCAGGAAGGTAGCCAGGAGCAATGATTCCATCTGAAACCTAAATTCCAACATTTGAATTTAGAAAATTTCAAAACGTTGAACTAAAACCTCTCTGGAGATGATCTTTGCAGTCGGAAGGTCGCACGGTCTCGAGAGGGCCACAAAATCACCAAAGGAGGACATACGGTCAGCACCTCTAGCCCTGGCATAGGCAGTTGCAAGAGGAGTCAGTGAATCCAAAATGTCGTCCACTTGGCAAAGCTTGGCCTGTACAAATCTCATTTTTTTACTAAACTTTATGGAAAAAGAGAACAAACCTGCTCAAGAGAAAGAGGAACAGCTACAGCTGCTCCAGCAGGGCTGACATGCTTGAAGGAAGTGGCGGCCGGCAAATCCAGGGACGCATCCAGCTCGCGCACAAGCTGCCAGGCATTCAGGGCGTCACACAAGTTGATGTAGCCAGGCGACCCGTTTACAACTAAATTAAATTGTAATTAATAATTTTTATTAAAAGCAGGAAATTTAATGCTAACCTGAGAGAGGTAGTTTTGGGCCAGTGGTGAAGAGCTGAGCCGGTTTCTGGTGGGGATTCATTCCATAGCGCAGAGTTATCTGGCTGGGTCCATCAGCAGAGAAACTCTGACGACGGAAAAAGTCGGAGATGGCCACGTCATAGTCAGCGGTGTGAGTAAAGGCTTTGAGGGCCAACGAGCGCCTAGATTTTGCATATTAATTTTTAAATTAGTGTAAAGTTGTATAAATAATTAAGTTAAGTAAAAAAATTATCCACCTTGTTTCCAGAGAGGTGTCCTTGCTGGCGCTTTTCTCCATCTCTGTGACGATTTTGTCGTAGTCGTCGGAGTCGCACACGACGGTAACTCTGTCATGGTTTTTAGCGGCCGCGCGCAAGAGAGTGACTCCGCCAATGTCAATGTTCTCCACAGCATCGGGAATGGTGATGTCCGGCTTGGCCACAGTTTGAGTGAAGGGGTACAAGTTGCAGGCAACCACCCGGACCAACTCAATGTTGTTCTTGGCTAAGTCCTCCAGATCGGACGGGATGGTGCGAGCCAGGATTCCTGAATTACATCATTTTTAAATTTTTTGTTCAAATAATAAGTTAATTTTCATTTAATTGACGGAAACAATTGTTCATTCATTACCTCCATGGACGGCAGGGTGGAGGGTTTTGACCCGACCCCCGAGCATCTCGCTTGCTCCAGTGATGGCGGCCACTTCAGTGACGGCCAAACCGGCCGCGCTCAACTCTTTGGCCGTTCCTCCAGAGGCCACCAGTTTTAGTCCCAGCGCCTGCAGCTTCGTAGCAAAAGTAACAAGGCCGCACTTGTCAGACACGCTGAGAATGGCTGCGGAATTTGGAATTTTAAAAAATTCCATGACATTTTCACTAAAATTTTTACCTAGCTGCCCCGATTGAGCCATGACTGTTTCTTGCACTCAACTGCAGTGAATCAAGCGTGACCTGTCAACATAAAGATAAAAACAGTTTGTATCTCAAGTGATTAGAGAGTATTGACATTTAGCTTGTTGATCAATTTGACCTCTGCTGCAGCTCTTTTGACCCTTTTGAGCGCAAATGGGGCTTAATGCGCTTTGCTGAACAGCCTGTTTTAGCATTTATAATTATTACTGGCTGTATTAATACATGTTTTACTAGGATTAAAATTGATTTAATTCTCCTCAGCTGTTTGGATATTATTATTACATTGAAAGAGAATGATTTGAAATTTCATGTATGTAAATTTTTCAAATAAAATCTAACACACCATAATGCTGAATAAAATAGCTATTTTCATACTTTTATTTAATTATCAAATAACATTAACTATTTAATATTTAAATTTAAATCACAAAAAATTTACTTGGAGGTTTTAAATTAAAAAAGAAGATTTTAATAATTTTGAAAAGTTTTAACATAAAACTGTGAAACGCTTAGAATAAATATGTATAATTAATTATATTTTTTCATCTTTTTTCAGTTTGCCAATCGTCTCCTCTAAACCAAACAGCAGAGAGAGTGCATATTGGTGCATATTAAAAGAATATAAATAAATATGCAAAATTGTTATATAATCAAATTCTGAGCGGCTCTATAGGCCTTCTCAATTGACTCCTATGCTCTATCCAAGCAAATTACGAATTGGCCAGCGAAATAAATTCCAGACGGTTAAATAACTATGAATTTTACCATCTCAAATCTCGAATATAAAGCCAATTTTTTTATTATAAAATATTGAAAGAAAAGTTGCTTGTAAGTCTGAATCATCAATTCCATGATTACTTGTACTTTCAATAGGACAATTCGCACACAAATTTGTATACCTGAAAATTTCGTCAGAGACGCTTGTGGACAAAAGCCGACAAATAAACGCTGCTGTAGCCTTGGAGGAAAGAGCACCAGTTGCCAATGAAGCGTAGAAAGAGGCGACAGAGAGGAGCGCACGTGACTTCTCAGCGTTCTCCTCCTATCCTGCTACTCTCAGAGAAAGAGAACTATTAATTTCAGAATTCAACTTCCACACCGCAGAATTTTTGCTTACTTTTCCACAACCTGTTGCACGTGAGGTGGGCGTTCTTGTATCTCTAAAAAAACATCCCCTACTTGGGCACCCCCACTCTTCCCCCACCATTGAAACGCAGCGGGCAGTGACCGACCTTCAAAACAAAAAACAAAATCATATGATTGACAAGCAAAACATGAAAATTGCTTGAGAGTACAATTTTCTGCAATTTCCGTAAGTGTTTCGCTTGGCACAATATTATCCATCGTTGCAAAACTCAGCCTAATCTAATAATTTAGCAGCAAAAAATAACGAGAAGACCTTCGATCCTCTTTTGGCTTTTAAAGTGTAAAAAGTTTTGGCTGACTGATAAAGGAAAAATGCTTTTTGAGAGACTGCTGTTGTTAGATAAAACTGTCTTACATAATTATCTCTTATAAAATTTTTCTTTCTTACATTTCAGAAAGATAAAAACACCCTCATGGTTCTCAGCACTTACTCTTTCAAGAGCAGTTGATCAAAAAACAAGGGACACGATGGCAGGGTTGACGGGCAACGAGATGCCGACAGAAGTTATTTCTTACATAATGGACTTCCTGCCCCTGGGAGACCGAATCAGCGCCTCGATGACCTGCAGACAGTGGTACGAGGCGAGCAAGAGTCGGCACCTGCACACCAACGAGGTGGTCTTCATCCACAGCAGCAGGGCCATCAAAGACCTCTGTCCGGAGGCAGTCATCCACCCCGAGACCTTTGAGGTCGACCCCTTCTCCGAGCCTCCACCCTTTCAAAATTTCTGCTTTCGAGAAGTCGAGGTGAAAACCACGGGTGAGATGCGCCACTTTTGGCCTCGCTTTGGCCCCAACGTCCGCAGTTTGTCTCTGCAGAACTGTGAAATCAGCGAGAAAGCCTTCAACGACATCCTGTTCCTCTGTCCAAGGTTGCGGCACCTGCACATCAGTGGCTGCAATGAGCTCTACATGTCCGGCAAGGTGCTCGAAGGCCATGACAGTCTGCGAATGGCGCACCTGACCGAACTTGAGCTGACCAACACCAGGTACATCTCGGACAGCATCTTCAACCGGTTCATCTCAGTGGCCCCAAATTTGCAGACCGTGGTCCTCCTCGGCTGCAACATTACCTGCAGCTCGGCCGTCTATGGACGCTTCTACCCTGAGTCAAAAAAACTTTTAATGAACTCCTGTTTTGCAGACGGCCAGTTTCCTTTGGACGTTGCCACAAACGTCTTCACCTTCGAAAATGTCCTGAACGTCCTTGCTGTCCGGAAAGTGACTAGTCTCGGACTGGGTGTCACTTCCCTTGCTTTCGATAATCTCAACGCGCTGTGCGAGAAATTAGACTCGGTTCGCGTCATGAATCTGAGAAATTGCTTTCAACTTGTCAAAGGGGTTGAAATTATTGCCAACTCGTTCAGTCAGAGCCTCCAAGACGTGGACATGTCCGAGTGTTGCTTTGTTTCGAACGAAGACATGAAACACCTTGGTCGACTGACACAACTCAGAAGGCTAAATTTGAATGGATGCAAAAATTTGGAGAACTCAACAGTCCTGGAGCTGAAAAATCTCCAAAACCTGAACTATCTTAATGTGTCGAACATTGAAAAAATCACTGGACCTGCAATACTAGAGGTAAAAATGTTTTTTTCGAATTTTATATAAATTGTTTCGTTTTCAAATTTTTAGGCTGTGACTGGAATGAAGAAGCTGAAGCACCTCTTCCTGAACAGACTCGCTCTTTTAGACAGTGACAGTTTACTGAAAATATTGAAGCAAGCGCCTCCTTTAATTACTTTGGAACTGGCGTGCTGCATGGTCCCTTTAATTGACGCTGCGGTGGCTGTAATTTGCAACCAACATACCACCATCAAACGACTCAATTTATCAAATTGTCCTTTTGTAAGATGAATTATGAAACATGAATTTTTTTATTAATATACAATTGTCCATAGGTATCTGATGTTGGTCTTACTGGTCTCACTGATGTACCTGATTATGATTTTCCGGCATACTCACCGACGATGCTTGATGCATCTCAGGCAAGCGGATTTTCTCTCGGCAGCAAAGCTGAGAGGCAGATTGTCTTTGAAGCCAAACGAAAAATGGAGATTGCGGAACAAATGACCCCATTCAAGAAAATGATGCAACAGGAGGGGCAAAACATTTTGGGAATAAGCAAGCTTAAATGTAGGTTTATTTAAAAAATGTTGTTGAGAACTTTTCCAATTAAATTTTTGAAACTTCATAGCCCTATCTTCATTGGATTTGTCCAACTGCAGCCGGGTAACGGACCTTAGCATAAGAAATGTTTTCAAATTTAACCAGCTGAAGTACCTTAATTTGGAAAGGAATTGTCAGGTAGGGCCTGAATACATTAAAAAACAAAATATATAACTAAATTTTTTACAGATTACGGACGCCAGTTTGCAACTCCTTGTCATGTACTGTCCAAGTTTAGAGGAACTTAACATTCAAGAGTGTGGCAAAGTGACCGATCTGGGAATAAACTACCTAAGTCATCTTCACCGCTTGCGTGAAATCAATGTTACAGTAAGTAACGGAAGTCTTTTGTCATTAACTAGCCAATGTTAATATTTTTGCAGGGGTGTGATTTGTTGACAGACGCAAGTTTGGAAGCGTTGATGAAGTCGAAGTCTCCTCTGAGAGCTGTGAGCCTACAGAGGTGCAGCAAGTTCACCGTCAACGCTGTGAACATTTTCTGCAACTGGCTGAACCACTCAATAAACTGGAGTGAGGAGTCTGAAAGGGAGCATTCCTCAACTTGGTATGTTCCTCCTCCGCCACCACCAAATTTACCGTTCAACGGACATTCCTCGTGCTAGAAGCATTTGGAATTGAGGATTAATGTGATGGCCTTTTACTTTGCATCAGTATCAAGCAAATTATTTAAGCATTATTACAACAATTTAAGTTGATAAAAGTTATGTACAATTCTTAAAACCTAACAGTTGCTTTTTTATAAAAAAAAAAAAAAAAAAAAAAAAAAAATGCAATTATCGATTAAAAATAATTTATTGCTAAAATCACAGTGCAAATTGTTTCGTGGTACTAGGATTATTGTCGGATCATAAATTTTTGAGACAATAATAATAACACAGGGAAAGAATAGTATATAAATATAAAACAATATAAGTAATACTAAATAAAGTTCTATGCTGCTTTACAGGAGACCAACCCAGAAACACTTAAAGAAATGAAGTTGACTTGCAACTATAACTGATATTTAAAATAACATTTATTGGAATATCTTGGATAAAATGCTTGTTAGAAAAACAGAAGCACTGATATGATTTGCAAGAGCGGGGGCTTACTGATTTGATACACTAACCTTTGCCATTTTTTTAAATTTCTAGATATGTAAATTGCCAGTCGTAAATATTAAGAACTAAAAGACGGGCTCACGGATCGTCAACTTTGTAAAGAGTTTCCTCCATTGGAAAAAGAAAGCGTAATGCTTTGGAATTGGTTTATCAAATCGGAATTTTCCTTAGCAATCTGCTTGATCTCTTCCTGTATGGCGAGGACATCGGCTAGACTCTTCCGGCAGGAGACCTTACTCGACGACTGGGGTACAGGGGAAATGCTCAGAGCTGGGCTCGGAGAGTGGTTAGAGGTCGGGGACACAGACTTCCTCTCTGAAAGAGAGTTCTTGCCACTGGTACTGAGCTGCGCTTCAGTGTTAGACAGGTAAAGCTCTTCGACAATCTCATAGCTCTCTTGGAATTTTTCCAATTGGCCTTGATAATAGAGAACATCCCGTTTCAGGATTTCAACCTAAATGATTTGATTAGCTTACAAAACTTGTATTTTGCTCACAAATTTACCTGCAGAAAGGAAGTTTGGGCCAATTTGTACCAGTCTGATAGACAATCGGCCAATGCAGCAGCAAAGGGTAGAGTTTGGGTGGTCAGCATGTTGACAATTTTCTTTGCCGTCTCAGTTGCTTTGATTCTCTCTAAAAGATGGAATTGCTCATCATTGTACGAAGGGTCGCGCGTCGACCTGTCTCGCAGCAAGTGTTGCCAGCTTTCCTTCAATCGTGTGACCAAAGAATTGATTTTGCTCAGCTCGGAATTGGACCTTTCGACTAGAATTTATTTATATGAATATTAAATTATTTTTAATTTTATATAACTTTACCTCCCAATCCTTCACTGGAATCGAGCCACTCCTTTCTCAAGTCTTTGCTACTTAGCTGTTTGGTTGCCGGAGTCAGCTTTTCCAGTTCCAAGTGCAGTCGTGAGACATCAACCAACTTTCTGCGCAGCTCCTCATTCAAATTGTCTCTCAAGGCAGGGTTCAATTTGGAAATGATTTCTTGAGTCCTGAAAATTAAATTTAGCACAAACATTTTTTATAAAAAAATTATTTACTTTAGTATGGCCTGGGCACGGCCTTCTATCACAGAGGCTAAATGCAAAGTTTGCTCTTTCAAAGAGTCGACGTCGCTTGCTTCTCTTGCAATTAGTTTTGAAAGGCCTTTTGTGGCATCATTTGAAAGTATTGACGCACGGGCAATGTGCTCAGTCTGACGCTTAACGCAGTAACCAATGGCGCAGCAACTCTTGGAAACGGTCGCGTCCGCCTCCAAATTCACAGGCATTTGAAACGAGGGAAATTTCGGAACCTCGATAATAAAATATTACAAAATAATTTTAATTTTAACTAGACAAGTTACCTCTCCTGCGTCAACCACAGATACGTTGTTGTTTTCTCGGTGAAAAAGAATCAGTGGCTTTTCTCTGGATGTTTTGACTGGCCAGTTTTCCGCTTTCACTTGCATGTTGTTCAAGAGCAAAATCTGGTGTTGTGGCAAAATGGCCGACTGCTTTTCAATTTCCGTTCCGAGAAACTCAAAAGTGCACTCCTATTGAAGAAAAAATATGTTGAATTACAAGTAAAATCTCATTTTATCCTGCTTACTTTCACCAAGGGATAAATTCGCAGCAATTGACAGGAATGTACATGCCAAGCCCACATCTGCGCACGTTTGGCTTGACTGATTTGAGTCACGCAGGAGAAAAATTGGTCAAATGTCCAAATTTTCATAGGCTCCGTTTCGAGCAGTCCGGCGAGAAGAGGCGTCACTAGGGCCCGTAGTCCTTGGCTCAGTTGACAGGATGCTGGCAGTTCTCTTGACCAGTTAATCGGAGCGTCTTCTGCTGTTTGATAACCAGAAATGACACCAGACGCTTTTTTAGTTGTGATGAAGAACATTGTCTCCTTATTCTTCCTTCCTCCAAAAGGCCTTTAATTAAAATAATAGAAAATTAAATTAAATTTACAACTTTTACGTAACAAATTTAAATATTAAAATTATATAATTATAATTCCATACCTAAATGGAAGTGACCCTGTTGAGACATGGTACAAAGTGACACCAATCGACCACAGATCAACAGTTGCCGAAAAGGGTCGGCTTGTCGGTTTCCGGAGGACAGCTCTCTCATACATGTCTGGGTGCAGGTACTCCTCAGTGCCGTACAAGGACACAAAATGCTGTCCCTCCTCCAGTTCTCTTGCGGCACCAAAGTCGGTCAGTTTGTAAATCACCGAGCCATCGTCAGCCAAAAACTTCATGATGTTCCCCGGTTTGAGGTCACGGTGCACCAGGTTGTTGTCTCTAAGGTGCTTAATGCCAGCCGTCAGGTGCTCCAAGACCAAGAGGAACTCGTCCTCCTGCAGGCCGTACGTGTTCTCTGGGTCGTCGAGGATGTTGAAGAGGCTGCCACCAGTGCAGAGCTCCATGACAATAACCTTGCCACGACCTCCCTGCTCCTCCTCAATGGCCAGAAGTTTGACTATGTTTTCATGCTTGACTTTCTTGAGGACCTCGAACTCGCGCATCTGCACGTCCACAGGTCTCATGTGGCTCAACTGGTTGAACGTTTTGACGGCCACGGGCTCTCCATTGTTCTTGTTGACACCCTGAAAAACGGCGCCCGTGGCCCCCTTGCCTAATACGCTGGTGGTGCACCAAACGTGGTTGGCCGAGCCTCTCAAAAAGGACATTTTTCTCTCTGGCTTTCCTATTGTGGAAATTTTAAAGGAAAGTTTCGGACTAAAAAATTATGCACGACGATTGACCGACGGAACTGCAGATGCGAATTCCGCGAGAGCTTGGCATAATCAGCTGAACGTTGAAGAAGAGAAGCGAAATAATTGTAACAAGTTCAACTTTCACACATCAAACTGATAGCGATGCATATAATTCACTCGCTTCAGTCCACTTGACTCACTTGACCGACTTTGTTTGCTGCTTAGACTTTTCTTTATAACTTTTTCTTCTCGCAAATCTCGAATCTCGCATTATTATCCAATCAAAACCAAAACAAATTGGTGCAAATTAAAACAGTGTAACAACATAACAAAAAATTTCTTTGATGCTTGTTTTGATGAAAATATTCAATTTTAAAATATTTTTTTTTATTCTAAAAAAAATGTAAATTATTTCAAATAAATTTATTTAATTGTTTTTAGTAACTGTTCCGAGAGCACATTACTCATACATACGTTAATTTTTGATAAGTTTGCAACATTGGCAGATGTTTTTTTAAAAAAAAACACCCCGCTGCAATCTGACACGCCCACGTACCAAGAAAGGCAAAATAATATAAAAACAAAAAGAGAGCAGCTCATAAGAAAGTCATCCAAAATCCAAATTTGTCTTTAAATTTGCTGATGACTGTGAGCTTTTTCTAGGACAACATCATGGAGCTGGAGAACGTTTATTACACCAAGGGCGACTACGTTGAGACGGCGTCCGGCAACAAGGTGTGCAGACACACGGTCCTCTGCGGCTCGCAGAACATCATTCTGCACGGCAAGACAATCGTGCAGCAGGACGCCATCATCAGGGGCGACCTGGCCAACGTGCGCTCCGGCAGGTACTGCATCATCAGCAAAGGCGTCGTCCTGCGGCCGCCGTTCAAGAAGTTCAGCAAGGGCGTCGCCTTCTTCCCCCTGCAGATCGGCGACCACGTCTTCTTTGGCGAGGGTGCGGTGGTGAACGCTGCTGTGATCGGCAACTACGTGTACATCGGCAAGAACTGCATCATCGGACGAAGGTGTGTCCTGAAGGACTGCTGCTATATTGCTGACAACACCGTCCTGCCGCCGGAGACAACGGTGCCGGCTTTCGTACACGTCGCTGGGTCTCCAGGGGTCAGTGTCGGGGAACTGCCCGAGTGCACTCCAGACCTGATGACTGAATACACCAAAAGCTACTACCAACACTTTGTGCCCCACGCATTGTGTTAGGGAATGATATTATTTTTAATTTATTTTATTATTAAAAATTGTTGGAAAAAGTCTTTGCAGTGCATTCTGTCAATAGATTTAACTTAATTTTTATGGAATATATGTTTTATTTATCATCAATTTATTGTTAAAAACGGTTATAAATTAAATAACATAATTATGTGCATCTTATAGATGCTCCGTCAATAAAAATCATTTAATACCATTTGCGAAACCTTAAGAAATTTAATTTAAAATATACCAATGCACTTAAATTCTATACTTTGTAAAATAATTATTTCTTGATTTATAATGAATTGAAAACCACTAATTAATACACAAAGATTTAATTAGTTGTAAATCCTTTCTTCTCAATCTAAAATTTTTGTATTGACTGAGAAGAATAAATAAATAATAATAGTGGGGGAAAGGGAAGTCAGTAAATCAAATTAAATCTGCAATTTATTCATTTTCTTTTAAAAAAAGGTATAATTTTTGTTCTCTATTGACTGGGTTTGTTGCAAATATATTGCTGCAACTAATTTTTATTTCATTGTTTTATGTTGGTTTTCCCAAAGAGAAATAAACGGAAGTAAAGTTGTGACCGTGGTAAGACTTTCTTAGCCTTCTCAAGTTGGAAACCGTTTCACTATAATTTCGCAAGATTTTTCTCAACCTTTCTATAACTAGTCAATTCTTTTTTATTTTAAGCTTTCATGAAAATACAATTTTACAAATCAATATCAAAAGATCGGTAGTAAATTGCATCATGGCGTTTGTCTGTGCGCACGGTGAATTATTTATTGTAGCTTTAATGTTGCATGTGCGTGAGTCAAGCTCGCATGCATCAAGTGTCCTTTTCTTATCTAATGCCGTAAATCAATCTGGCCGCAATATATTGACGTTTTAATTTCGTACACCACACTGCACGTCACCTCAACACAGCACACATGTGCACGAAACTAAATTATACTGGAAATTATAGAAATATTGGTTCTTCTTCAAGAATGCGTCGTTTTCCGCATTAACCAGCGACTAAAAAATAAGCCGCAGATAAGACTTATCACCTTTTACTAGTTGGTGACAGCGCCTTTATCTACAGATAAAAAAAGGATATTAGTTTGGTGCAACGCTGGTTGCCCGCAGTAATGCCCAACAAGCCAAGCTAAACCACCGTCGGCCCGAATCCACCCTTCTGAAATGGGCAACTCAAACTCGTTTGAATCTGTGTACCAGGGCCCCTTACTGACTGATGAACTCATGGATGATTATTTGCAACTTTCTTATTTATCACGTAAAGAAATTTCAAGGTATTTAAAACTTAATTGCAATAATATGCGAGCTTTGAATATAAATTTTTAATCAGTGTTCTACAAATAAAGCTAATTAATGTTCATTCTAGGATTCACAAAAGAATGCAGGACTTAATAGGGGAAGAGGAATTCACAGTTGTGCACCGAGTAACCTGGGAACGAATGCTTGAAGCTTTTCCTGAAATTAAGGTTCCATCTTTTGACCAAAACCGATCCATATTTTAAACTGAAAATTTTATCACTGTAGGCTAACCCCTTTGTGGATAGACTGTGTGAGGTATTTTCGTCAAAAAATGACGGACATGTGTCATTTGAGGACATGCTAGATCTCTTTTCTGCCTTGTCACCGTCGTGTCCGACAGAAAGCAAAGCAAAATGGGCATTTCGAATCTTTGGTAACACAGACTTTGCTTGTAATAATAAAACCAATTTCATAAAAAAACGTTTAGATTTCAACAATTCCAACGCCTTAGAAATTGAAGATCTGCATGAGTTGATCGACAGGCTAACAAATGGTAGGAATGTGAAAGAAAATGGGAAGTTTTTGACTGAAGATGAAAAAGAGCACATTGTGGATATAGTAAGTCTTTTTCCAATCTATTATCAACTGTTTATAAAACATTTTTGAACCAATTACAGATTTTGAACGAGGTTGATTTGGATCACACTGGATCCATTGTCACTGTCGAGTTTGTTCACGCTGTATCCAAAATGCCTGATTTCTGTTCCAGTTTTACTTTGAAACTGTGAGTTGTCTGTAGTACAAATTTTTGAAAATAACAGTATTAATTGTGATCTTCTAAATCAATCAATAAGTTGAATGTACTTTTAACAGAGTGTATTTTTAATAAATCTTAATTTCACTAAATTCAAAAAACTATAAAAAAAATATGATCTCTTAAACTCTTGAAGTGAGGTTTGAAAATGCTTGATTAATTATCACACTGGTAACTTTTTATCTTAAAATGAAAATTAACTTGCCGTCATCGAGTTAACCACCTGGGACGCCAACTGCATGGTCAGTTCCAACATGCGGTCACTTGTACCTTTTGTTGGCTTCTCCTCCCTTTGGACTTCAGTTTTCTGCAGCTTCACCCATTGAACTTGACTCAGGCGGTACAGAGAGGCCTTGCACTTTTTGTAAAAATCTGAATCCTCCATCAGATCAGGAGAGGTTGCTTTTAATGACTGGACAGTTGCCCACAAGAGTTTCTGTAGAGTTGAAAGTTTGCTCTAAATTATTCAATTTTACCACATTGAAAAATTTTTACCCTTAGATGATGTTCCGTCATCTTTTCAACCACTTGGTTTTTTTCTTCAGTCTTTTTGGGCAAAGTCTCTTTCACTGAGCTGGACTTGGCCATAGGAACTGTGATCAGCTTGTTGGTAGTTTTTGGAAGCTTTGGCGCCGAAACCTCTTTCTGGGTTTGCCGCATCAAGAACACATCCCTTTGAGCTGCCATGCTATTCATATGCAGGCCTGGATTCCTAATGAAGGAATCCATAAAATTTCTAGATTATTGCATTAGATATTAAAAGTTAATTTACTTTATAGACGTGCTCGTTTTGCGTGGCGATTTTCGTTTTTGAACATTAGCACGGACCCTGCTTCTGCGCTGAGCCAACTCAACGGACAAGTTGTCTGGAGCTGGGCTCGCAGGACTGGACATTGATCGAGGCAGCATATCAAGGAAATCACAGGAAAGGGGTGATGCAATGACTGTGAATTTGGATGCCGTTGTCACAAAGGCAGACGTCTCGTTCATAATGTATCTTTGACGCACTTTTTCATACAGGAAGTCCAAGGTTTCACATTTCAGGTTATCATTGTAGCTGCAGGATTTTTTTTTTTAAATTTCCATTTTATTACAATAAAAATGGACTTACTAAATATCCAAGTATAAATCTTCAGGTTGTTCAAAATTTGTACTGGTATCAAGCCCCAAAGATTCTGGTGACTTGGAAGACAATTTATCTAAAATTTTAATAGAAAATAAAAACCAATTGAAATTTATTGTTATTTAAATTATTTTACCAAAATAGTCCTTAAGACTTTCAAGAGCCTCTTCAACGCTGATTCTGGGGTTGGTCATAGAAGGTGGAGGTGGGACGCCTTGAAGGGATTCTCGAATGGACCTAATCCTATGGGAGTCCTGCCTGCTCTTTTCAGCCTTGCTGCGGACTGATGAATTCGATCCAGCCCTGCTCTGGAAGATTGGGTTGTCGCCGTTCTTCAGGCTATCCATCTCACTTCCAAGACTTCTCTTCAGGGCGGGAAGACAAACGGATGATGCAATTTTTTCAGCCTGCACTCCATCTGATTGTGGGAATTCAACCTCTTTATCAGATTCCAGAGTGTCCATCTTTGTATCCTCCATTCCTTGATGTCCACAAGGGTCCATATCAGCACAACACTACAACTAAAATTTTATGTTATGCTTCATTTTCATTTACGATAAAAAAAATTTGAGAAAGCGTCTTTAGGAAAAAGAAAAATTTCATTGAATAAAAATTGTCTGACATTTTGTGTGATACTTTCTACATAGAGAAGTTTTTGCATCCCATTTTTTACCTTCAATTGATACAGCCATGCCACCGGGATTTGAATATGGCTTAAAGAAATTTCTGGATGAGAAGGTTCAATCAGGAAATATGCTGTGAGAGAAGAAGCTCTTGTAACGAAAAAATAAGCAAGACAAAGAACGAATAAATTTGCCGATTCTTCGTCGTATTGTCGTATTCGTTTCGTCTTTGGTCGCATTTATTTTGTTTACTAATCCCGCTAGTACCAACCTCACGTGTAAACAAAGTCGTTTAAAAATTAAAAGTATTCTCTCTCTCTTTAAATATATAAAACCAAAGAAACTAGAACTTAATTTTTTCAATATTCACATTTATTATATTTACAAAATTCAAGTCAGTAAGAAACTGGTAAGAAAGAAGTACGCAAAGTGAACTTTATTATGTTGGCTACTCTTGGTGCATCTTATGCAAATTAATATTTTAAGGTAGGCAACCTGCGTGACATATAAAATGCATTGGTTGCATAAGTTCCATATTAAAAACCGTTAAAAACACTTTAAAATAGATAAAACGAAATAAAACAAACCAGGGTCAAGAAATAATAATTTTATAAATTCTATGGTAAAAATGTAGTACAAAATGAGCACAAAAAATTAAAAATAGAGTATGGAGTTGCAGGATTTAAAGAAAATAATTTTCTCTATTATTTATTTTTGCTTTTAGGCATGACTTTATAATCACATAAATAATGAAAAAGGAAAAGTTCCTGAATAAGGAGAAATAAAGCAAAAAAAATTGATCAATCACTATCAATTAATTCATTGCATTGCCGCATGACATCATCTAAAATTTCGTCCTCTTCTCCGCCAATGGCGTTCCAAAATGCCTTCACCACCTGCTCTGCACACATTTTCCGCTGGTCACTGGGGAGGCTTGCAGCTTGCTCCTTAACTTCATTAAGGCGAGTAAGCAGATTTGCAAACTCCATTTCTGGTGCCATTTCCAAATTTTCATGTTCGTCAGCACCTTCCTCGGCTCCGAGAAGTTGGTCTTTTGCATGAGGAAAAAAAAGTTAATTTCAAATCTACAAATTATGTACAAAAATTACCTATCCTGTTCATCATAGAAGAAATATGTGTTTCCTGCAAGTTTTCCGCCAACTCCACCACAGGGTCATTATTTTCCTGCACTGCTGACCCGTTGAGATAAGCAGCCAAAGAGGCATTTACTCGATTTCTTTCATCTATAATTTAGAATACAATTAGAATGGGACAGATGTAAAATAAATGTTAACCTTTCATCTGCATGTTTGGCCAGAGGTGCGACTCAAAAGCCTGTAAAACTCTTTTGATGCCCGTTGTAACCGCCAATCCAGGAAGGTCTTCTTCCTCTTCCTCCTCGTTGTCTGGATTCAGTTCGACCAGCTCAAAGTGGTTTTCAACACACCAACGCTGCACTATATTTAGAAAAGTATTTAAATTAACATCATTCGTATTTGTTATTTTGCGAATTATATACCCTCTAATTTGCTGATTCCCTTCTCCGATTCTTCCAGACATTTTTCGCAAAGCAAAATCTGCACTTCTGGAGACATTTCTTTGATGAACGGAAGCCAGCTGGATACTTCCTCTAAAGATTTTTCCTAAAATTATATGAATGAAAGTTAATTTTCTCAGATTTATAATTCAAATTTATACCTTTTCAGAATCAAATTTAATAACCGTAGCACCAACTCCATCAGAAAATTTTTTGTTGCCAATGGTTTTTGATTTCAGCGAGCACAGTTGGATTTCCGCTGTGTAATATTTTGTGTCTATGCGGAGAGGATATGCGTGGATATCCTCATCCAAAATAACCGCTTCAGGCAAATTTTCGACACCCAACATCACTAAACCAATAAAATACAACATTAGTTCTATGGTGAAACAAATTATATCAAAAGTTTCCAACTTCTTATAGTGTGACTTGGATCTTCTTCGGTCAGACTAATGACCAAAGCTGATGGTTTTTCACTCGAATCCATGATTGATTAATGTTTTTGGAGTCACTCTTTCAGATTCCGCTCAAAATCAATAGAGAAATTGTGAGCGAAAGACAAATAAAACGCGCTCCGATGCTGTCTGTTTACAACACTGCTGCGGGCCATATGATTTTGATAGGTGGGCGTAACTCTTTTTGATCATCTTTTGCTGTCGAGAGATGCTCGCAACGAAACAAAATTTTAATCGCCTGTTTTTGTCTTCTGTCATTCTGACGTTTAGATTTTAGGAACAAATTTACGGCAACAAGAAGTTTTCAACTCCGGAAAACTTTTGTAAGAAATTAAAATAATGTCAAGTGCGTTAACATTTATTTTTTATGCACTTAAAAAATTATGCGCTTGAGAATAATTTGTGCCAAAAGTTCACAGTAAAATTTCATAAATGCCACGAGCCATGAATAGATTTTTTTTTGCTATATATTTGCAATGAATTTAGTTTGACTTCATCATTAATTTCAAACAATCTTAATTAATTTCAGTTAATATTTTCATTAATTTTGTTTTATAATATGTACACATTGCATAATTATTACCTTAAAATATATTATCCTCACTGATTCATGATGTGAATACTTGGCTTTTATTTAATATAAATTAAAAATTTCAGGAATAATCCCTTTGTAAACCATGAACACATTGAAGCTGATAAGATGCATTCCGAAAAGATCTCTGCAAGGGCTAAGATTGATGTCTTCCTCTTCCAGTAATATTATTCCTGTGTCGGAAGTCAAGAGATTTACCGTAGACTGTCTGGAGGCTGCTGCAGTGCCCCAAGATCACGCAGTTATGCTGGCCGATGTCCTCGTCGCTGCAGACTATCGAGGCCATTTCAGTCATGGAATGAATAGACTTGGTAAAAATATTTGTTTTAAAAAATTTAATCTTAAAGATTTAAATTTTTTAATAATTTATTTATAATTACTTCTCAACAGAAATGTATGTGAAAGACGTGCAGTCTGGAATTTGTGATGGAGGCGCTGAGCCTGCAATTATAAAACAAACTGCAGCCACGGCACTTGTCGATGGAAAAAATGGTCTTGGACCAGTTGTCGGAAATTTTTGTATGCAGCTTGCAATAAACAAAGCTTTGGAAACTGGAGTTGGCTGGATTGCTGCAAAAGGCAAATTAAATAATTTTTTAATAATTATTAATATTTATAATCGATGATATTTATAGGCTCTAATCATTACGGAATTGCATCTTGGTACAGTCTGCAGGCAGTTGAGAAAGGAATGATAGTAATGCAATTGTCTCGACCCAAATTTTTATTTTAATAATTTGCATTTAATTATTTTTAGGGTTTGTCGTTCACAAATACATCTCCACTTATGAGTCCCACAAGGGCCAAAACAGTATGTATTTTTATATTTATTTCCTAATGAAATTTTAATTAAACGAAAATCAGCCGGCACTCGGAACAAATCCTTTAACTTTGGCAGCACCTGGCAAAAATGGAGACTCTTTTGTCCTGGACATGGCAACCACAGCAGTTGCTTTGGGAAAGGTAAAAAGGAAAAAAAATATTTCACTGAAAATCTTCGATGAAATTATTCTATTAGCTTGAGGTCCAGCGGCGCAAAAATGAGCCATTGCCGCACGGCTGGGCCCAAGATGAAACGGGCACTGAAACGACAAACGCTGCAAGGGCCGTCACCAAAGGCACTTTGCTGCCTCTCGGAGGGACTGAACTCACCTCTGGGTATAAAGGTTACGGCCTATCTTTTCTTGTGGAGCTCCTTTGTGGAGTTTTGGCTGGTATTTGTGCAAAACAATGCTTACTAGAAAAAAATTAAGTGTCGAAATTAGGTGCAACTTATGGTCCACACATAAGGCGTTGGATGACAACGGACAGGTCTGCGGATTTGGGACAGTGCTTCATAGCTGTCAACCCAGACGCTTTTGCACCGGGTTTTACTGAAAGACTGCAAGATTTGATGGACTACATGAGAAACTTGGAGCCGGTGAGTTTAACTCAAATTTCTTTATGGCATAGAAGTGAATATGAAAATCAGTCCAGATGATGGTAGGTTCTTAAAAAGATACATTATCAGAATTTATTTGGGTAAAAAATTTGCAAGAAGTGTTGACGAGGCATATCAGTGGGGGAATGAAATTTACCTCGTCTGCAATGTTTTGAAACCCATCTATATTATTCTAGTTTTCCCTCTTTTTGTGTGCAAGTTGCGCGCTTACCAATTTTCCCATAGACAACAGTAGCCGCCTCTCTTACTACATAATAAAATTTTCCCACAGCTGCGGGCCGAGTTGGTTTCATAACTGCTCTTTGTGGTGCGCAGCAATAACTTCAATTCATTCTTGTACTTCTTCGCTCATTCTTGCCCGCCAGAATAGAAACAAATGAAGCTGATAGTGAAATTAAGTAATTTCGTTGAAAGCAAACGGCACTTCTTTTTACACGCTTCACGCATTTTAATAATCTCACCTTTCCTCTCGTTGGATCAAATGTGGTCTAGTTTCTGATAAATTATTATTTTGAGGCTGCGTTAGACCGTGAAAACCGCAGCTTAGTAATTGAATGTCCGGACGACCACATGTCATCCTTGATTTAACATTTTTCGACAACTCTATTAATTTGATCATCTCGACACACGCGCTTGCTTGTTTGCAGAGTGACCCGTCGCTGCCCGTTCTTGTGGCCGGAGATCCCGAAAGGAAGTGCATGGCAATGAATGACAAGCAGGGCGGCATCAAGTATCACGAGAGCCAACTCATCGCCTGTGTACGCCAAATTTGATTTCTCTGTTTATCGATTATTAAGACTCATAACTGCTTTTCCTTTTATAGAAAGCGTTGGCAAACACGCTGAGTGTCATTCCACTTCGACCTCTGTAAGAAGGCCAAGGATGTGATTGTTTTCATCAAAACCATTTGGCAACTATAAGTAATAATTAATTGTAAGAGACTTGGAAACCAGATAGAAGTCAATTTCTCTAATATTAGTTAAATGTGAAAAAGTGGGCTCCCTTTTTCCCTTTAAAAGCAATCAACAACTCCAAGGCACATTGAGTGAGTGAAGTACAAAGGTGCTCAATTTTTAGATTTACCTTTATTACAAACTTTATCAATATTTTGACACTTTTACTGTGTTAATGGATATCACAATTATTATCATAATTTTCTAGGCATGTTTATTGTTAAAACTTTTTTCCGGTCGGTTATGGCAATATTTTTCCAACATATTATATAAATAATTTTCTTAAAAATGTACATTTCCGAATTTTGTTATATCATTTTTTTGTTGACAAATTTCTCAGTTATATTATATTCAAATCGCGATTAAATTACACTTTGACTACCTCAAAAAAAAAGAATCAATCTCTGTTTTCATAGAAATATTTACAAGTACATGATGCCCAGCTTTGAGGCTTTGCTCTTGGTGTGGTGTTTTTGGTTGCCGTTGCGGCTGAGATGCAAATGGAGCTCGACAGGCTTGTGCTCTATCACCGGGGTGTTGGGACTGGCCTCGGCCAGCAGGCTGGACAGCGAGCGCTGCTTGCTGAGGTGGCGTCGCCGGTCATTGTCGGTCGACGGCGGCGTCAGCCGCAGATTGGACAGCGAGTTGTAGAGCGGGTGCTGCTCGGGATTCGAGGACGGACTATTGGGTTGACTTTGGCATTTTGTGGCCAGGTCCTCATGCGACTTGGAAGACGACTTTGTGCCGTCGCCCGCCGAAGACCTCTTGTGTTTGTTCCTAATAATTAAATTTCTTGAGCTTTCGTTATGGCTGCTGCTGTTCTTTTTGTATGGCGACGTCTCGCGCAGAGTCGGCCCGATCTCGCTGGTCGCCTTTTGTCTCGCGTACATGCGCTGCTTCGTATTCTCGCTGCTCTCCAGATACACCTGCGTCGTGTTTTCGTAAGTCGGGTCGTCGTCGTCGCTGTCACTCTTGGCCGGGGAGGGCGACACCAGGTCTGCCTGCGTCAGCAGGTGGGTTGAGCTCAGGTCGATGACTGGTTTCTCACTGCTCTTCTCCGGCTCGGCAGTGTAAAGGTGGTCGGCTATGGAGGACGTGGTTTTCGACTTGAACAGCCTCTTGGACTTCAACGACTCCTGCGCCAAGTTTTGCGCGTGTCGCTCCATCTTGAGTGCGGTTTTGGATGACGGCTTTTTATTCTCTGCTTTGGCCGGCTGCTTGGCTTTGGCCGCCGCGTTCAGTTTGTTAGTCGGAATGGTCTCAATGGGCGGCGGTTTTGGTTTCTGCTGCTCCGGCTGCTTCTCAAAATTACTGCCTCGTAAGTTTTTCGGAAGTGGTGCGAATCCACGGACGTAGTCGTAGATCTGATCGATCTCCAAAAAGTCCTGCGTGGGGGCGACGCTCTCGGTCGGCACCTGGTCGTTGATTACGGGCGACATGACGATTTGACTCTCGTGCGAAATGCTGCGGCGGAGAAAATAATTCTTGGGTGAAACTTTTCCGGCGAACTTGCTGTGCCCCGGCGAAATGTTCCAGAAGGAGATGCTGTCCTTGAAGGTTTCAAGCACCGTCATCCGACTGTGGATCTCCTTGGCCATCCGGGCGGCGACTCCAGCTAGTCGCTGGAAATTATCCTTGTGGCGAATTTCGGCGTGATTCCTTGCCCGGACCAACTTCAGATTGCACCCCAAAGGCAGGGGTACGACTGTGGTTGAATCTTTGGAGCTGTGGCCCAATGGTAAAGCAAAGACCGAGTCCTCCTCGAAGGTAGAGAAGAGTCGCAGTTCAGACGGCTGGGCCACTCCGGAGGTCCCCTTGAAGGGCGGAGGACCCCAGACGAGACGGACCATCAGCGGCAAACGCTTGTTGGTGATCAGTTGGCGCAGCGAGTGGACCCCACTGATGTTGTCGTTCCGGGCGATGGGGCTAAATTTGCCCCGCTGCTCCAGATTTAAATACACAATGTCCCCTTTCGAGTCCAGACACTGCAGAAAACGGTTGCACCGCGAACGGGCGGCCAGGGAAACCTCTTTTTTCAGGGTCAGGATTTCGCCGGCGCTGACGGTGCGCGACTTGTCGGCGCTCAATTCCAACAGAGGCACCGCCGTCACAAAGGCGCGGATGTTCTCTCGGACGAGCACGCAGTCCGGGAACTTCTTGGCCAACTCAAGCACGCTTTCGATGCAGCGGACGGCCTTGCCCTCCTCGCTGAGGATCTCAAAGTAGCCAGGGTAGGACTCGGGGATGGAGAAGCGCAGCCCCGAGGCCACGGCGCAGTGCCGCTTGCCGTCCTTGAACTTGACGTTCTGCGCCGCCACCTTGAGCGTCTTGCCGAAGCTGGTGAGGATGGCGTTCGGGTGCAGACTCGGGTTGGGCAGATTCGGCACGCCCAGACTTGCGTACTGGCCGCGCACAAACTTGACCACCTCGGTGCGCGGCTGCTGGTTGTTGGTGTCGGCGTGCGCCACGTAGTCCCGCAGGCTGAGCACCTCTTCGGTACTCCATCGCGCCGCCGCTATGACAATTTGTCCGTCTGTAGCTGCCATTGCATCTGGAAAAAAGATTCATTAATTAATTTCTAGTCATTACTCAATGTTGAATAATTTTGTACAAATAAATTCACCGATAAATACTAGAACAAAATATACAGACTAAATTGGTGACTAATTTTTGAATATATTTTCATTAATTGAAAATTGCTTATTATTCTTGAATTCGTCTTTCCGTCTTGTTTTCTCAAGTTTGAATATCATTTTTTGCATTTTTTAAATAGTTCATTTTCACGTGAGTCGTTCTCAGAGAGCGTGTTATTCTTCACTTAATTTTATGGTTCAGTTTTACTTTCTGTTGGTCTGGTGATCAAACGGATGAAAGGAAGAGGAAGCCGATAAAATTAAGTCCATCTCCTCTTTCACCAAAGGAAGTGCAATAACACATAATGGTTTCGCCAGTCTTACGCGAGAGACGTGTTAAATAATTGCCGACTCCGGCGAGGAGCGTTTTTTTCTTCATAATTTGATGCAATTATAAATGGTGTCGCGTGGGAAATTTTCGTAAATAAAACATTCGTTTCGTTTCATTTCACAGCGTTGCCTTTTACGCACTCTTAATCATCTAAAAGTTTAATTAGCAAATGGACTAAAAAGACACACAATGCGAAATAGAGAAACTCCGGCGAAAGAGCAGCGAGCCAATTCAATTCAATATTGCTGCCTGCTTTCTGGCTGCATTCATTATTAAAAGAAGTGCTTTGTCAGCCGCGTTCGTTGTTTGCCTGCAACCCAAAACTTTTCAATACTCTGCGCTGCCATCGGATGAAATGAAACGAGTTCACTAAACCACAGCCCACGCATTGATTAGAATATACGACTTCGTCTCTCTTTCCGTCTTAGCACGTACATAAGTAAGAGGATTCATTCGTATAAGCGCGACGCCTTTAAACCTACCTAACAGCTTTTTATATAATGCATACGCGATACACTTTTCTTTCCTCTTGTGTTCCTACGAGGACGCTAACAGCTAAAGCACTTTTCTCTTGGCCGAGCAACTGCCTGGCCGCGAGAGACACTTCTACTCTCTGTGTCACTTATTTGAGAAACTCGAATTCTTTCTTGGCAAGAAGATATTAATATGCTTTCCTCTGCCGTACATGAACAAGCTTATATGCGGAGGGTCGGCGCAAATAAATTTGCTATAAATGTCATAAGGGAGTTCCGCTTGAATCACCTCTGAAATGTGCGGCATGACTGTGTACACGCGGAGGAAAATTCTTTGATACTGCCTAAGCACTTCAAATTTAGAATTTCAATTTCAAGATTTTCTTATTTTTCTCATGAGTTCATTAAAAACTATGATTTGTTTTAGCCGCTTTTTTAGTATTTACCTCAAAATTTCTGGAATTCTTATTATTCCTCATCGCAATGCACGTGATTATTTTTTAATTATTAAAAAAATCATAATGTGCTACTTGCAAGATGTTTTACAAGCAGTTTTTAATTGAAAATAAAGTTTTTTTAACCATTGTACCATAATGATTGAATGCTGTGCTGAATTCCTTCTGGGAAAATATAACAAAATTGATGAAAATAATAAAATTTTAATCTAAAAATTTTAAGTTTATTGAAAGAAAAAACAAATACACAACATCAGCAGAGCAAAATTAAAAAAAAAATGCATAGAGAATGATCGATCTGTAAATTATACATTTATTCCGTTGTTTCGCGGGTTGCAGTATGATGTAAAAAATATCATCTAGAAAATTCTATCAACCCACTGCCTGAGTCATAAAAAAATTAAAATAAATATATACACGAGTATTTCGTTTAAAAATCTTTAAATTTCCTCAACGTCAAAGTGAGCCCGGGAATTTTTTTCACGTCACAAAACGTTTCAGGAAAGCTTTTAAAAAACCCTGAACTTGTGGTCCCCAAGGCCAAGCGGACCAAAATCTTTCAAACGCCTAAACAGTTTGAAGAAAACAAAGTATAATAAAACACATCCTCTATAAAATCTCCCTCTTGTAGAAGAAAAAGCACAGCAATTCCTTTGTCTCTGAACAGTAAAAATGTCCATATTTTCCTCTCAATCGATTTGTCCTTTCGTGGTAATGGCGCCTTAATTGTATATATGCTCATGTGCGCATTATATTTTGTCATCCGCTCATATATTCTTTGTTTCTTTTTTTATTATTTTTTCTAGCTTGTTATTCTGGTGGAAATTATCGTAATTCACGCGGGCACTATCATCGCGCCGGCATCTCCATCTGTAAACCGACAATGGTCGCCTCTCCTGCTTTACATAAACACAATGGCAGCTAGTCAAAATTCAATTTTCGACGTGCATGTGGCGTATGCATATAATTTTATCTGAAAGGAAAAACGCCATAATTTATTGTTACCGAGAAGAAGAAGAGGCAGGCGGCGAGGGTTTGGTGAAATAAAAAAGCTGGCTGGCTGGCGAAGAAGAATAGGGAAACCGCCATAATCAGTGACAATTTCCTGGAACCTGCCATAAATAAAACAGCACCGCCAACAAAAGGGTCTACTCCGCGTTTATTGCTCCTCGCCTATATTCAAAAGCAGCTAAGCTTCCAATCTCTTTTTAAAAAGTGCCATAAAATGCCTTATGTTCTCTGTCAGATTGTAATTTAATACAATTTTATAATTAAAAGGAAACATTTTTATTTTGGAAAACGTTTCAAACAAGAATTTATTACATATTTATATTGAAAGTATTAAAATCAAATAAAATATATTAAAATTAATGAAATATGTGAATTTTTAAAATAAAGACCTACATTTTTTTCTAGAAACAAATGAAAATAAATAATTACGACTAAATAACAGATAAAATAAATGGCTACAGTAACCAAAAATATTTTTAGGATTTTTCTTCTTAACTAACTCTATTTGAAATATAATTCTGAATCAAAAATAATTTCACTTTTACGTGAGTCAAAGGAAAAGACGAATCAATTTGAAAATAGCGTGATTATTTATAGTTTACATATCTGATGAGGTCATTCCGAGTTTGACTCACTCGCGTGTAACGATTACATTTAATTGACTTGCTTGCTTGGCCACATTAACAGAGAGGGATCTGCTTATATATTTTTTATACACAGCAGATCTGTTCGTTTGATCGCGGAGAAGTTGCATTTCCAGTTTTTTTTGGCACTCTTTGGCTCATCCTTCTTCATTCTGTGTTTAAGTACACCGCGTGTATAGCAGAATAGCAAAATAAATTAGTTTAAACTGACTGACTAACTTTCGAACTCGTTTCTCGTCGGTCAAGATTCGTCGAGAAGAGACGTGTCTCTATAATTGGCAGAAACGGTTTCTTCTTCAAGTATAGCTTGGGGCGTCTATTCGTTCTCACGATAAGAAAAATACGGCGGAAACAGAAAAAAAACAAGCAAGGATAATTTGCAATTCGCTCCTGCACCTTTTCGTGTTTGCATTAATTAGTTTTGTTGCCACTGACGAGTGTAACAAATTTAAACACACGATGATTTTTAAACGAATTTGAAACTTAGGATTCTTGATTTAGTTTGATTTCAAATGATTAAAAATTCTTTAAAAGTAAAATTATATTTAAATAGTTAGCTTTTTTTTTTTTTTAGAATGAAGGTAACAATAGGATTTATTATTTAAGTCTTTATCGTTTTTCACCAGGTTATGCTAAATGACATTTTGTTGAAAAGTAATCTTTCTTTCTTAAAATATTGACAATGAGAGACAAAAAAGTAGCTGAATTGCTATACATAAAGTAGGTTGAGTAGATAAAATTTTGAAACGTTGTGTGAAGTAAATGGATATATATGCAATTCAAATTCATTGTACTTTTTCTCAGCGTTCGCATGCGAATTTGCAATGCAGTATTCGAATTAGCAATCCAGCGTCACGACGAGCGTAAAGAACGTGGTTCGGACGGATAAAAAATTCTCTCGTTGCGCTAGCTGGGATCTTGCTACCACTTTTATTGCCAATTCGCAATCCAGAAGAAATAAGTAAATTTTATAGAAGAATCAGGGACGAGCGATGCACGTGCACTGCGCAATATAAAAAGCGGCGAGTGCATAAATAAAATATAAAAAAAGGTAAGCTCGGGTATAAAATTGCTTTTCGAGCGATTCGTCATCCCCGGGACGGCTTTTTTTGCCTGACCAAAAGTGGTTTTTCGAAGCGCGCAAGAGAGATAATAACAGAGTGATTATTAACACCGGGCACAATAGAGGAAAACACGTCCGCAGAAGACTTATTTGGCACTCCGTCATTATTATTTGCATCAAAATTTGACACATCAGGGAAGTGATCAGGCGAAACCTTGGCGGAATAAATAAAATGACGTAAGGTTGGAGATACACAGCCGACGCCGCCACTACGCTGCTTCGTCTGGAATAACGTGTCATGCTACACATTATATGGACGACACACACACACTCGGCTTGTACCGTTATTAGAATTCTCAGCCGCCTAAAGCCAACTGCGGATATTGAAGACTTTGAATTTTAACTCGGCAGCGGATGCGACTCGAATCTCATTTTAATTCACTTGCACTGCCGGGGGATCAAATTTTACGACGGCCATCGCCCCTGCTTGATGCAAATTTTCACCATCACGCGAAAAAAGCGCCCCGAATAAAAAATTCAGCCTGCAAAATTCACATTTTTGATAAAATATAAAAAGTCCTGACTGGGAAATTTAGTTTCACGGTGTTTTTAGTGTTGAATTAAAGATTCGTCACCAATTTTCTGAAAGAGACATTGAACTTTTCTTACTCCCCTTGGTTGGATTTACTTACGTTTCTTTTCCATGCACCGCACAGATTATTTCAAGGAAAACAGGTTTCAGATGCAGTTTTCTGCACTCGGGTGTAGTCTTGGCTCCGAATTTCAGCTACATGGGACGCCTGTGTCACATATTTGGTGCTCCTTGTCAGCACTCGTCGCGACTTATCACCAGCAGCCTTCTTGCTCGCAGTCGCAGGATCGCGCAAGACAGCCAGCCGACTAAAAAAGGGTGAAAAAATTGTTTTGGAGTTCTTGACCTCTCATTGGAAGGTAGCGGCTGGCGGTGCGCGCCATCTGGCTGAAGGCAAACCACCTAACATTCAGGTTCAGGTTGTGAAACTCAGGGTATCTGAAGGTGACTTTGGGAACTAATGGATGACTAACCTTAATCTACTAGATGGTAATGTTGCAATGCATTGGGAAATTGGACAACTTTTTGTGTGTGATATTAGAAATCCTCCAACCTGCTTTTTACACAACCTTTCAAATGCTGTTATTTATTGAACTAATTTGTTTTTAACACGTCAGGCTCTCTGTGGAGTGCTGGCCAACGGTTGCAAATTCATTTTGGCTGCCTCTTGCCTGATGACGGCGATTAATTCTTGGTTTACAAGGAATGTGAATCGTAACGTTCCAATCTAAAATAAAATTAATTAACATGATTTTTTCCTTATTTTTTGTTTTAAATTATTTAAATTTTCATACCTCCATGACTGAATTGTTGTTGAGCCTCGTTTTCTTTCCAGTGAGCAATGGTTTTCCGTCAACCATTATGGAACGTTTGCCTTCGCAGACTAAGAAAAAGTCACCATTGTTCCGCAGTCTGATTGTGCCTTGGCGCCTTGACACCTTGTAAGCAGGTCCTTCCAAAGAAAGGTCGACATCAACACTGAGGTCTTTCGTCATTCGGCCCAGAGTTATCTATTAATAAGGTAAATGAAAATAAGCTTGTCAAATTTTCAATTTCTTGCAACAAACCTCTCGACTTCTCATGAGGTAGCGAACAAATCGGCCACGTAGAACAGCCAATGTTTGGTTGTCAAAGTCCACTGGACCTATTCCAGTGACATGCTCGACCGCAACTGACCACTGCTTTGTTTCTGCTTCCAAGCGGTTCACTTGTCTTTGCAAGGCTCTAAAATTAAAAGCAATCGATTTGGATTCCTGATTTCCAATTTCATAAAAATCTACAAACCTGTCAGCTAAGCTCATTTCATGGCACAAAGCATCATCTCTGGGCTCAGTAAGGTCACCATCCCTCATCAAGTCTTCGGTGTCCGACAAACTGTAGGTTTGGTCTGGCCGTTGAGAGCCTTGGTCTAATTTGTAAAATATTAATATCTAGTACAAAATTTAAGTTTTAAATTATATTACTTGTCTGATCAGGTAGAAGATGGTATTGCCGCATCAATAGCCAATGGTTGTTAAGCATTTTTGCAGTTCTGCTTTCGTAAAATGAACTAGCATTTTCGTCTAGGAGCTTTTGGAAGACCTCGAGATCTGGTTGAGAGTTCTGAGAAAAATATCAAGAATAGATTTTGTAAGCCCGTCGAATGAAAAACTCACCGCTGGGATTCTGGACAGGAGAATTTCCTCGGCCGAACTGAACAGAGCTTTGTTCTTGACGGCTGCGATCATTTCAGGATGCAAATTTCTCATGGCAGCCATGGCCACTCTGTTTACAGCTGGATCGTACATCAAAGCCCAGAATCGTCCTTGCACCTCGGCAAATGTGAATCGACAGGAAAACTTGACACCAGTATGAACCACTTTTAAATCGCTTGTCTGAAAAATGCAATGTTTCAGTAAATTAAATTAAAATTTTAAAATTACAATACCTGCATGACTCCAATAACAAGCGCAAGGTCGTCGGAAGGCTTCCACCTTCCCAGATCTTTGGCCGCCGACTGCTTCAGCTTTGTTCGCTTTTTGTGACTGCCACCTTTGGAGGGTCTCTTTCTTTCCGACGAAGCAACTGCTGCTGGTGTGTGAGTGGAGGTCGAGACTGGCGTAGCTGGAGTAGCAGGAGAAGGAACAAGGTCTGTTGATACTTGAGCAACTATGGGAGACACAGATGCGCCTGGAAAGTCTGATTAATTAAATATGTCCATATAAATCAGGATTGGCACAATTACTCGGGGGTGCTGCACTATTTGCAGCCGGGGTTTGCGGACTTGAGGTAGCTGGTAGATGAGCTAGATGAGCCTTGACGCTACTTTTAGGAGTTGATGGTGTTAGAGAAAAACTTCTGCCCAAACTTGACTCGACAATTTCATCATCGAAACGCCTCCTTCGAATGGACCGAGAACTGGAAGGCAAATTTTAATTGAGGAAATATTTAATTATAGCACTTGTGAAAATCAAACCTTCGCCGTTGGTTAGAGTCTGTCTTAATGACTGGTTGTGGCTGAACTGCGACAGGGGTTGAGACAATAGCAGGCAGAACTGGCACCACTGGCTTTAGCTGAAAAATATTTTCAGTCTAAATTTAACACATTTTGAAATTTATACACACCCCAATTAATTTATCAGGAGAGGGCTCAATTACAGGCTGAAATTCTTTCTTCAAAGGTGGTTTCATTTCCAATTCCACAGCATCTGGTTTCGGAGCAAATTCTTCGTTTGCTGGCGCAGGTTGTGGTTCTTGTTCTTCTGGAGGAGGCTGAACTTCTGCCTCAAAACTCTGACTTGGTTCTGAATCCACTGGTGCTGAATCAGGTTCTACACTCCTCGCGTTGCAGGGTTCTTCAAAAAGTGTCTGCAACGCTTCGGCGGCCTCGGCCTGCTCAGCCAGAGCAAAAAGTGCCGTCGCCTCGCTGTTTTCAATCGTCTTTCCAACCGCGTCCATGATTATATCCGACGTTCTGCTCAAATTCCAAAACTTACTATTAGCTATGAAGCATAAATTTAACATGAATACTTACATGTGATAATGTTCTTCAACATTAAAACGAGATAGATGCCGCAAAGACGATTTTTCGTGCTCAAATACACTTCACTTCGACTCGTTCCACAACAAAAACAACCAACGCAAACTTGTCGACAGTGCTGCCGTGCTGCCAAGCGTGCAGCAAACATGAAACCTATTAATACTACAGTACACTCCTTACAACATCAAGCGTTTCCGTGGTGTAGTGGTTATCACATCCGCCTAACACGCGGAAGGTCCCCGGTTCGATCCCGGGCGGAAACATTTTTGCATGCCTCTATAACTTTTTGAACTCGCAGAAAACGTATTTAACAACTCAACAGAGCACAACAGAGTTGGTACAATTCATCAGAGTTATAAATCTTGCTATTCCTTTAAAAACCATATATTGTAAGTATTTTAATTTGATTGAGTTACAAAAAAATAGATTGAAAGTTAAAGCCATTTTTTAAGTTTCCAAATGCAGATCAAGAGCGACAAGGCGGGCGGTGATATACATGTACTCATCCCGGTGCGCCTTGAAAGCTTCCACAGCTCTGTCTCTTGCAGCAGGCCAAGCGTACATTGACCTAAATGGTACAAAATATTTTTCGATTAGTTCACTTTAATTTAATTTGTATTACAAACCTGAAAAGCGGTCTGACGAATTTCATTCGACCTTGGATGGTGGCAAACTCGATGGCATCTCCAATTTTTGCCTCCCACTGCGCCTTGATGCAGAGACGGAGCCAACGAAACTTGACCTCAGTGTTCCGAACCGTCTTCAAATTGTACCACTCGTCGAGTTTTTCCAGTTTCTTGATGGAAATGATCTCATCACTCAAACCAAGCTGGTCAAAGAACTCCCTTTGCTGGAGAGGAGAGAGGTCCTTGTAGCCAGGGCTGGAGTTAAGGGTGTCGATTTCAGCTTCAGGGCACTTCAGCCACTTCTGCACAAGTATAGTGCATTGTTCCGACAAGGTTTTGTCATAGCTAAAGCAAAAAGGGTTAATTTAAGCAAATTAAAAATTTTTGAATTCATTTTACTCTGGAATAACTGGAGGCATGCCCAGTCCAAAGAACCAAGTTTGCCAGTCGACCGAGTCAAGCACGTCCTTTTTGCTGGCAAAGAATTCATACAGGTAAGCCTTAAAATCGTCAGTCGTAATTGCTCTGCCCTTGAAGTGCTGACAGTAGCTCTTCACAAAAGGATCAAACGCCTCTGATATTTTATATATTATAAATTATTTCAACACAATAAAATATTAATTAATTACCAGGACCACCAAGAAGGGTCTCCAAGTAAAAAAGGAGAGTGTGACCTTTTTCATAAGGGACGGTGTTAAAAACATCCTCAGGGTCGATACCAACTAAGTTCTTGACAAGGTTGGTTTCAATTTCTGGATGCTTGCTGTCATTGACCTGAATTAAAATATTTTTAGACAATCAAACCCATAGAATTATAATATTTTTACGGTATTTCTAAGTTCATTGAGACCGAGAATGGCAGAGAAGTGTCTGTGCTTCTCTCCAAACAGCTTCGACTCGATCTTCCTCTGCACAAACATGGTCCAACCCTCATTTAGCCAAAAGTGCTCAAAATTCTTGATTCCGACTGAGTTGCCGGTCCACGAGTGAGAAATTTCATGGGCAATGACGTCCGCTTGAGTGCGGTCACCGACCACACAAGTTGGGGTCACAAAAGTGATGCAAGGGTTCTCCATTCCTCCATAACCAAAGCTCGGAGGCAGAATCAGCAAGTCGTAACGACCCCACTCGTATGGGCCACAAATCTCCTCTGCGAACTTCAGTTGTTCCTCAGCCTATGCACATATAAGATTAATAATCATTTTTATATTAAAATCTGTTTTACTTGTCCAAATTCCCAAGCAGCAGCTTCGACGTTCTGCTCCTCAGCCCAAACGTTGACCCGCGGACTGATGGTGCGGAAGGAAATTTTGGCAACTACGATGGCCAACAAGTAGGATGGAATCGTTACTCTTTGTTCAAACTTGTGTCTTCTCTACATAAAAGTAAGAACGAATTCTTTTGTTTTTTCAAATTTTAGAAAATTTAAATTACTAGGGTCGTTCCAGGAAGAGCTTCAGGTGTGCCAGTGCTCACCCCGCTGAGCAAAACAGTCAGTTTGGCGTCAGCGTCCACTTCTGCAGAATAGGTAAACTTGACGTCCGGTGTGTCTTGGCAAGGCATAATTGTTCTGCAGTGGATGGACTGAAATAATAACTAAAAATTTTGTGGCAAATAAATTTGGATCAATTTAAACCTGGCACTGACTGAACATGTAAGGGTGAGTCTTTCCTGCCGTCTGCTCCGGAGAAAGCCATTGCAGGGCGTAAGCCTTTGAAGAGGATTCATACTGGATGATCACATTAAAAGTCCTATAATATTATGATTACTTTATTTCCAAATCATAATTTAAAAAAAAATAACTTACTTAGGGACATTTACAGGCAGAGTGATGGTCAGACTTTCGCCAAAGGTTCCCACAGTTGGTCCTTTAACAAACTCAAGTATCTCTCCATCAAAAGTAACCTTGGTTACATCAATATCTTTTATATCCAGCACCTGAAAAAATTATAAAAAAAATTTATATTTATATAAATTGATAATAAATTTCAAGCCTACTCGCAAGTCAAGAGAATACAAAAGTTAAAAATTGCAGTGTATTGATAATATTTACGATTTTCACTAGGAGAGTAGTGTGCCATTTACGAAAGCGATTTTATCTAGATGTTTGATTAATGATAAAATGCGATGATAATAGTTTTATTAAGTGGCTGATCATTAACATATTTATTGTTAAAAATGGAAGATATGCGGGTGATATAATTTGAATTGTTATACCAATTAAAACATAAATTGTATAATAAAAATTAAAAAAATATATATATCATTCAAATATAAATCTTACCACTTTGTTCACAGTGTCAATGACCTTTTCCAAGGTTAGTCTGACCGAACCTGCCAATGTTTGCTTCTTGAAATCTACCAGCCAAGAAATGTGGGCATGACGAACGACCACATCCTCTGAAATTCGCGTATTTATTTTGAATAATGTAAATTCATGCAAGTTGATTCTTCAAAAAAATATACCTGTATTGGAAAATGAGGACGGGTCATTTTTGCTGAGAGCGTCGATTCCCATCGTAGATACAGGTGTGTTGCGAAATTATCAGTCAGTCTGATTCTGCCGGCTGGTAGGTGAGTTGTGACTTTTTTGTTTATATAAGGTGGGTTGACAACTGATTTAGTAGCAGGCCAATTACAACCAGACCAAGCACTAGATGGTGCTTGCGTCGTCGAACGTCTATGGCGCGTAAATAACAATAATGACTATATTCATTGGCATTAATGTTGTAAGAAACCTGTTTAATAAAAGAATTTTATTATTTATAATTTACAAAATTATATATATGTGTATATAATATTTTAATTTTGTTAAATGTTTTTTTTTTTACAATTTTCTTTCTTACCCTTATACCAAATAATTATTTTTTACAAAAATGACCTGAAATTCTATATTTTAGTTTTCTTTAATGCAAATTGACTAAAAAATCTTTTAAATAGTTTTCTTAAGAATCCAACTGTAGGTCGAGAGCAACTTGATGTGCGGTGATATACATATATTCACCACGGTGCGCCTTGAAAGCTTCCACGGCCCTGTCCCTAGCAGCGGGCCAATCATACATTGACCTTAAGGGCAAAACATTAATTTTTTCAGTCCTTTCAAATGGATTTTAATATAATACCTAAAAAGTGGTCTGACAAACTTCATCCTGCCTTGAATGGTGGCAAACTCAATAGCCTCTCCAATTTTTGCCTCCCACTGCGCCCTGATGCAGAGACGGAGCCAGCGGAATTTTACCTCTGTGTCCCGAAGCGTTTTCATATTGTACCACTCGTCAAGCTCTTCCAGTTTCTTGATGGAAATGATCTCATCGCTCAAACCAAGCTGGTCAAAGTATTCCCTTTGCTGGAGGGGAGAGAGGTCTTTAAAACCAGGGCTAGATTTAAGGGTGTCGATTTCAGCTTCAGGGCACTTCAGCCACTTCTGCACAAGTATAGTGCATTGTTCCGACAAGGTTTTGTCGTAACTAAAGTAAGATAGGTTATTTTAAAAAAGTGAAATTATTTTGAATTTATTACTCTGGAATTACTGGAGGCATGCCGAGTCCAAAGAACCAGGTTTGCCAGTCGACGGAGTCCAGCACATCCTTTTTGCTGGCAAAGGATTTATACAGGTATGCCTTAAAATCGTCAGTCGTAATTGCTTTACCCTTGAAGTGCTGACAGTAGCTCTTCACAAAAGGATCAAACATTTCTGACGTTATCAATATCAAAACTTTATTTTATTTTAACTTAAAATAATGGTCTAATTACCAGGACCGCCAAGTAAGGTCTCCAAGTAGAAAAGGAGAGTGTGACCTTTTTCGTAGGGGACATTATTGTAAACATCCTCAGGGTCAATACCAGCTAAGTTCTTGACAAGGTTGGTTTCAATTTCTGGATGCTTACTGTCATTTACCTAATGTTAATTAATTTTTTTTAAACTATAATAGCTCTCAATATAAATTAAAATTTTCTTACAACATTTCTCATTTCATGTAGACCGAGGATGGCAGAGAAGTGTCTGTACTTCTCACCAAACAATTTTGACTCAATCTTCCTTTGCACAAACATGGTCCAACCTTCGTTTAGCCAGAAGTGTTCGTAGTTTTTTATTCCAACCGAGTTGCCAGTCCACGAGTGAGAAGCCTCATGGGCAATTGCAGCGACTGCATGGGTGCGGTCACCAACAACACAAGTAGGGGTTATAAAGTTGATGCAAGGGTTCTCCATTCCTCCATAACCAAAGCTCGGAGGCAGAATCAGCAAGTCGTACCGACCCCACTCATAAGGACCACAAATCTCCTCTGCAATTTTCAATTGTTCCTCAGCCTATTAAAAAGAGTTTGAATTAATAAAAAGATTGCTTGAAAAAATCAACGTCAATTTTACTTGTCCAAATTCCCAAGCTGCAGCTTCGACAATCTGCTCCTCGGCCCAGACGTTGACCCGCGGACTGATGGTGCGGAAGGAAATTTTTGCGACTACAATGGCCAACAAATAAGACGGAATCGTGACTTTTTGTTCAAACTTGTGTCTCCTCTATATTTAGGTAAGAAAAACCTGGTTATTAAAATAATTTTATGGAACTTTGAAATACCAGGGTTGTTCGTCCAGGGATATCTTCAGGTGTGCCGGTGCTCACCCCGCTGAGCAAAACAGTCAGTTCGGCGTCGGCGTCCACTTCTGCAGAATAGGTAAACTTGACGTACGGTGTGTCTTGGCAAGGCATGATGGTTCTGCAGTGGATGGACTGAAATGATAATTAAAAAATTTTGTGACCGATATAATTGAATTGATTTAAACCTGGCACTGACTGAACATGTAAGGGTGAGTCTTTCCAGCCGTCTGCTCCGGGGAAAGCCACTGCAAGGCCTGAGCTTTTGGTGATGATTCATACTGGATAATCACATTAAAAGTCCTAAAAATTTAAAGCTTTGTGTTTAGCATAAATAAAATTATCAATCAGAGAAACAATACTTCGGGACATTTTTAGGCAGGCTGATGGTCAAACTTTCCCCAAATGTTCGTACAGTTGGACTCTTTTGAAATTCTAGAGTCTGTTCATCAAAAGTAACCTTTTTTACATCAATATCTTTTATATCCAGCACCTGGAATAAATTGATTTTGATATTTTGTTGAAATATAATTATATTTTTAAATAAAAACTCACCACTTTGCTCACAGAATCAATGACCTTTTCAAAGGTTAGTCTGACTGAACCTGCCAATGTTTGCTTCTTGAAATCTACCAGCCAAGAAATATGGGCATGACGTATTACCACTTCCTCTAAAAATTTGCAAATTTAATTTTTTATTAAAATATTGTTCATCCTTTTATTTTTACCCGTGTTGGAAAATGATGATGGGTCATTTTTGCTAAGAGCGTTGATTCCCATTGTAGAATGAGATGTGTTGCAAAATTATCTTGCGTAGAGTACAAGAGTATTCAATTTAATGCTTATCTCTCCACCCAGCTGATGTGATCGAGTTTTGGCTTTTTTGGCTAGGTGGGTGTGCATTTTGAAGTTGCTGACAAACAGCCTCCAAAACTGGCACTAGAGATGGTGTTCATGTTTTTTTTAAGGGCAGTGCGTTAATTATTATTATTTGGTGTCTTGAGCCAGTGTGGCAATTCAACAAAGTTATTTATTTTACAATAATTTTTTTATTAAACCAACAAATTTTTTTAACAAACACCCTAGCATTTGATTAAATTTTTTTAACTGTATTGACCTGAATTTTCATATAATTTAATCAACAATGTGCTGCTTGTATAACAAATAAATATATAAAATGCAAAGATTAACCCATATATTTTTTCTGTCAGGTCAGGTCAGTTCTGATGTTGGTGACGAGGGCGCAATTCTGGTTGATCAATAGCCCATATTATTCAGTTTAATGAAAATTTTTTTCAAATATTATTTCAAGAACAATGATCCTAAAATGGTCCCAGAATAGTTATATATTTTTTCACCAAATCAGTCCTGCCCAATTTATTCAAAGAATTTGAACAAAAACAAATACTTTTCTCCAATAGAAATGAAATTTTGGCAAATTTGCATTATCAGATCTAATTTATTAAATTTAATTTATTTAATTTGGCGCCAAATTTTAATTATTGTTCCTAACAAATGCTGCTAGACCGTATCTACCAGCTTGAATTGAACTTAAAACACAGTCGGCAAGGTTATACAAAAACTATCACTTGCCCATAGATGCATTACCTTTCCCCACAGTTGAAAATAGAAGGCAAATTAAAAATACTCTCACAACTCCTTGTGCTGATTAACTGGCTTCTTTGTAGTTGGTGCTTCCGTTGTTGTTGGTTTCTGGGTGGTCGTTACTTTTTGGGTTGTAGTAGCTTTTTGGGTAGTCGTCGTTGCTTTTTGGGTAGTGGTTGTGACTTTTTGGGTGGTCGTCGTTGCCTTTTGCGTCGTTGGTGGAGCTCTCGTTGTAGGTGGCTGGGTGGTCGGAGGTTTCGTTGTGGGTGGTTTAGTGGTGGGTGCTTGCGTTGTCGGTGGTTGGGTTGTTGGTGCCCTGGTGGTTGTGGGGGCTCTGGTTGTGGTGGGCGCCTGCGTTGTAGGAGCTTGTGTGGTGGGTGGTTTTGTGCTTGGTGGTTTTTTGGTGGTGCTCTCGGCTTCGATGTCAGACATTTTTATTCGGATGGGAACACGAGTCTTCAAACGACCAAGGAAATTGTTAAACGGAGATCCAAAGTAGTAGGTCTGGTCGACGAGGATGATGTCACTGATGCCAGTAACTCGATTGTCAGTGCTATGCAGAGTGGAAAGAACGTCACCCGACTCTCCGACTTCCACAACAATCAGTGCTTTGGTGGCAAAAGGAGTAAGGAGCTCAAAGCTACCTCCCTGAAAAAAACCAGATATATAAAAATCTCATTATCAAAAATATTATATTTTACCAAATGGGCGATTGTTCCAGTGTAGACATTTGGGAAGTACTTGTTGACCAAGTTGAGAGGCGCCTTAAGAATGCAAATGAGCCGAGCCAAGAATTTTCTTATAAGGGGGTAGGGGGCGATCACATCAGACAGAACTGGCATGCTCTTGAATCTTGCAGCAACCAGAGGAACAAAGAAGCTTCCATGTCCAGTCTGCCTCAAATTGTCCGGCATTCCCGGAAGTCCATCAATGAACACTTCACTCTGTCCGGCCTTTGGGCCCTTCAGCCAGTACCTTTACGGTTGAAAAGTAAAAATTAATCCTAGCTCATCTTGTTTGTCTAGTCATTATTACCGGTGCAGTCTTCCTCGAACAGTCTCAGAAATCACTATAAAGTCCTCCTTGAGCGAAAGGGCCACTCCGTTGGCGAAATGCAATTTATCCATGAGCAGGGTGTGTGTTTTGGTCTCCATGTCAAACTTGAACAGTCTGAAATTTAAAATTAATTAATTTTGAAGATTTATTACTTGCATTTTCTTCATACCTGCCTGAAGGGTCTCCGAGGAGACTCAAGAGGCCATCCTCAAGATTAGCCTCTGTACTAGAGGTGGTCCAATACATGGTTTTGCCATCGGCAGTCAAGACAAGAGAGTTCACAAGTGTGGCCCTCTTGCCTTCAATTGGTTCGGCAGATGAAAAAAGGAGAGATGTTTTGCCTAAAAAAAAAAAAAAAATTAAAAAAAAATGCATAATTACATAAGAGCAAATTTCAATTGTTTTTATTTCTCTTACCACTTTTCACGTCGACTTTGTACACTCCGTACTGAGCGTCAGCAACATAGAGTACTCCTTTCTTATCAAAGTTCATGCCCAAAATTCGACCGCAGTGAACTTCGTCCCACATGCCGGCTGGAATAATATTTAGTTGATAAAATTTGAAGCATAATTTTTTTTAATTTAAAAATACATACCACAGGGATGGGAGAGGTCAGCTACGGGCACAAGTTTTTCTCCGACCACTCTGACGACGGCTCCACCTTTGAGCGCGGTGTAGACGACGTTGTCGTAAACTGCGAATCCTTCGGGGCCTTTGATTTCACCCTCGAAGAGTTTTTCGACGCCGTTAAGTTTGTCGTTGACTTTGAAAACACCAACTAAGTCCACCGGCTCGGTTTGACTAAAATTAAAAGAACAAGTCACGTTAGAATTTTTGCGGTGTGCATGAGGTGCTCATTTTTTTTAGCACACATACCTGAAAGCGGTGAAGCTCATCTGCGGTGGGAGACCAGGAGCAAAGGTGAGGACCAGAAAGACCACGGTGGCCTCAAACAATCGACGGCATAACCACGAACACGGCGACATATTCAAGCCTTACGTATTACAACATGAAAAAGTAGAAAAACAGAGGAAAAAATTGTCAGTTCATTCAGCACGATCCATCATCCTTCGTCGAGATCCGAAAAGACAAAGTAAAAAGGACACGCAGCTGGAGGGAGGGTAAACAAGCGCTGCCATTGGTCAGTTTGCAATCTTCTCTTTTAATTGGTTGAAATTCTCGATCGAACGCGCGAATAATTAAAATATTGCTAGATTAAGAAATAATGTGAGAACCAAGGAGGTGAGAACGGTGTGAATGAATTAAGAAAAAATACTTCTAGTTTAAATAAATTTATCTTTTATTATCAAATGACCTGCATATATTTCAAAAGCACAAGATTTTAAATACGAAGTATTTGAAAATAATTTTTAAAAATAAATTTTTTTGTTAAAAATTTTAATAATTTTTTATAATAAAATAGGTTATCATGATTATTATTAATTTTTAAAAAAAAGATGAATTTTTTCAAAAAAAATTTCGATAAATTTTATAAATTTGGTTTAGTTAGATTTTTGCGGATTTGTGTTCATAATTTAATTTGAATTTAGTTTTATATTGAAAATTGGATCGTTATAATGATAATTAGGATAATTATATTATTACGTTATATTATTATTATTAATGTTCAAAATTCTCTCTGGGTTATTTTATTCACATTAATATAATTACCAAATTAACCTGCTTTATTATTTAGGTACTATTAAATTCAGTCTTTATTTTTTTGTTTGTTTTTTTTTACATAAAAAAGCAATACAAAATATAAAAAAATCATCCTGTTTGATTAAAATGTTTCTATTTCAAATAAAATTGTTACGTACTATTTATGAATAATTAACAATTCGAAGATCTTCTTCGTAGCGATTTAATAAAATAAAATGCTCAAAACTTAAGTATTTTTTACTTTCCACAAATTTCACTTTATTTTCAACAAATAAGATGCTAAAAGGAATCACAGAGCAAATTAAAAGTCCAGCACCTGAGAAATTATTTCGTGGGCGTGGAGCAATCATTGTAACTGCATTATTAAATATTTAAAATTCTTACACAAATTTGACGCACGTCACAGTAATAAATAAACCACACAAAGTGACCTTATATATGAGTCAATGTGATGCTTGCATGTGCATATAAATTACATAGTGAATATCCATGGATACATAAATATTAATAGCATAACAGCATGTTTATTCAATTTTGTGCAAATCATTCAAAACAATTTCAAATCAAAATGATAAAATAATTTGCTCTGGCAGCATGGAAATTGTATGAGTGCAACATTATAATAAGATATGCTCTTATCCAATTTCCACGATGAGAACAAAATATATACGAAATTGTAAAAAATTTTGTTTTTCCTCAATTATACATAAAATAGCAAACGAACATTTCGTCTCTGCATTCTTCTCAAAAGTGTATATATTTGAATAAAAATAGCCGCAGTCACTTTTAAGCCCCAGTTATGCTTGCTGCCTGCCAGTCTACTTGAATAATTAATCAATCAGATAATTTTTATTGCATGTACCACTTCTCGACATAATTATTTGTACCTGTTTGCTTGTAATTATACACTAATAGTTACACTTCAGCATCAAAAATATTGAGACGGAACAAACATATTATTTCTTGTATTAATATTTTCTTCCTGGGCATATGAATTTGTGTTGCAACGTTTGGAGCATAAAATTTTTTTCGGAAAATAGAGGTTCTTTGAAATTTCAGGAGATTTGGTTAAGAGTGTTTTTGCAACAAAAAATCGCCGCACCTTTGTTCGCACAACGTCAGCCATGTGAGAGATTTAAAAAGAATGACCGGTTTTGAATAAAGTTACACCTGGCAAAAATATGGAGCTTGGCAAACACAGTCACTGGTTTTGGCATCCACCGTTTACGCGCTTTGCTATCTAGAATAAATTCTCAGAAGTCGAACATTTGAGGCATTCGTAATTTGCACGCACATCAACAAACACAATTGCTTGAGTCAGTACTGAATTCAGGGATCACAGCTCATGTCGTGATGTTTTCTGAGAGGAAAGAGTAAGCAGCAGAAACTCCTCCAAAATTTTAAAGTTTGCAGCCATCTCCTTGCTTGATTTGCAGGCTCAACTAAATTTAAGAAACTTCAGTAATTTGATAAAAAAAAAAAATAAATAAATAAATAATAATAATAATAACCCCTTAAAAATACCTTTGAAAGAGGGTTCACGATTTAAAAATCCCGGCGTCATACGACCCAACTATGAACAACTCCTGAAAAAAATACAACATGAGTTGGGGGGAAAATCGCTAAATAATTCAAATATTTTTAAAGATAAATTATTGGTTTGGGAACTAAATTTGTGTACATTTTATTCAGATGTATGTTAAATTTAGGCTGAATTGATATAAAAATAATAATGAAAGAGACAGATGCAATATGGATTTTAGTTACTCACGTCGTGACGGGAAGTTACTGTGAGTGACTCTGATATGAATGTCTTGCGTTTCAGACTCAGTTACATCTAAAAACACAACGGCAGAAATATTAACCCCACCTCAATTTTAATTACAAGGTGAAAAGTTTGGATAAAAAGTTTGAACACACACTGTAGAATTATATAATATTAAAAACACAGTAAAATCAAACAAATCATGCACTTAATTAATTGTATGCAACAAAAAGTTTATAATATTACTAAAAACAATAATAATCTTTACAGTTTAAAGAATTAAACAGCTAAATAATCTCACCTCTGGTAAGAACAGGCAGTTCAAGAATTAGTTGGCCATACATGAGTCTTTCGGGAGAGATACTTTAATACTTTTTAAAATCTGGATGCTCGACACACGGTTAGTAACACACAATATGCAGTCTTGAGCAAACTAGGCAGTTGGTTAATTTAAATTATGGGGAGGGTGTGGGAGAAGAGGCCGGCGCAGGTTCTGGAGACGGCCCTGGCGTGGTTGGCGGCGGAGGCGGCATGCGGTGGGGGTGGCAGTAGCAGCCTGGGGGACACGGAGGCAGCGGTCTGGGACCGGTACCTAGAGAGATGCGTGGCATCTCGCACTGCTCGCACTTCCTCAGAGCGGGGTGGTTCCGGAATGTGCACACCGAGCAAGTCCAGTGCGGTCCGTCCTCGTCTTCTTCCTCGGGCCCGTCAGAGGATGGCGCCGCTCCTCTCGCTTCACCCCTCATTCGCCAAGAACCTAGCAAAGTTTCATTAGTACTAAATGAAGGAAAAAATTTAAATGTGGACATCAAAATTCGGGGCGATAATTGGAAAGTAAACCTGTTCCATTTTTTGTTATTTAACCCAATTTAACCTTTTTTAAATAAAATCAAGATCAAAAAATTTAATTTTACAATATTTTTTATTTTATAATTTACTATCCTAAACTATAATCAAAATTTTACTCAAAACTCGGTATCACAGTGGGGTTAAATTCAATTTGAATGCAAAACTAAAAAAATAAAATTGTCTTACTATGGTATTGTTGATTTTCTGTCGTAATGATGGTAGTTCTGCGCTCTGGGCTTATATTTTGGTAAAATTCTTCATCAGTCTCACCCAGCGGTACTAAAAATTATAATTGAAATTTTTAACTATTGAATTAATCAATTTGAATACCAGTGGTATTATGCAGATCAACTTCTTGAGCCATTCTGTTGCACTCCTCTTGCAGTCGGTACACTTCAACCCTCAGCTCTTGAATTCGAAGTGTCTGAAATGAAAGTGAGAAATTCGGATAATTTTAAAAAATTGCTCCGACGAGGGCAAGGACCTAGCTCTTGTTGGTGTCTGTTTTTACTTTTTATTTTGCTTCAGCTGTGGAATGCTAGTGCGAATTTGGCACTGAAGTAGAAAATATTGTGACAATGATGGGCCACAAATAATCGCCCACGAGAAATAGGAGCTGCTTTCTTTTTTGCGTGCGATTTGCGTGCCGATAGCCCCGCGGGACTTTCAACGCGCGCGTGGTGCCGGTAAAAAACAAACCGCCGCGCTTTTTCTGAGAATAGGGTGCTTTTGGCCAAGTCGAGAGGCGCAGATCTGATCGGAGTGAGGTTAAATCACGCGTGTAACAATAATAGCCCGGACCAGAGACAAACTGTTGAAATCCAACTACTACTTCAAAATGCCATTCTCAGAAAGAGATAAATCGCTTGTTGAAAAGCAGCTTGAGGTTTTTTATAGTCTGAAATAGAACTGCAGGGGAGATGTATATTCAGCCAAATCTCCAAATCTTCAACTGGTCGTTGACACCGCCAAATTTTAAATAGGAATCGGATTTTACTAACAAACTTGATAATAACTGTTATATTAAATGAACTAGATGTTTAAAATTTAATTAAAAATAAAAATAGATTAAACCGATTGAATCCTTTGTACAGTGTACTTTTTTTGCGTTGTATGTACCATGAATGGAGAATAGATAAATAAATAATAAATAAAAATTAAAGATCAATATAATTATGCAAAGATTAAAACGGTTATTAAATATTAAATTACTGTTTACCAGAAATAAAAAAATGAAGTTATTTTTGCATTGGTCTGTAAGGTTGTAAAACATTGATGCAAATAACATCACCTATTTTGATCACAAGTAAATTTCTATTAAACGTTAGAACAGTTAATAATATCTATAAAAATATGAAATTTATTTTGATTTTCTGAAAGTTGTCCGATTTTTTAAGGGATTGTTATAACCTTTTATAATAAATCGCGATCCAGGACTTTAGCCAATTTGGTCTGACCTGTTCAAGCGCAGATTAAGATTTTTGGCGAATCTCTCCCGTTTCTAAGTGGGTGTCTCATTGTCAATTAATTTAGGCAGGTATACGGAGCAAGTACCAAGTTAAAAGTAGCGCTCAAGACGCCGTACACATCGACGTACGCAGTATATTTAGGGAAGGGTATTTTAAGCTGGGCGCCAAATTGAAGTGGTTCAAAGTCGCCAAGGTAAAATAGCTTCAGAGTCTGCGGCTTCCTGTGAGATTCGTTTTCTGATCTATGTATTCAAAAATTTAAAAGACTTGAACGAATTTTCTAGATTTTTCAGAAGAATCAAATTAGCCTGAAGAAAGGCTCGGCCATAGATTCACTGGGCGAGGGAGACACTGCGCTTATTTACAACCTGCGAGTTTTAAAACAATTCTATTTTTCGCAGGCTGGTATTTTCAGAATCCCGTGGCGCATTTTTCTTCCGCCGAGAGTTGGCTCTTGATTCAAACTGTTGAGTTCAATCGATAAATAATGCGGGGGCAACCGACCACGCAGTTTCTTTTCCTCGGAGACCACGGCTCGTTGAAAAATCTGACAAACAGATCTTAAACATCCTAGATTTAGATCTTCTCCTATTTGACTTAAATGTGCTCAGACAAAACAACTCTTTCAAATGAATTTTTAAAATTCAAAGAAAGTCTGAAAGTGAAAGAAAATGAACTGAAAAGACCTTAAATTGTACAATAAATTGCCTAAAGCAATCACAGTTGTCCGAATAACAACAATTTTGTCAGCAAAATTTTTACACCGACGTATATTTGAAGGTTATTGGTATGCAATATTGACGTTTTGATTTGTCTTTAGAATCTCGTATATCTTTTTTTACATGGCTACATTAATTTGATGAAAAATATTTACCGTGGCGGTGGCTGAGGAATGCAGCATTCCTCTCCGAGACGAGCGTCTGAGCTCCAAGTCTTTCTCCATGGCGTGGACATCCCGTTTGAGCTGCTCCAACTTTTTCTTCTCAGTTTGCAGTTCGGCCTCGAGCCGAGCTTTCCGCTCCATTTGGCTCCTCAGAGCTGCAACACCGACGATAAATTTCTTAAATGGACTCATAAATTGGAAATAAAATTTAGAATTAAGCGTTCGGTCAAGACCTCTTATAAGAGTGCAGCACAATTTAAAAGTCAGTTTGAACAACATGCCAAGCGTCGAGATAAATCAAATGTTATTTAATTTGGCTGCATTTCCCTCGGCCGTTGGCAAGCGAGCACCGCACCACCGGCTGCATCGCGGCTAATAGTTAATTTCTTGGAAACGGCGCTGCACCGTTAAAAATAATAAGTAAGTAGCAGAAGTCGGACACACATTGAGCAGATCCTCATGGGTCTGTTTGCTTTTCTAAATCTGCACTCGTAAAATTGGCACGGGCACAATGCACACAAGCAAAAAGCCAAGGCCGGCTCTCAACCAGTCGAACCGACTTCCTCAGTTACTTCACATCTAAACCCGAATTGACGCACAGAATTTAAGAAATCAAGAACGAAGAATGGTCTTTGTGTGGAGAAATTAGTACTTGGCTGAGAGTTTCAAGTAAAATGCAGTTTAATTCACATAATTTTTATATTTGTATGCCTATTTTAACGAAATTTAACTTCTTAATCACAAGTTTAAAAAATTCATCCGAAATTATGAAAATGAGACAGAAATTTGCTCAGATACTTATAATTTGGTACAAACATTATCCCACAAAAATATTCTATTACTCATAAAATAAACAGAATTTAGAAACACATGGATAAATATAAAAATTAAAAATCAAGCTCCATAGATAATTTATTTTTAATTTGTCAGCGCGCCTGCAGTTTTTGTAGTTAGGCAACTTGCACGACACTTAATTTCTGAATCGCATCCAAACGCTCTTTCCAATATATTTGTGGAGTTCTGACCCACATTTTTTATTGTTTAATTAATTTCAATTTTCCCTGTAAATATTTAGAGCCGCTTTATTTTAATTTAAAATATAAGAGGATGGGATCATAGTTAAAAGAAAATTAATCGGTTTACAAAAAAGGTGTAAAAAATCTGACTTTATCGCGATTAAAAAAAATGTAGAAACCCCCTACTTTCTTTTAAGTTAGATCATCTGGTTGTCATCCCGGCCCCTTTTCAAAAAGTCCTCAGCACAGAGTAAACAAAGCAATTGTGTTTCGGTGCTTGGGCGGTGAGCCTCTTATTGTTTTCGCAGCCAAAGATGAGAGAGCGTCGAGGACAAGCACAATCGGCAGCTCTTTCTTTATTTTTGTTTTGCTGGTGACGTCAAACAAGTTCGGATCTTAGTTTGCAGTTATTTGGAGAGCGCGAACGAGCAAATAAATGGCGAACGCTTGCGTGCGTGCGGAATTTCTTTCAAAATAAGCGCAAATTGGGCGGCCATCGGGAAATTAAGAAGGAGGCAAGAGGCGGCACGCGGCAGACAATGGCCAGGGAAAACCAGACGTTGTTTGCTCGGCGAAAGAACTAACAACGCCGGACCCATTCCCATTAGCCGCACCAATATTGAAATAGCTGGCTGCGCGCGGAAGGCCGCGCGCCACTAAATTTGGGTGGATCTATAATCGACCACCAACAAACTTCCGCCTAAACAACTAAATAAGCGCACCAGACTTTGAAGTTGTTAAAAAAATCCGTAGAGGTTTTGTTATTTATCCATGTAAAACTTCAACAAAATAGTTGAAAGTGCTCAATGAAGATTTAAACTTAATTAAAATTATGAATTAATGAACAGCATTGTGCGATTAACTTGTTATAGTGAAAACAAAAGAATTTATAAATCATTATTGACGAAAAATTAGATATTATTAAATTTATTAAAACAAACATTATTAACAAGGCAATGAATGACAACTCAATTAAATGGGTTTCATTAAGAATTTTTAATCCCATCAGAGAAATAAAGCAGCACAAAAATTTATTAAAAGTTTTAATTTTTGAATCTTGAATTTACATACATACCATTTTTTTTAACAAATGAACTACAATTCAGTTTCTATTTGTGGTAGAAAAAATAATTAATTATTATTTTGATGGAAAATTCATGTGTTAAAAAAAATCTTACGGTGTGAAAAGGAAAATAATGTGAAATCTTTAGGGACTAATTTCAATAAAATTTGCATGCATTCAAGTTTTTGCTTCATTCAAATTCAATTCAATTTATTTTTCTCCAAACAAGTCAGTACAATGAAATGTGAAAAAATTGGTTGGGAGAAAAATCATGAGAAACATGATTATTTTGGCTAAATTTTACCAATTCATTGAAATTTAGCAAATGTGGTTATTTAGATTCAAATTAATTAATAAATTTTTAATTTTAATAATATAATTTCAAAAGTATTATGCAATTTTGACAATTTTTAATTCATTCCTCGGAAATACTTTGTGCACATTTTATTGTCAAGTTTAAGCTTTTTAATTTAATTTTAATTTTTAATTCATTCTTCCGAAATGTTTCGTGTTCGAATATTCTATTGTCAATCTAATCTTTTCATCTTGACTTTCAAGTACAATTCGTGCACATATTTGGTGGCACCATCAATTTGATCATTTAATGAAGTGATCGTGAAACATCAAAGGAGGCAATTAAATTAAATAAGGTGCGCGTCCAAAAACAATACAGACGATTGAGTGTCGGAAATAGACGGCCTTCTCCTATCCCATGTGTGTCTCTACGTGTCCACGGCGGCGTCTGCGGCGTGGGCGTGCATAAAATGTTAAATGTGCGTTCGCCACATGCACACCTGTCCGAAATATTTAAGCGCGCAACTTTCGCCCGCGACGCGCTCGCCAAAATTACGCGTGCAACCATTTTTAATGTCAGAATTTATCGCCGTGAGAGGCGCTTAATTTAGCGAGGGGGTTTCATCCAAGCGTCAGGTGCGAGTGTACTTGCGAATTTTTATAGGTTGAATTCTGTCTGCTCGTTTTAAACCGGACGAGACGATTTTTTTAATGAAGAACATTATTATTTTTGGATTTATTAATTGACTAAAACTGGCACAGCTAAAAACTAGGTGTAGCTTGAATGGGAAAAAATTTGTTGGGCACCGAAATAACATAATTACTTTATAGAAGCACATAAAACGTAGTAATTAACCATCTTTATCTAAATATTGATTGAAAAGATCACATTCTTAATATAAAAAAATCCCAAACTTCAGTAAAAGTAATTTGTTTTACCCTCTTTTTTTTTTAAAATAACAATTCTAGCATAAAATTATCTTTCCAGAAAAGTAAAATTCAATTAAAATCCCCCTACTAGATCAGGAATAACTTATACAAAATGATATTTATTAAAAAAATCAACATTTTTTTTGACACAAAAATTTTTCTTCATATATTTTACAACAGATTTCACGGCAGAAATAAATAGGTGCAAATTTTAGAAAAAAAATCCAGTATTTCATCCAGTCATATTATTTATATTTGAAGCAAAAATATAAATAATATTACTTTTGAAAATATGGGATTTTTTCCAGAATCGTCATGCCATATAAATAGAGTGAAATTTTTTAACGATGAATAATAAATAATTAACAGCAAAGGTAGAAAAGTAAGAAAGCCATTAAATGACTGAAAACTAATTATACAAATCTGCAAGCTAAGAAAAATCGTATTCTTTTTCAAAACTTCATCTTTGCTCTTTTCCGCACTATTTACACAAGACAACAAAGTTTTTGGCAGAATTTATTTTGCTCTCGTCTCGAAGGGGTTTCGTAACACAAAAGTATAAGCCAAAGGAGTTTCGCGGATGGGGAAACATTGTTACGGTTGGAGCATTAGCGTCTGGCGCTGTGGCAACGGCGATTAGCCGTGGGACAGAGAAAGATTCGAGGGCCGCTCTGATGGTGCATGAGATGTGAATAAATATAAGGGCGGCTGAGAGAATCTGGATCACGCCGTCCGACGCACGTATACACACACGCGTTTTATTTATTTACATCGCGGGAAAGAGAGAGAGGGCGGCAGCGTCTTTAAAATATTTCGGTTGTTTTTGGCGGCCAAGCGCAATTTAACTGGCGAGAGGCGCGAGTCCATTTGCTTATTATTATCATCAAACCATCTCTGCGCGGCCGAAATATATGGAGCATTTCTCGCCCAAACCACAATCGAGCCTATCTCGATCAATTAATCTGTGAGACGGGCGCGAGAAGCGTCAGGCTGGCTAGAGTGTTTTGTCCCCTAGTTGACCTTCCTTTCTCCGAAGCGCCTTAGTTAGCGCGAACAAGCTAAAAATTGCTTGTTCCCAAAGGGTTGGCACCGAATGTCTCGGCGAATGATTTCGGCTGGTGCGGGGGAAACTTTAGCGAGGTGCGATTGATTTTTTTTTTTTTTTTTGCTGAGAATGACATTTCAAACTAGAGCATTTGGTTTCACAAGCAAAGTGGAAAGCACCAATATTCAAATAACGAACTTCACCAATAAACTAGCTGGATAATTTCACGATTCTTCGTTGAATTGTAAATTTTGATTGATTTATTTTAAAACAAATTCTTCCAAATTTTTAAGGGGTCGAGAGTGGAGAGTATTTAGTTCGTTTTGGCGAACATATGACATTATAAAAATAGACGCTTTTTACAAAGTTGAACTATTAAAGATCATGTATTTTAAAGTAAAAAAGAAACATTTCTTTTCGCCCCCAATCCCCTTCCCAGACCACCAAAGACGAGCATATAAAATCGACCAAAATATCTTACTTTACCTAACCTTTGAGGCCTCATTATGCTTCCAATTTATTTGTTAAGTTAGCCGATTGTTTGTAAAATGAAAAAAAAAATACGAATTGATATTGAGAGAGCCAATTAATTTCTTAATTTGTAAATTTTTGGGAAAAATTGCAGACAATACATTGGCAGAGGAATTATTTTGATAAAATATTCAAAATCAAAAATAAATCATCAGCAGACGCTTTTCATTGAAATTGAAGAGTGGATAAACTGGATAAACTGGATAAAGGCAATTTATTTAATATAAAGTAAAGAAAAAAATGCCTATTCATAAATGAATTGAACTCATTAGCATTTTTCCTCTTCAGATTAATTTTCACAGAATATAAAAAGCGTTTCATTCACAAGTTTTCTACAAAAATAATTTAAAGTGAAGCTGAATAGTGTTAAAGTATCTTGTTATTTTTGTATTCAAAGTTTCGGAAAGTTTAATGCCAGCAATTTCATTGCTTAATTTCGGAGATGTTTGAATGAATTTGAGCGTCACGCCGAGCATACTGAAAGAACTCTCAGCCGCCACTCTCTGATTTTAAACCCACTCAAAAACACGTCAAAACACATAACTCAAAAAGCGGTACGTAATAGATCAGACCGCGAAAGCGTGTCTCTCTTTTACTTTTGTAAGAACAAAGTGCTCTGATATTTTTATTCTCGCGGCGAGCTACAAGAAAATTTCGTTCGCTGAATGAAAGAATGCGAAGAGCGCAGCGCAAAAAGCAGCTTCGGCAAAACATTAAAGATTTTTAGTGCACAAGACCGTTTGTTTGCAAAACGTTAAAAGCCTCGCTGCTGGACAGAGCGTTGCCCAACGGACAGACACGCTCTCAAAAGGAGCGGCCGTTATGTTCTTTGGAGGCGCGCGCGCGTCACAATTGACGCAACGAGAGGGTGTGTGTGTTGGGCATTGCCGAGAGAGATATTCGCGAGCCTCGTCAGAACGCATTTGGCCGACCACCAACACAAATCGCGCGCCGCCCCGCTATATTTTCGGACGGGCCATTTTTCTAATAAATTCAATTCCGTCTTCTCTTTCGTCGCCGGCTAATAAGCTCGCGCAGAGCTGAATAAATTAAACGAAAAAAGTTAATAAAACACCCACATTGGCAGCCGGTACCACACTGGACACGTGTACGAAGGACCGAGCACAGAATTTTATTTAACATAATTTCTTGGTGAAGCGTGGGAAGTGTTGGAGAAATGTTAAAAGTTCAAATCTCAAAATAAACCAGCGTAATTGAAAGTAAAGGGAATCAAAATTTCCACAGCTAGGAAGAAATTTAATTTGCTTTTAACCAATATCTGGGTAAAAAGAAGCTATTTAAAAAATTTAATTTAATTTTAAATAACCTTGGTAAATATGTGAATGAAGTAAAATTTAATTAGATATATTATAGTTTAATTAACTGAAACACAAGAGTAAAATGCAATCAAATTAATCAATTGTAGCTTCTAGCAAAAATAGTTTTTTTATATTCAGTATTTAAGTAATAAAATTGGTCATTTTAATTTGGTTTTCTTTGAAGAAAAGTTTTTTTTAGCTCATTATAATGCCAATAAGCAATTTTGGCCTTCAATTTTCACAGATCATTATTTAAATTTTTTTATGTTTATATCAAAGACACATTATTCTACAATGTACAAATTTTCTTGTTCAACAAAACAAACAAATTATGAATAAATTATGCTGAAAAATTGAAGTTTGAAGCTGGAACTATAGTCATTTTCCATTTGTTTTGCTCTAATTGTTATTAAAAATTTAGTTAGAGTTTGATCTAGATTTAGTTTAAACTTGACCTAAAATTTGTCATCAACGAATTTTAATTTTATCGCAACATATTTTGAGGATTTAGATTGCATGATCGGTGGGTCAGCTACAAATAATATAAAAATTATAAAATGGCTCAAAATGCATTTCTAATTTATATTTTTCAAGTACTTCAACACTCCCAAAACGTCGATGAATATAAAGATTAAAAAAAAAATGTTAAATTTTACCCCACAATTGGCAAAAACAGTGATGCTCAAAAATAAAAGCATTAGAAAATGATATTTAAAAAAAACCACTTCTCCTTAATTTGTACAAAAGTGACAACACAAACCAAAACAAAACTACTCCTTTTGATAATTGAATGCAAACACGCCAAACAAAAATAAACAAATAACATAAAATAACAAGCTTGTCAATTACATTAAAAAAAATTACTTTCAAGGTTGGTTAAAAATTATTTTTGGCTTTAAAATTTATTCTTGAGCTTTTTCCTACGAGTTTATCATCAAAATATTAATTTTTATTTATGAAAAATAAAAACACATATATTTAGTTTTGTAGTTTTATGTTAGTGGTGAGGAAACACAGCAATTAGCATTTTTTTCTTAGGCTCACCAAGAGGCAGGCTGAGATTCGGTTTGAACTGTTCGACCGTCTTGCTGTCCGAGCACACATCCGGCATGGACACGGTGCGGACCAACACTTGTCGACACAAAGGTGGCGGAGGCGGCGAGGGGCTGGACATCGGCGGCTGACTGGCGGTGCGCATGGCCGCGACCGAGCCGCCTCCGGGCCCGATCTGGATGTGCAGCTGCGACTGGAAGCCCTGCCGAGGGCTGTAGGACGAGGTCGAGTAGGTCAGCTTGGAGGTGGAGCGGATGTCGATGGGGGGCTGCGGATCCGACGAGGGCGGCCGCAACGTCAGGTTGACCGACGTGTAGGAACGCGGCTCGGCCGTCGGCGACGAGCATACCGAGGTCAGCGACGCCGGTCGCGCCAGGAAATGCGGCGTGGGGTGCACCTGAAGGGAGGCGGTGTGCCGCACCGGCGGGTTGAACAGGGGCGAGCCCACCGGCGAGCTGCACGACGAGGTCACAAGCACCCCCTGAGCACTGCAGTTCACACTCACTTCGTGTTCATAGTCCTGCAAAAACGCGACGAAAATTAGAAAAGTTTGATAAAAAAATCAAATAATAACAAAAAGATTTTTTTCTTGTTATTATTTTTATGAGGAATTTAAAAAATTTGAAAGGAAATGGCTGGAAAAAATTCTTTGAAATTTGTTTGAAATTGAAAATATAACCTTTTCTGACGCAGGGTGTTTCAGATGGCATGTTATTTAAAAAAAAATTTTTTTAATAAATAAATAAAAAAGATGAAAATTTGAGTAAAATCAAAGTGTATGCTATTTAGAGTTTTTTTTTATTCGCAGCGCCCATTAAAATTGGATTTAAATTCCAATAAAAAAGTTTATCTGCAAAGTTATTATTTTCCTTGATTTGTGAATTAAACTTTTCCTTCTTTTGTAATTGAAAATAACCATTTCTAGTAATTATTCTGAATTTAAATTATGTATTTGAATCTAGTGCAAAATTTAAAATTTTCATTTCTTTCGTTACCTTTCAATGGAAAAATCGGCAAAATATTAGATAAATTAAAATATGTAGTTTGTATAATTATCAGTTTTACAAAAATAGCAATCCCTTGATTTCAATTTCTATTGAATCACTTTCACAATTTATTTCATTTCACTTCCATTAATTCGGTAATTCTAATTGAAGTTCAGATACGTTATATCAATTTTTTTTTCAAACTTCATAAATGAAATAAAAACAGGCAAAAGTCTGTGAAAATTTATAATTATTCTATGCGATTTATTCTACAATTTCCTTTATAATAATTCAAGAGAAAAACAAATTGATTGCATTAAGCGTTATACGAACATGCATCTTATTGTTAGAAAATATAAATGTTACTACATATTTTGAGTTTTGCTGCTGTTCAAAGGCTATTTTTTTTCACGCAGCAATTAATAAATTTTATAATACCATTAATTTTGAAGAAATTAATTTTAAAAATCATTGAATATTTAGATTTCATACTATGTTGACAGGTTGATTTTAGTTTCAAGATTTGTTTATTGGGTTTGATGCAGAGCAACTGACTTGAAAATTATTGGAACTTACCTGATAGAAAAGGTCATCAGGTCGGAAGCAGCTGGCGCACATGAGCGGGTCCTGCACCATGCTGGGGGGCAGCGGAGGCCGCGGGGGCGGCGTGGGGTCACGCGACTCGCATCGAGACGCGTCCGGGGAGGCCGTGGTCTGCGATTGGTCGGAGGCCCGCCGACTGAAGCGGTGCGGCTCCTGCAGGGGTCCCCCCTGGAAGGGAGAACGAAGCTCGGGACTCGAGTAGAGGGGACGGGTGGGGAGGAACGTGGGGCGCAGCTTGGTCCGCAGCCTGGACACATCCTCGGACGCCGAGTCGCCGCGCCGACGGCCGGCCGCGAACCCCTTACTGGCGCAGCTCGCCCTCAGAAGGGCCTCGCACTTGGCGGGGTCGTTGTTGCTCTGCCATTAACAACCACTGCCATTAATTTCAACGCAAACACCGACGCGAAAGCACACTTTGCTTTTAATAATATGCCATGCTGAAGATCCGGTTAAAGTCACAGGAAGTTGTTATGTTTGCAGATTTCACTCAATACATAGTCAAACTCACAAAACACAAAACTTGAAAAACTGAAAGTGGTCCTCAGCAATTTTTTAATTATTTTGATTTCATTCAAAACAATTATTTTTACTCTCAAAAATTGAATATTAATTGCCTGTAAAGTTTATTTAATTTTAATAAAACCTCAGATTTCAAATTTTATTATATATTATCAATTATTTTTCAATTGAAGCTCATGAGATGTATGGATCAAATCCATTTTCTATTAATATAATTTTTTCAGAACCTAAAATTATATTTTTTTTTCATTAAATTTAGATTAATTTTATACGTTTATTTTGTGAAGATAAAAAATTAGATAGTTAGGAAATTTCATTGTATTTGCACCAATTTTATTCAAATTCCAATTATTCTCCTCGTTAATATGAAAAGAAAATGTTTGATGCTTTAAATTGCATTTTGTTTTTAAATGTTTTTTCATGAGACGCCTAGGTAGAATGACTATTAATGTTTTATAAGAACACAAGAATTTCCTGGAATTTCAATACCAATGAAAAAATTTATTTAAAAATTTGAAACAATCATTGAAATAGTTATTTAGTACTTAATTTGATTTTTTTAATAAAAATGACTGAAGGCAGTTGGTATTTTCAATGCTTTTTCAAAATTAGAGCAGCATTTAAACTTCAAACTGATTTTAAAGCTAAATTAAAAGAAAAAATCTGTTGGATTTTGAAGTTGGTCGAAGACTCAAGTGAGTCTTGCATGCAGATTAGTGGGTGAAAAACGTTGACAAGCACGAGGAACTTTACGCCTGAGCTTACAATCGAGGCTTGCAAATAAAAAAGAAGTCTTTCCTCTCACTCTGCCTTGATTGAGGCACTTAACTAATTTAATGTTCAATCACAACAGTTTGCGAAAACCGTGTCGCGCTCGAAGTAAAAAAAAAGAGTTAACTTTCTTGCCCGATGACAAATTGACCAAGAAATGTTTGCGCAAATAGTCTATTATTACGGAGCGGCGTGCAGGGTGGAGCGGAATTTATTAAAACAGCAAACACACACACACTCAACACATACACACACAGGCCGAGGCTAATTTTACGTTTGCGCGTTTTATATAGAGCTAATCATGTGTCAGTAAATAACGGGCTGATTCGCGAAACGAAAGCGACGGAAGAAAATAACAAAGCAGCAACCGCGTGCTGGGCATGCCGATTACCAAAACTCAGCCGGGAATTAAAGACAGAGAAGTCGACTTGAAATTTGCAAATCCACCAGACTATCCCTTGGGCAAATCAGAACAACGGAGTCAAATTTGCGAGTGATTTCAAAAAGAGAGGTGAAAAGTTTTGTAAAGTTAGGATACAGGAGAAAATTAATATTATTTAATAACTTCAGATTTTATTTAAAGCTTTATCCTGAGCCGTTTTATTTTAGAAAAAAATGCCACTTTAATGTGCATGTGTGTTTCAACCTTAAATAAAATTATAATTCAATTTAAAAAGTAATTTTTAAACCAATCTTTTAAAAACTAATAAAAATAATTGAAATAAACTTAATCAAACAAACTTGGCAAATTTGAATAAAGATTTAAAAACAACTTCTTAATTAAATAAAAAAGTTTTTTAAAATTAAAATAGTAATTTTAACTAAACCATTCTTCTGAATTTATTGTATAAAATAAACAATTTTTTAATAAAACATTTTTAGTTTGCAATTTTAGCAAACCAATGACGCAATGTGGATATCACATCCGTTTAATTGCAAATTACGCCGCTCGCAACATTCCCGAATCAAAAATAGCACCGTTTAAATAATCCAAACAACGAAAACATCTGCGTCTGTCTCGCGGCCCGTGACAGAGAGTTTCCTCCTTTCGTTTGTACGTATTCCATTCCGCCATTAGAAGCAAAAACAATTAGGTTTCGTCACACAGACTGTTTGTTAAGGGGCACACCTGGCCTGGTTGGCGCATACCTGGCGGATGCACTCGGAGACCACGGGGTCTGGCGCCGACGGAAACTTCTGCTTCAGCTCGTAGAACAACTGCATCGTGCTGCAATTCTCAAGGCACTCATCAGCCATGGCGGCACCCTGCAGGTCGCGCCATCGCCCCCCGCCTCCACCTCACTTCTGCTCCCTGGACACAAAAGAAAGGGCACCACCCTCGGGTTACAAAAGGGGCCGCGTTCGTTGCCACGCAAAAGAAATGAAGTTAAAGCACGAAAGAAAACAAAAAATCCAAGCTCGTGTTTAGTTAAGCATGCACATGGATTAGAATATATTGTATGATTTGCTATTTCAATTTAAAAAAGTTTCTTTTCATTAAAAATTAATCCTAATTTCTGAAAAAAAATATGGATTAAGAAACGAGGTAAATACAGGGGGCATATTTTACACCTTTTTAATACAACTAAAATTTGTACTGATGCTCTTTCTCATTTTTGCATTTAAAAATTATAAATCATTCCATTATAAAAAGAATTAACACGGAATAAATGGAGACGCTAAATTAAAAATTGAATTAAATTGTGAGTTTGGTGGAAGAAAATGGAATCGTTTAAAATTTTCTGTAAATCCATAAATTGCTGTTAATATAAAAAAAAAACTGTAAAATATTCAATTAATAATATTCCAAAAAAATTATCCGGTTTAAATGTTCTTAAAATTGATAATAATAGCAATAAAATAGTAAATTACATTTTACAATTAAAACTAAAAATTTAGGATTTCTCAACATTTATGAATCATTGTCATTTATTCCATTTCAAAACCTTTTCCATAATTTGATATTGCGATAAAGTAGACTTTCATGGTATTTCATAATATATATTTTTAAGTAATTTTGATACAGTTTTTGAACGAATAAGTTTAGATTTTTATTTTGTAAAATGGGTTTAAATTTTTAAATCTGTTTGTTTTTACTCCAATTATCCGCCGATAAATTTTACTCCGCAGGCTGATTGAGACTCGGCGGGTGTGGTTTTGTGATAGGTACGTACTAACACGCGCCGAGGGTGTTTATTTGGTCGAGATGTTAGTCTTTCTTGTATCTCGCTCTGGCGGTGTGCGCGCGATCCTAGAATAAGTGTTGAAAATAGATCGTGCAATCTTCACCTCAATATTTCAGCCGTGCGAGCGAAAACACGCAGCGTCACATAAACATACCTGGGACATAAGGAAAGTCTGCTTTGCGAATCCTCTTTTCACCCCCTTCAGCGAATCACTTTCTAATTACTCGATTCGGCAAGTGATTTTAAATCGATTTGAAAATAGAATAGGTCATATCTAAAAGAGGGACTGCAAGTGGCACACGCACGCGTTATCCGACCACGGTTGAGTGGCGTGGAGAGAAAGAGTGAGATTTGACCTTTGCGATTCGCCCCTCGTGCCACTATTAATAGCCGGCAGCAATACAAACACTTGACTCTGTGACCACCTAGCTCGGCGGGTGATGCGAGATTGAGCAATCGGACCGACCAACACCTGTTCCACTGCACTTCTCTCTCGAGCGCCGGCCAATCGACTACACAAATAATACTGCCAGCCTCAACAAAGGTTCATTGGCGCCCTCGCCGAACACGATTTAATTAGTCACGCGATCGTAATAGAACTCAAAATTCTAATTATATAATTAACGCAGCCAAATTTCTACCAACAGTTGGAGCGAAATGAAGTTTCAAAGGTTGTTGGAGATTTGCATTTAGACAATTGATTCAGATGGTTTAAATTTCAATGATCAATAAGGTATCTCACTTATTTTTTTGTTTTTAATTAGCAATAATTGTTGGTTACAAGCTAAAATCTTTGTCGTGAATTTTTTCTAAATGATAAACGCGACGAAATGTAAACAAAATTTCATGGAAAGAAATTTTGTTTGTGAATGTCACTTAACAAATAATAATAACAAGGTTGAAGATATTTTATTTTAATTAGAGAGTTTGCAAATCATCAAAACCATTGCCACGGTAAATCATCTTACTGTTAGCAAATGTATGAAATCGCTACAAATCAATTTTGGAATATACAAATTTCCGTTTCATTCTAAAGAAAAACTGGATTTTTTTTAAATGGACCAATAACAAAAATCGTTGAACGCGCCAAAATAGACCTTGACAAATGACAATTTGGTTTTTAAAATTGAGGGAAGTTTTAATTCAAAAATAGAAAACTAGCGTCTGGATCCAAAATTTTGTGTGAAGAATCAGGCTTTTTCCTCATTGATTTTTTTCAAGCAAACGACTCTACCAGTTTCATTCGGGGTCTGCGTCTTCAAATAAATTTCATGTAAGTTTAAATATTTCAATTTTCAAATTGCTCATGAAATAGGGTCGCAGACCGTGACTGACACTGGTGGAGTTGTTGGTTTTTTTTTTCAACAAAAAAACCATTGTTCAACAAGAAAAAAAATACTTTTTCTCCACTTTTTTGAGCGTCTTCTCGAGTGCCAACTTCCTCAAAAATTATATAAAAAAAAAAATCAAATACAAAATAACTGAGCACTCGGTCCTTAATTTAGGAATTCAATTTTGCATTTCCATCCACTTTTCACCTCTTCTACAGTTGAGAACTTGAGCGGCTGATTACGCAAGTGGCGCATTCCAGCTTTGCCGCGAGCGTGATAAGTCTCGGCTGGTGTGAAATGCACCTTTCGCAACCCATTCATCCATCAATGGTGGCGGCGCCGGTCTCTCTCACAAATAGCCGGGCGCGTTTCGCAACCCGAATCTGCAGCCAGGGCGGCCAATATTTCCTTGTTGCCGGAATTCGGCCGCGGTGATTGGACTGGGTGGACGCAGGTTATTAATCGGAAATGCTGGTGCTCGCGATTGGCTGCGCGAGAGAGTGGTCGTTGGCGAGAGGAGTGTGTGTTTCAGTCGCCGCGAGCTTAATTTAAAGTGATGCCAAAAATTAAAAATAGCCGCCGGGTATTTTTAGTGCAGCCAGATTTCCAATTGAAGCGAGAATGTTGCTGCCCAGTGACGTACCACAGCCCCTGTGTGTGTGTTTGGCGAGTGTTTTGCGCCTCAAGAAGAAGTGGCGTAGGTCTGTGTCATTATATTAGACAGATATAAATATATTCCAGCAAAGTTTCTCTCTTTTTTCCATTTCACTAAAAAGAAGTGACGAGAGTGCTTAGAAAACAGTAAAAGTCGCCGATATTTCATCGCGGTCACAAAATTTTAGGGCCAAGCCTTTAAAATAAACTAAAGAATGCCGCGCGTTTTGAAACGCCGCGTCGCCACGTCCAATCAAAGCAGGAAGGACGCAGGCGGTCGCGGAATTTCGCTAAATGGCTCCTTATTTCTGTCAGCCGCGCCACATTTGCTTGGCGAGGAGAGAGCTTTAATTGCGAAAAGGGCCCGCTTTTAGACGAATTGGAAGACCGGTGCTGCTGCTCCTGCTGATGATACAATTATGGAGCAAATTATTAACTAGGGGCTGTCTTAAAGATTGCTAAAACCAAAATAAAAACTCAATTAAAGCGGATTTCAACACAGCACTGAAATAGATGTGGTTGGCAAACCTGCAAAACGATTGAAACGAAGAGCCAGATAAGTTGCAGTTGGAATTTTTTGGGCCAATTGGTTGCCAAATTTTTTTAAATGGGTCTGTAACCTTGTGGGTTTCTTGGTCCTGGTGAAAGAAGCCTAATTAGAAGTAATGGTTGGTACCACTGTAAACGAGATCTACGGAAACAGCCAATGGCAGTGTGGTGGGGATTTTCTTTAACCAATCAGATCTTACAATTAATTTTTGCTTAACTTTGGTAGTTTTAGTTAAATTTGATTTCTTTCTGTCAATGTATTTGTTAGATTGAAAACTCTCTATTAAAAGCAGTTTTTCTTTTTAAATTTAAATCAATAAATTTTCCAAACAACGCTCATTTCATTTTACTTTTACTGATAATCACTTGTAATAACTTTATTTCAGCCAAAGATAAAAATTTTAAATTTCAAATTTCAATCAAGACTTCGTCTCATCCTTATTTTTATTTATTTAGGAAATTATGGCAATTTTTCATGAACTGATTAAAAGTTTCGAATATATTTAAAAAAAATGTATTATATTTTTCTAAATAATAATTTTGTATGTTCTGTCTTTATATTTTTTGAAGTCTCTTGATTGATTTTTCTCTCTCTCTTGTTATCAATTTATAATATTGAATATGGATGACGTGTTTGGGCAGAGAATGCCCGGTGATACGTTAATAAACACAATTTTCAACTAATTTCCTTCTTTCAACGTCCTATAAAGTTTTAAGAAAGTAAATTGAGCAAGCGAATGTTTACAACTTTCCACCATTAGAGCTAGGTTTGGCCCCGATCGAACCGGATTTTGAGCGCACTTCTGGACAAACTCTAATCGCTCCACACCAGCCGTCGGGTGGGTGTTCGCGTCCCGAAAGCGTGTCGGCACAATCAGTCGTCGCGGCAGAAATAAACGAGGGAAACGCAAAGAGCGGGCAAGTAGAGATTATTGGAGTGTTTAATGAAGCCTCGGATCGGAGGGACGAACCGACCGACAGCCGGCTGGCCGAGTGCTGGCTAATTAGCTACAAGGATGTCCATCAGCACTCCGCGCACGGCTAATGGCTAATTCTGGACCACTTACGAATTGCGCTCGCACGAATAGCAAACAGTTCATTGAAAGATTATCGGAGCAAAATAAAATAAAAATTTCCTTAGTTGGAATTTCAATATGTATTAAATATTTGAAGGTAGCCTACAAAGGAAAAGTTTAATCATTACTTATTTTTTCCAAAAATTCATCTAGTGTTTAAATTAAAATTTTTAATTGTTATAAAATAAAAATAAAATATATATATTTTCGTCACCCACTGGCTCGCTAAATGAAGCGCGTCCGTCTCGCCAGGGGAAACCCACTTTCAGGAAATAAAGCTCCAAAAATAAACAATATTGCGAGGCCAGCTTTTGAGCTACTTTTGCGATTCTCTCTCAATTTCGCAAGGTTCGGATTTTGGTCGCAGTTGGGGCAAGCGCGTGTTTTATTTTTTTATCGCAATTAAACGGCAATCGGGTTTCGCGCACCGGCAGTAAACATGGTCATACTTAATTCTGAGAAATTTACGATGGGCCCTAGTTCGAGTGCGATGGGAGGTCTCGCTCGGCTGGGTGAGTTTCTGGGAACAATGGCCCAGTGAAAATAGTTGGAGTGACTAATTGCGAACGGGCGAACTCGGTACTCTACATGAAGCAAGTGCACCGCTCTAATTACATCATCCTCCCGTTCAGGTTAACAATCAACAATCATTACCCTAAAAATTGAATATTAATAATAAATATTAATTCAAGCATAAAATAATCAAGGAACAAAATTTCATATTAAAAAAGGTTTACAAAAAATTACATCTGTTAAAAAAAGATAAATAAATTTTAATGTTTCTAAAATTTGTTCCTAAAAACAAAAATTTAATTGTTTTGAAAGAATTTATGATTTTCATTGATGTAAATTTCTAAATATTTCGCACAGTCATAATAAATTGATTAATTATTTGTTTGAATATTAATAATGGTATTTTTGTAAGTGTAAATAATTATTCAAAATTAATTTTAGTTCAAAATGTGTCCAGATGTGAAGCAATTTTTGTAATTTACAAATTTCCCAACGAGTTTTGAGCAATTAGAACCCATATTAGAGCGGCCACATTGCACATGTTTCTCATTAGCGCGCGCAAGCCATCTTTGCGCCGGCCGCAAATAAACGACTCCAATTAATTAATTCTTCAGCGGCGCGCGAGACACAAACTTGCTCGCAAATAAATCTCTTGAATAATATCTTGTTTATGCGGCGGGTGGTGAAAAAAACGCTCACGTCGTGGCCTCATTCGTCTGTGCGCCTGCAAACGAACGCACTATGCAATTTGGCCAGCTTAAGTGTCCAGCCGGTTGCCTACGTCAGTAGATTGCATGGAGGCGAAAATCTATTCCAGTACAAAATGTTTTAATTTTTTTCAGTAAAAAGGGGAGATTTTTTAAAACATTTTTTTTGCAGCAAAATTGAATTGATACAACATAAAATTTTAATTTCAATTGTCTAATTAAAATAAAACATTTTCTCTGCGAAATGTATGAAAATAATAAAATTTAATGATTTATTGCTGTTGAGATTTTTTGATTTAGTGAATAAAAAATAGTTAATTTGGATAACCACGTAAAAAATTTGCACATTTAAAGAAAAAATGATTTAGCTTCATCAAGATTTGTGATAATAAATTTGCTATTAATGATATAATTTTTAAATTTGTAGAGTAAATAGTTCAATTTGTCAAGTTCCCTTGTTGAGTTTAGAAAACAAGGCGGTATAGGCAGCGAGATTAATTTGGGCGTGTTTGACAGATGGAAATTTGTGTTGCCGCGACCGACATTGTGGCGTGTAAGTGTTTGGGGGCAGTTTGAAGTCGTCGTGTCCTACACACGTAATATGCACAAACAACTGACTAACTTGCTAAGTATCGCACCCACGTCACGCCATCTGGCAAAATCATTTTCGCAAACCCCACGCCAAAATTATTTCCAGCATTCCTCTCACGCGCCATCCGAGAGAAAATCCGCCAGCGCAATGAGAGAGGTATTTTCGTAATCACCTCCGCCACTCGGGGGCACATTTTTCGCAGTTTACGACGCGGCCAAAAATATCGGCACTTCCTTTCATTAATTAGTCTTACTTGAGAAAATACAGAAATCATCGTTTATTCATTTAATATTAATATTTTTATTTCTTTTGTATACAAAAAATCTTGATTAAAATTACATTTAATGTATTTGGATTAAAATAATATTTTTGCAATAATTGTAAATATATATTTTATCACTGATTAATTTTTTAATCAGTTGTAGTAATAAATTTGAAAAACAAAATGTGAAACTAAAAAAAAGCCAATGAAACCTGTTGTTGATCTGTCGATATCCAATTTTTAAAGGATAATTTTTTAATTATTATGTTCAAATTTATACACATTTGTATTGATTGTATTTAAATAAAATTATATTTGTTTACCGTGTTGAACAAAATAAATAATATATTCACTAAAATTTATGAAATTCGAATCTCTGAAAAGTAGTAGAAAAAAATACAGAAACTTTTTTTTCATATTGTTTTGGCCAGTTTTGGCAGGAATTAGAATTACTTTTCTAAGAAAGAAATTAATTCAAATCAAATTCATTAAGCTATTTTAGTTAAAAAATTTAATTTAAATTCATTGGAATAAATTTTAACTAAAAATTTGAGCACAAGTAGTAACAACTAGAATTTTCACCGCCTCTCAAATTTGTTCAGGCTCGAATGTAAGGATTTGGAGCAGAAACCCGTGGTAAGTTCTCTCTTTCTCTGGCTACAATAATAATTTTTAATTCCCGGGCGCACAAATCTTTCTGTCGCGGCGCCGGTCAAATGCTTTGATTTATTCATTTCGCATTTGCCGCCGCCGCGAATGCAGCGCGACGTGAATAATTTTGTTTTGTGCTGCACGTTGTCCTGTCCAGCCGCTTTTTCAGTATTTTCGTCGGCAAAGCAAGTCTCTATTTCGAAGAGACCATTCGTCTTGGGAGCACTCACGCATCGCCGCGCGCTGAGTCTCTCTGCCAAAATTCCAACCGCGGCGCTGAAAACGTCCGATGGATTTTTCTTCCTCAAGCTGACTGACACCGACCGCCATCGTTGGACTTTACTTTTATTCACCGCTCAAAATATACCGGAAGCGTGGAGAAAATTTCAAATGAATTTTTTAACAAGGGGGATTTCCTGGAAAATTTTGGTACACTCTGCAATTTTGATAGGTGAATTATTTTTGAAAAGTAATTCAGCAAATTTATACGACTTTACGAGAATTGTTCTACGGAGATTATTTTTGTTTGATTTAGGTATTTACAAGCTGCTTTTAGAAAGTTTAAAATAATTTATTAAAATTTCATCCTTACTAGAAATAAAATAATTTTCAAATATAATAATTATATTCAAAGTCAATTTTCTCCGCAAAAGATTATTCCATACTTGTACACCGTAAACACTGGTAAACACCAAAATATATTAACTTTATTTTGCATTTTTCATCGTCTTAATATTTCATAAGATTTTTTTTAAATGATTTTGGAAAATTTGATACAAATCATTCAACAATTATATGTATAAATATTATTTATTTAAATAAGTTGTGTAAAACGCCATATATACAACATAATACTATTTATAGACTTTAATTTCCGCTGTTGATTTTCTACTGATAACTTAGTCACGGGTGTGAACGTGCGCAATCAGTTCCATTAATTAAAATGGCTAAAATTTAATCAGCAGAGTGCCTGGTTGATAAAGAAGTGCGAACGTGCATTATACATCAATCGTGGAGCGGTCTTTCATTCGCGGTGCACACTTGGGACGCGCTTCTTCAACAAAAAGAACCACTTCAGCAGCTGATTTATGCCGTTCTAATTATACAAGAGCGGTCGCCGCGAAGATCGAGAGAGGCGTTCGAAAATTGGGATAAAAAATCCAAGACTTATTGTGATCAGATGAAACAACTCTTTCATACAAGCCGAACAAAGAACGAAAGAAAGAAGTGATCAAACTCTTTGCTAATTAATTGGTACGTCAAATGAAGCGGTCATGTCAAGCTTTGTTTATTTTTTTAACAATACATTTCAATTAAATTAACCCGTTAGGTTTTTGTTGTCACACAGAATACGAGACTTCGTAAATAAAAAACAAAAATAGCCCAATTTTTTTTTAATATTTCTTGAAAAAAATAGATTAAGATATAAAAATAAATAAATTTCTGGGCAAAAAAAATAATAAGATTCATTTTTTAAACAATATTATTTTTTGGCAAACCAAAGCACACGTTTTTACAATTCTGTGTGCCAGTCTCGTAATTGTCACAAAGTGCGCCGTAAACAGGGTAATTTCGCGAGTGTGAAAATGCGATGTGTTAATTTGGTCCTTGACGAAATGTTGCGAGGGTTAAAAATAGCCGGGCCGACCCCGTTCTACCACTCAAAAACCAACAACAAAAAAACCAAACTCGTTCGGCCCAGCAAAGTTAAGCCAAATGAGAAAAAAATCGCCCTGGGGACGAGGATTAATTTCAGTGCTCACAATCGGAGGGTTGGACGACGAAAACAACAACAAAATCAGCGGAGAGCTGGACTCACCGAGGCAGGTGTGGCGATGATGTCGGCGCCACTGACAGATCGGCATGCAGCGTGTCGGCGCCGAAACGCGGGACGAAGAAGGGTCGACTGTGCAATTTCTCAGGCGAATCTCGGCCCAGCTGGTCACCCCGCACACAACACGCACACACACATACACACACACTCTTCCGATTCAGTCACTGGCACCGCTCACGGTCACGTGACCCGCGTGTCACGTGACTCGCGAAGAGGGGCGCATTCCTGCACGGTGGCGCCGCTGGCGAACCGATCCGGCGATTTGGTGTCACTTCTTGAAATTCAAAATTGGCGCCAAAAGCTCATGGTATTATATATTTTTCATATTTATTTCTAATTTTATTTATGAAATGCTAACTAAAATTACTGTGAAGACGAAAATTGCAAATATAGGCAAGAATTTCTTCACAGTTCCGCTCCTCTGTCTCTCGTGTCCCTGCGCCTTATTCGTCCAAATCCCGCATCTGGTGATTTTGCTCAAAGCCACTAGTTGTTCTTGGTAAAATGACAGAGATCTTGAAGGTGATCCGATCTGAAATTTCTCGATTAAATCAATGTTATTTTTAATTTATAAAATTTTCACCTGGTCTCCAAATGTGTTGACGCACTTTCCTTTGGTCGATCGAACCATAAGTTCTCTTTGGAGGGCTTCGATTTTGCTCGAAATGTTCTTTGCACCCCAGTCAAAGTTTAAGATCGCATCCAAAATTTTCGGTTCGGACCTAATTCATAATATTTTATTCTAATTCTTGAATCAGATTTTTCATTACAATATTTGAAAGTCTTGGCTGATGTCATTAGTTTTGTTTTTCAGCTCCAACAAATCCAGAATCCTCGTCGAAACCGTCTGTGAAAAACACGACGAAAGAGCCGTCCGAGGATAGTAAAGCACATAACCCATGCAAGTCTCATCGTCAGAATTTTCACCGCCCTTAAAAATAAAAATTATTTAAAAATTAAAATTTATCACATTTTGTGCCCACCAAAGTTGTTCTGTCTCTGTCCTGTGTATTAAATTCACACTCCAATATCAAATTATCAAAAGCAGCGTTGATTCTTCTTTTTGGGTCTAAAAATCGCACCTCTTGGCTTTCACTTTGAAATCCAAACTCCTTTAAAAAATAATTTAAAATTAATTTAATAATTATTAAATCAGTTAAAAATAAAATACTATGACAATAGGAGCTAGTTCCTCAGACTCGTGCAAATGCCGGAGCACAACTTTCCTTAAAGCAGATTGCCCCATCAACAAAACGGACACCAAGTTTATTTCTTGGTTTTGAACAGCCTGCAAAAACTGTTTCGAATTTTTTAATATTATAAATTAGATCATTTTATTGTCCTCACATTGCTCAGGCATTGCTGGAAACACCAGCCGCGGACGATAACTGCCGGTTGTCTGGGCGGCAGGACGAGAAGTGCGTCAGGGTCAAGCCCTATTTGCAGAAACGACGCCTGATGTTTTGGCTTTTTACTCGTCAGAAGTACATTGAGACCGGAGCTGTCAATTACTACTTCTAAAGAAAAATTTTATACAAAAAAGAATTAAAAATGTAAAGAATCAACCTGAGGAGTCGCTTAGTGAATAAAAAACTCGCAGGAGGTAATAGTCTGTTCCTCCTGAATTCAGACTGACTGGAATGCCAACGTCTTTGGGGAACATAATCACTGTAAATACAAATTTTACATAATTATTTCCTCAAATACATAAATAATATAGCTTATATTTGAACCATTTAAGAATTGACGAACAAAATTTTAAATAATCGTAAAAAAATTGAACCTGTTTGTCATTTAATATTAACTTCACATTCAAAATTTATCACAAAGCCTTCACTTCTCAAAGTAAAAGTTTGAGAATGATTTTCAGCCAATTTTTCATTATCAATATCAAAAGATAAAATATGTAACCGGTAAGTTAAAAAAAAAATTAGAAATTTGTAAAAAATAGTTCAAAATTAAATTTTCCCTAACTAATTTCTTCATATTTTTACTTTCACTGTTTTCATTTTTAATTTTCAAATTATTGTTACATTGTTAATATACCAATATTTCCAGGTGTCCAAACTAATGCGATCGTGTTGCAGACATTGGGCACACTGTCCGGAGTGTTACATGCGCGCCCAGCTTGTCCTGGAGCCAAAGGTCCAGACTCAACGGTTTCCGTTCTGCATTCATAAATAATGATCTTCTTTACTTTTCCGGGGTGATTTATCTCTGGTTTAGCCTAAAATTTATTCATTTAAAAAGATTTATTTATTTGATATTTAAAAAGGAAAAAATTAATTTACTCCAACAATCCAGTGCTTATTTTTCGTTTCCGGCGCCTGGAACATTGTGCACCAACGCAAAAAGCTCGAGTTGCTTGACACGCGAATCTAGAAAAAATTTGTCAATTCCGCCAATTTATATATAAGAGTTTTTATGCAAATGGTCCACCTTTGGCAGCATAACGGGCCAAACCCTGAGTCCCGAAGTGGGAGGCAGAGGCGGAGGCGGCGCGTTGAAAATCACAACCTGCGAGCCGTGTCGTTCGCCTTCTTCCAATCTCGCGAATTCCTCCAAATTGTCTGGCGTGCTCGAGTAGACGGCCCAGCTCACCAGAACGCTACCTGCCTGCGAGCACAAAAATTGCAATCAATCTAAAGTGCAAATTCCATTCGCTCGGTAGGTGCAGGTCGCGTGCGAAATTTCCCGAGCGAATATTTTAATGCCATCATGGCCAGAATTAATTGCAAAGGTTGCAAAGGTGTACGTGTGACTAATCGCTCAAAGTCATAAGCTTCGCTTGAGAGATGAATTCAAATAATTTTTCAATTGTCACTTCTGACTGGGAGAAGATTTGGTATTTGCAAACAATATAAAATACAATGGGTTGCAAATTTTATAAGGAGAATAATTTTATTTTTGTATAATTGTTTTTCGCACAGCATAAATACAAACAACATAGATCCATCGTTTATTGATATTTACAATAATTCAATTTTTAAATAATATAGGAGACAAAATGGATTATGATCAAATATAGGATGGGAGTATTTTATAAGAAAGATACAATTTAAAGGGATGAGAATTTAATATAAAGACCTATTGCTCTTTTATTAAATGATGTAGCTTTGCGTGTTTTGTGGGCATCAAAAAGACAGATAATGCGTACCATGCACGGTACCGATTTTATTTCAGGGTTTCATGCAAATATCTTTATTTTAATGCGTGCGTCTTTTTACGTTTTGTTATAAACGGAATAAGCTAAAAAAAGTTGTGTACAGGAAATTCTGCTAATTTTATTAGTTAACAGGCGCGACTTTGATTCATGGAATCTGGTTGAATCCCTGACAAATGAGTTGTTTAAAAAGAATTGTTGCAATATAGCACTCTAACTGATTGCTTTTGTAGGAATTCGCTTTAACAAAGCGCGCCCTGAATGCGAAAATTACACACAAAAGTTGGCGTGTTTTGCGCAGCTTTTGTGATCCTCAAATTAGGCCAATAAAGTTTACACGCCGACAATAATACAACAAAATCATTAATGATGCGCTAATTCAATATAAAAATCAAAGTTTGTCATGATATAGACGCTAACAGAATTTGTATCAATTTCTTAAAAAAATTAAATATTGTTAAAAAAAATATGTTTTACAAAAAATTTACCAACCCCCAGTGGCATGTCTTCAAGTTGGTCGCAGGTACTCCATTTTCGCTGGACTGTCACGCTCAAAAAGTCACTCTCATTTCTCGCGCCTTCAAGTAATTCATAGTCATTGGTTTTGTCCGAGATGACAATGCCGTCTCGCCGCACCACAGCATCCTTCGGTTGCACAATAATTTGATTCGTCATAATATCAAAGTAGGTTATACGTGCAAAATTTGCATTTTTAAATCATTGCTATATAGAAAAAAAAACATAATAAAAACTTCAGCAGTATACACAAGCAAGTTTATTTTAAAACTTCAAAATTTTGAATCCTCCTAATTTTGAAGGTGCTTATAAAATTAATTGATCTTAAACATTTTTTCAAATTTATTCTAACACAAAAAAAAAATACAGGATTCTTATCATGATTGCTTAAAATAATAGTTTTCCTTCAGTTTGATTATACAAATTTAATGATCTGATAATTACACGCTTGTCTGACTGTAAAGGAGCCATATGGGTTATGCGGCGGGCCAGCGAAAGGGGTCAAAAAAGCTCTCACGCTAAAAATACGCCTCCACCGAGGATTAATAATAAATGTTATTACGCGAAAGCCGTCACAACAGATGTTGCATGTAAAAAAGCTCGATATTTTGGTTGCAATCTGCAACTCTATAAGCAAAAATTTTTCTTTTCCTTTTTATATATTATTAAAAGAAAAATAATAATAATAATACAACTGTACCAAAATTTAAATGGCACTCTGAAAAAGAGCAAATTTGCATTCAAACTTTAAATTAAAAATAAGTTTTCTAGTAAAAAAGGCCGAGTTTCTTTTTTAAGAAAATTAATTTTTCTAAATACCTGAAGAAGAACCTCAGCGTCGTCGGTCCATCCTAGCAAGGCGTCCTGCGTGTCTTTAGCGTCACCGTGGACACTGCCGAATGAGATGGCGAAATAACCCTGAGTTTTTACCTCGACCCTGAGCATCAGGTACTCTTGCCCTGGCGTCCACAACAGGTGCAGGAGACCAGGACTCAGGGTCACCCTTCGTGCAAAAACCATGTCCGCCACGGCATCATCAAAGAGCAAAAGAGAAGTCAAGCAGAGTAGAATTTTGGACATCATTCCAAAATTAAACAAACTCAAAATTCATAAGCTGGCGTGCGTATTAGAGCAGGCGCGCATCTAATTTGAGCCGGTGTCGCCGACAACAAAAAGCCGCATTCATTTATATTTGTACCAGTCTCAGAAAAACATAAACGGAGCCATGACAACCGTCTTTTGTATTATAAAGTATGAATGATTTTTATTTATTGGAAGGCATAATATTTTGAATATTTTTTAGGCCAAGCATAAAGAGTTATTTGATGTTGATGGTTGATGAAGACAACGACTGTTTATACAAAAATATAACTGAACCCCTCTTCAGAATTGATTATGAGGATATTTTAATAAGAATCCACTTCTGGGTGGCTAAACCACTCGACTGCAGCGATAGAAATCGCTTCACCCACGACTTCATAATTATACATGCAGCTTTCCCATCCGCATGTGTCTAATTTAATTAGTTTAATAATAAGGGATGCTTCTTTCTCTCCCGCATGCTGTGTAGATAACCATCGTGCGAGCCTATAAAGAAATTAAAGAACAAAAAGTAAGTGCGGGTACAGAAAAATCTCAATATTAAAACTTTTTTCCTAAATATATATAAGAATTTTTCAACTTTTCTCAATCTTTTTTAGTGGTTTTTTGTTTGTGAAAAAATTCCTGACTAGGAATAGGTGAAAAATGTTTGGCCTGCATCTCTTGCACTCGATTCATTTAAAAGACAGTTGAAACATCCCCCATTCATTTTCCGCCCCCATTGATGGAGGCACGCACACCGCCCATCGCACGGCAAAAAGTGGAAAGGAAGCACAACACAATCTAGAGGGGCCAGGTGGTATGTGTGCTCAGTGCTCATGCAGGTTAGTCGCGGTGGCGCGACGTTGCCACTGAAATATACGAGACCGTCTTAAATTTTAACTTTGAAAATTATTGAGTAAAATACTACATGTAGTCACATTAAACTGATTTTTTAATATTTATTTCATCGAGGAGCTACTGGACCACTATAATTTGTTTATAAGATTGAATTATTTTTAAATTTCAATAAAACGGATAATGGAAATATCTTTTTTTAAATAGTTGATATAACAAATAAAGTAGAAGTTATTTATTTAATTAATAATTATGACTTTTAAAATCAGACAAATTTTCAAAATTAAAAAAAACCCATTGAACTTTGTTTTGATTTTTATAAATAAATTTTAAATTTTAAAACAAATATCTCAATTTATGAGTCAAAATTAATAATATTCTAAATAATTATTATTTTTCAACTAAGAACAAAAAATGAATTTTATTTATCTCGAACAATTCTCCATTGGGTGCAGGCCTGTATGAAATAGACGGCCCCGCCGCGGTAACCAACAAGTCTGTGTGCAGATGTTTTTATCCGGCGAGCCGAGCCGGCTCAGTTCGAAGCGAGCCGCGATGAGGAGCGGAGTGATGCTGCCGCTACTGCTGCTTGGCCTTTTCGGGGCCACCACCGGGGCCCCTCAGTGGACCCACTCGGTGCAGTTGTCACCCGAGTACACCCTTTTCTGGAGCCCCGACGAGCACTGGATCTCGTTCAAAGTCGAGGTGCGCACCTTGGGCTTTGTCGGTCTTGGTTTTTCGCCAAACGGAGGCATGGCCCACGCGGACATCGTCATGGTGTGGGTGGACGACACCACTGGACAGGCACACATTGGGGTGAGTGTTGCTTTACGCCTTGCTTAATTTATTAATTTTTTTATACTTTAATTAATTTCTGATTTTATAATTATTTTAAGAACTATAAAAACTATCAAATTGAACAAACAAATTAATGTTGGAACATTGTAACAAAAAGCTTATAGAAATTAAAGCACTTAAATTTGAAACGTAAAAAACGCTTCATTTTTAGGGCGTTGAATTTATATATCAACCAGGATAAAGTCGGTATAAATGTTCCAAGGTGCATTCCTGAAACCCAAGACCCGATCATGGCTTTGAAGCTCTGATTGCCAAACACATTGTAATTCTGAGTAAGAGCTCTGCATAAACAGTTAGTGCATCCTCATTGCGCCGTGCTCGCTGATTCACATGCAAAAATCTCGGAATAAAGCTGTTGTCCGAGACTCGATTGTGAATCTTCTGCTTTCAAAGGCGACATGCACGAACTGTCAAACGATACGTACAATAAGTAAGCTGTTCTGCCAAGAGAATTGGAATCCAATTGTTTCAAGATGCTTTGGAATTTCGTTAATAAATGCATCAAATTAATTTTTTTTTTAATTCGGCAAATTAAATAATAATAATAATAATTAATATTATATCAAGAGAGAAATTATTTAACATTCTGTTTAATATTTTTCAATTCATGTTTTTATGGGTATCAAATAAAATTTTGGGTGTTTAGGACTCTCAACCGAAAATCAGGGTTCCTAAAAGCCTCTTTTTCGTGAATCCTTTTCTTTTTATTCTTCTGCAGCGGCGCGGTCCATTCATTTCCATTCATTCAAGTCTCCGGCGTCTGGTTCGCTCTGAGCACTTTTTGCATCTTCTCTCGTCTTTGCGTTTATTCTCAGCAGCACGAAACGAACCAAAATACGCGCACAATAAACCTGTTCCTGGCTCTTCAGACTCATATGAATTATCATCTTTGGAATAAAAAATCAAATCGAACGAGAGACCCTTTCTTTTTTTTTCAAAATAATAATTCTGCCGGTTTTGTATTGTCGTGAACGTTGAATATTAAAACCTCTGTGGAATAAAGGAGCGTGTCCGTGCGCCAATAAACGCCGATTCTGCACGCAAATCGCTCTCCAAATTCATTATGCATGGATCAAAAAGTTATTCCTTTGCACGCTCGTCGGTCGTAAGCCGTGTGGCGTCTGCCACTCTGCCGCCACGACGTTTGTTTACTTTAATTATGGCGCTTGATCCTGCGGAGGAAATCTCCTCTCACGTAAATGAGCATCTGCGCGCAATAAAATCGAAAATGCGGCCCCTTTGTGGCACTTAAGGATCTACTTAAAATTCAAATTGGTGCCTCTCTAAATAACAAATAATTATGGCAAGTTACTAAAATTAATTGATGTCATTTGTTTTGGGTGTATTGAAAATTTTACCAAAGCATTTTATTGAGCATCAATTTTTGATGATTGGATTTGTTTTGAATCATTGAAGGAAAAATTATAATGAGGGAATGAACAAATTTGAATTTCAGCAGCTGGAGTTTTGAATAAATCATTATGTTTGATAAAGGGGGACATTGAGATGCGCCTTTGGCAAGAAAAAGGCGTTGCTCACCTTGTGTTACACGCGATAAATAAATTATTACAGGTCCATGAATATCTACAATGTTGTGTACAATTACGCCTGTGAACTGTGAGAATGAAATAATCGGTTAAAAATTATTCAATTATTTAAACAATCAAATCTTGGTAGTTTATTTGGAATTTATCTTGTCATAGATGAATTTTTAATTATAATATTTTTAATAATTTATTTACAAAGTTATAGCTTGATTCATTTTTAAAAATCCTTATTGTCATTTTAAATAAAACGGTAACCTGATTGTGAGCAAGAATTATGCTGCTGATCTTATACCATTGTACATTTTTTTTTCAATTCCGAGACATCTCGCTCAGTTATCCATCTGCTAGAAATTTCCCACAGGAATATACTTACTGGGCTTTGCTGCTCTCGAAGCGCACCCTTTTGTGTTTTTTGTGCCGCGCTGTTAGCGTGCGTGTGAGCGCAGAGCACAGCAGATCTGGTTCTTTACTTTTTACTTTTCTGCCCCCAGCAGCTTGCACGCTCATTATTGCCGCACTACTTTATATTGTGTGTCGTCGGGTAGGTCTTCGCTTTATTATTTTTCCTCTTTGTCGCCGCCGAGAGAGATGAAAAATTTCCCAAAGGGATTAAGGTCGCGCTACGTGCTCCGTCATACCCTTTTCCAGGGCCGCTGATTTATTATCAACAGTGAAAAAAAATCGGGCGAGTGCTTTTTGTCATGATAAAACGGAGGATAGGTCAGGGTTGGAATTTGATACTAAAGTGGATGATTATGTTGTTGAGAGTGTTTGCTGAGCCTCTGTTGAATGGGACAGCAAATTTGTTTGCTTAAATCTAATTTGCTCTCCATATTAATTAAATTTGCGCATAATATCTTCAAAAGATTACTAAATTTTAACACGGAATTTTGAAATTGTAGAAAAAATTCCGTGCTTCTGGATAAAAAGAATTTTAATGGCTTCAATTCTAAAATTCCAAAAAGAAATTGTATTTTCTCAAATCAGAAATACCCACCTGTAATATCAATAATTGAAAATTATATCTGATAGATTGCTTTCTGTTTTTTGTTTGTATTATTATTAAATACGAAATTAATTGACGCACATAAATGAAATTCGCCATTTTGCTTTAATTCAACGCACTCGGCAAAAGAGCTGCACCTTTCCTCTGGAAGCTATTTCCGCTTGCAATAAATAATAAAAAAGAACCGCCTGTCTGCTTGGGCGCTTCTCGTTCATTTATTTATTTAATTTTATTTATTAGCACCGCCGCAACGACGAGTTGAAATTTTCGCAAACTCGTCTGCCCGCTTCTGATTTATACTGGAGTTTATTCATTTTTTTTATCTGCATGTGCGAACGTCTGCTGTCGATGTGCAGCAAAGCAAAAGCAGTCGGTCTCTGACTGAGAGCGACGCTTTTTATGTGCTTTCCGTCCCACCTCAAGGTTGGCAGAGCGAGAGAGACCGACGGGGAGCTCCTTCGGAAACGAATTTATTTTTGCACGGCGCGTACGGAGAAATGAATAAGTGAATATAAAATATGATTCCATAGCGTGTATTTATGGTGCGCACAGTGAAATATACACATAATGGTGTATTTATTACTCAGGTATCAGTTCTAGCTATAGTGGCCCGACTGGTTTTGTTCTTCTTAAAGATTACAACCGCTTTTTCGGGCAGGGTATAATGTTTCTTTTTCTCCGACTTGAAAGTCGAGTTAGCCGAGGAAGATGAGCGCAATTCGCTCTTCCTTGTGCATTTCTTATCAAGGCAGAATGACAACTTGAAGTGAGTTGTAATTTTTTAAGATAAATTCATATTTTGATGAGAGATTAATTGAATTTTTTTTCTTTTATTTATAAAATGTATTTTAAATTTAATATTGTAATTAAAATTAACCTTAAAATTCTTAAAAAAAATATGTATTATTAATTTGTAATTATAAAATTATAATACTCAAACATATATGTAAAACTTTTTAGTTTGTTTTGCACCGTAACTTTGAATAACTGATGATAATGATAATTTACGATTTTTCTGTCAATTTTTGTGTCTTGTTTGATTTTTACTTCAAAGGAGAGTATCAATGGAATATTTTAGTAAAATTTAGGTAACTAAAGCATCCTATCTGCACAGAGGTTTGCCTACTTTACACTCCTCCAATAAAATGCCCGTTACTCTGGCAAAATTCAAATTCAATTCAACGAAATTTAGCAAAAGGATTTTGGCGGGCATCACGGAACGGGAGTAAATGAATTTACACAAAATCGACTGGATAAGCAAAGAAGGAAATATGTTATCCAGATTATTTGCAAGTGCTTCTTCGCTACAGAGTAATTTCAACCAAACTTTTTCTGCAAAATAAGTCCCTTGAAGCACCATGGTGATTCAGCGCCTTTTTATACCTGATTGTCTTTAGCGTTTAACTCTCACCGCATGTTTTCCTCTGTGTGGCTCGCGAAAATAACGAGCGCCATAAATTTAGAGCCGCAACTGCTGCCTAAAAGCAGCAGTTTTCAACAGACACCCCTCTTTTTTATGAACAGTCTGATATTTACAAAGTCTCTCGCACCTCGCCGATTTGATTCTCCACAATAATTAATGTTCAATTAGTGGTGAAATAATAATTGCTCATCTTAATTGAGCCAGATTTCTGAGAAGAAAAATGCTTCAAATCAACAATATCATAACATGAGCAATCATTAATTGCGTGTAGGTTTTTAGCTCGTAAAATAAAATAAGTATAATAAATAAATAAATTATAATATCCGGCGTACAAGTTGAGTTTTATCTTTTAAAAATGTGTTTCCAGCGAGATTCATGAAATTCGGACCAATTTCTAATGTTTATTTGTTAAATGATCGGCGGCGGCAACTTCTCTTCAAAGCCAGGATTTCACCACTTAATTAAACTCTGTGAGAAACGCAAATTCTTTTCAGCGTGCCGCGATTTTATATTTTAGTGTGTGGAGCAGAAAACGAGCCGCCGACACTTTGCTAGAGCGATAATGGCCAGGCAGCATCTCTTATCCAAATATTTGTGTGAAATTCCTGGCCGGATTTTCACCGGCAGCGCATAGAACGAGATCAGCTTCGGAGGGAGCTTTTTGTTGTCGACGAAACCAAACAAGACCAGAGAGGAATTTTTTCTTATAAAAAACACTCCGACCACGCACCAATTAATTTGAAGCAAATGTACGTTCAAACTGGTATATAATTGCACCGCTTTTTTCTTTTTTTCACTTGGCGGCGCCGAGAGAGAGGAAATCGAAAACGGCAAAGGCGGTTTACAAATTGAAAAATGTGCGCAACGTCAAGTAAATTATGTGCGAGCACTTTAACTGATTCGAAAGACGACGCGTGGGAAATTCACACATGCTTCCAAGAAGATTGAAAATGTGCCCGGCGCTTTTCTCAAAGTCCAGAAT